TTTCTCGTGTTCATGAACAGTATTAGAACTCTCCACCCATTCCAACCTTAATAAAAAATGCTTATTTAGTCATGAGAGAAATTTGTATAGATATACACTATATACAGGCCATATTACTCCTCCGTGATTATTTTTGTTAGGCATTTTAATCATCCTAGAAAAAAGTTAATTGATTGCACAAAATTATATATATATATATATATATATATATATATATATATATATAAACCTACTTGTGTGTTATCAACCTACACTGCACACACACACACATATATATATATATATTCTATAAAATAACTATTTAATATAATGTTATCGAGAAGACTATATTGTACATATATAGGTACATAGGTACATCACTTAGCTGAGTAAATATGGTCAGAACTTATTTTAAGTGTTGGAGAGAACATTACATATGTATAAAAAGGCGCACATTTGAAATAACAAAAGATTACAAAACTTAAAGATTGGCCAAATTAAACCTACGTGGTTTTTGACTGGCTCGGGAAAACAATTTTACACGTATACGTTTGTGCATAGACCTTCACCAATGTTCAGATAATAAAATGTATTTAATAGGAAATGATATTTACTTTTCCAGTTCCTCTTTATACTTGCTTTTCATTTCAGCAATCTTATGAGACCCACTTGCTTCAAACCACTTGGTAAATACATTCTCATGGACGCCTTTAAACAACGAATATTTAATGTATATCACAAATACGATTTTTGAAACGGATTTTATACCAAAAAAGTAGGGGAGTAGCTACTCAGTAGCCTTCGGGGGTGGAGTAGCCATTAAGGGTGTCTTTTTCATCAAAATAAAAAATCTAATTCTAATTACAATGTTTTTGCATATATATAGACCCATGTTCTAGAAAAAAGTTTTTTACCTTTAACATGGACGACAGGGGCGGTTGCAGTTGAAACTTCCCCAGCGTTCTCGTTAAAATATATCCCTTTATCACATGGTTTTACACTTATTTCTATAATATACAGTTTCGAATGAGGAGTTTCATCTTTCACAGGTATGAAAACAACATGCCAATACTTGCGATGGTTAGAAACGTTTTCAGGCCACACCATGGCGTCGATTTTCTTTTCGATTGAGTGCCAAATTTTAACAAATTCCATTCTCGAAATTTTTTCACCCCAAACGACTCCACATGAAAAAACACCATAAATCAATTTGCCTCCCTTATTATTTAGGAAAGTTGATACATGCTCAAGCAGCCGGTTTTCTTTTAAACCTATACGATAAGCCACACTTGCACTTTTGTGAGAACAGGTTGATTTATCATCCACCAATATTCTAAACTCGTGTTTCATGAGCTTTGTGAGACCTCTATATAGTTCGCCTCTATATTGCACAACCTTCTTCCGCTTGAGAGAAGGCAATGACAAAGCCGGTAGCTCAGGACCAGGATTTGTACGAATGGCTCCCAAGCGTCTGGAATGCTTGTAATTGATATCTAACTTTGCCATTTTTTAAGATTGGCCTGTCTATATATGAAACAAAAGACGATTTGCTGTCAATATATACAAGCGAAGATGGAATCAGTTGACGGTCTTGACTTTCAGTTTAAGTGATTTGCTATTAAACCGATCGAAATAGGACGGACGCTCAGAATACGCATGCAGCGTTTGTAAATAATTTATCAGATTATATGGGCTAGCGATTTCTATATATCAGACTTCGGAATTCTTCCTTGTGTCGTTAACTATCATCTCATATATACATATATATAGAATTTCTGGTAAGAGAACAATATTTCCCGCTATTTCTCTGCAGGGCCCCATGGAAAAACACCTCGGTGATATGGGCTCCTGTTGAAATATAATTATTATTATTAAAGTTTTGACTATTCATGCTTGAAAATTCGGTAGAATTGCTATAACAACATAAATAGTTAATAGCGTAACCAAGCATGCAATTAGAATGCATCTTCGACTCGAACGTGAGTTGCCAGTGGAGTCAGGAGTGTAGGTTGTTTCTTTAAAAAAAACATTGGCTGTATGGGAATATGCGAGACTGCGCGCAGGCTACGAGAACTCCCGTTTCATTATTAGCATTATTTCATTATTATTATTTTTACGTTTCATTATATCTATATATGATATGATCCTCATGCAGTATGTCTTTCAATATCAAAGTTATATTTCAATTATTCTGCATGTCCCCTTCTTTTTATTATAGGGAGTTTAAGATGTTGACAACAAATTACGCCGGATTAACAATTGACTTATGCAATCCAAATGATTTTATATGCCGCACTTTTAGAAGAGTAATTTAAAGGCCTAACCGTTGTCCGTTAAACACCTTTACTAAAGAAATACACATGTTCTTATATCGGTGAGGGTAAATCAGTTATGATTTTTGGCACTTCACTCGATGTAGGTAAATTCTAGAGGTTTAAAGGGTCTTAATTTCGAGTGGAATTATATATACTTCAAATTCAAACCAGGAACAAAAGCATTGCACCGGCAACGCAAAAGCGTAGGCTCGATTCCTGCCGGAGGACCTATAGTTGACTCATTTTTCCGTCAACTGTTCCTTGCTTGAATTTGAAGTGTATATAATTCCACTCGAAATTAAGACCCTTTAAACCTCCACGTTCTTACTTCTTATATAGGCTTAGTAATTAACTACATATATATGATGTGTTGTAAATTCGTTCTGGCCTACCTTGAGACTTTTTTTCGCAGTAACGGTCTGTCGTGTTTTCGATCGCAACAAAGTTTGCATTCAAACTGGCAAATAAGCATTGCGGAGTCATTTACAATCGTTTCCTAGGATACTACCTAAAAAAAACAATACAAATTAAAACACTGACATTTTTCATTTTCATTTGGCATCTATCCAACATTATTTTTTTTTCGAAATTCATGGACGCTTGTGAAGAGAACTATTACTATCTTCGATTTTAAAAAATTCTTCTTGCGGATTTTATGACATAAAGCAAAAAGGCATGCGCCTATATAAATGTTGTTGAAACAAGCAAGGTATATAAATTCAAATAGCGTTGCAATCTTTGCAGCTTGCATTCGGCGGCCACTCAGGTGGGGGCAATCAAATTCACTACTCACAAGCAATTCGTATGGCCAAGTTGTAAAGGCTGTTTTTAAAAAATATTAATTTACTTTGACGAAGAAGAACACAGTAAAAGTGAATGTTACAATCCTGCGAGAAATCCCCGTTTCTATGAACGAAAGGAAACGACGTTTTGGCGTCTGAAGAGAAACTAAGTTTGATTATCGAAATTCAATGGAAAAAATGTTGGGATGTCTATAGCGAGAAATATTTCTTTAGTCTTAAAAATATTTCTCTATTCAAACCTTCAGTAACCAGTAAAAAACATCTGTTAATATAATGCTGCAATTATCTGCTCTGAATTATTGAATACCTAAACAGTTGATTTGACCTCAAAAGTAGCTAAATATTTTTCAATAGAAGTTACATTTTCCTAAAACCTATTTGAGACACATTTCACGGTGTTCTCCGAGAACCTGTCAACATTTTGATCGGCTCTGCTGTGCAGTGATCGAACACTTAGCTACAGGTGCATGTGTTCTCCTATAGTCTTTTTTCTCAAGAATGGCTGCTGGTGTGGTATATATATATACATATATATATATATATATATATAATATAAAAATATAAATATATATATTATTATATATATATATATATATATATATATATATATATATATATATATATATATATATATATTGCATTGCACTGGCATCACAAAAGCGTAGGTTCGATTCCTGCCGGAGGACCGATAGTTGACTCATTTTTTTATCAACTGTTCCTGGCTTGAATTTGAAGTGTAGTGAGTGAATTTGAATAGTGATGATGCGTCTATATTCTATTTCTAGGGATGATTTTGGGCAAAAGTTATCGATTCGTATACTGGCGTATGTATTCTAATAAATGTGTGTAAAGATGTCACATTTTAAATTTTGTTATGAGCTGATGAACAGACAGAGTGGCGTCTGCAATCGTTTTGATACGTCAGGATAAGAATCGTATACGACTCATTGCATGTAAATCGGCCTTAAACACTTAGTTCTGCGAATTTTTGCCTGCCTGCCAATTTAAAGGTGATGCCTGGGTACACAGAACTATATAATTTATGCAACAATATGTACAATTCGTGGCAATAGGCTTACATGAAGTTTTGGGTAAGACGAAATTTTAGGGAATAATATTAAATATGGCCGTTTCAAGGAGTCGTTATGTTGATATTGACTGGAAATCTCATCGTGACACTTTAGATGACGTATTTTTTACTGACGATGATGTTATAAAAAGGTTGGGTGAATTAATCGGCATTTATGGGCTTTGGGCAGCTGTTGCTAATTTCGATTGCTTAGTAAGATGAAGCTTTCAGAATCAATCAACATACTTTTAACTGTAGTTGAGGACAGAATCATCAGAGTTGTGTATTTCTGAGTTAACTAGGATTTAACTATGCAAAATGTAGTTAAATAGTTTTATACAACCGGGCTTGCAATAGCCAATAGGTATTGCTTTAGGTCAGATGTTGCTATTGATTATAAAATAATAAGAGTACTGGTATGGCTACTAAAAGGTGCGAAATGCCTCATTTCTCTATGCAAAAATATGCAATAAAGGCAGATCAGCCACAATACCCAGTACCGGTACAGCATGTTTATTAGCCAAAATGCCAAAAAATGTCAGTGTCAGAAGGACATGCAAAGTTTGACATGCTCTATTCTCTAAGGCAGTTGCATTAAAAGTCTCAGACTAAAGTGGGACTTCTAGTCCTCTTATTGTTCTATATGTCACACTTTCATTAATCTGAGGTTATATAAGATTGGGATTGATGATTAAGTTACGGATCATGTGTTAATTGCTAACTAGGATTGCTGTTGGTAAGATATATGGCTGGCTGCTTTCAGCAATCTTGCATCAATAGGTTTTGTTGGAGTATCTACCTTATTTTTAGTAAAAATACAACATTTTTGTATAGACGAAGCGATCGCTACAAAGATTTTTGGTTGTTTCTTGAGCGATATCAAAAGCATCAGAGAAGAAAATTAAAAACCATTGAAGAAGTTGGCAGGAATGAAAGGCCCAGACAAGGAGAAAAAAGTTAGAGGCATTTAACTTGTGTTGTGATATGAATGATGACTATATTAATGATCCAGGCTCATGCATATTCCAGGCTTTTGAGTAATTCTGCCTCCTAGATTTCAAACTTATTTTAAAAAAGTATTACTTAATGAAGAAATATGTATAATTTTTGAATTCAACTGCACTTATGCTGGGTTTTGAAATTTGTGTGTTTTGGGGTTGAAAAGGGATTATATGTGTTAATATTACTCTCACAAGAGTTAATTAAAGCTGGTGATAAATTATAGTAATGGATCACCCAGCCTCGATCATTGCAGATATTATAATGTATAATGACCAAAGATATTCTTTTCATATTGGAAGAGCATTGCAAGTGCAGTAGGTGCCAATTAAATAGCATATCACAATAAGTTGACTTTTTCTTTAATTGTGTGACTTGTTTCTGTTGTAGGGAAAGAATCTTCAGTGCTTGAATTACCAGAAACATTTGATAAAAGATACAAATTCAACATTGCACTTGCCTCAAAAGATGCAAGGACATTGAAAAGATTGCTACGAGGCAAAGGTATTCAAATGAATGGAGTTCTGAATGAGTACATTTTTAAAAAATAATAATACAGTAGATCCAAATGTAAAAACGTTGTGAGTTTGTGTTTGTTTGTTTAAACTACAACTTCTTTGTTCATACTTTTCCTTAGGGTAACAATCTTTTTTTCTGAACTTTCAAAACTTTTTAGTTGATTACCGTGGCACACAGAGGGATGAGACGAATTCTTTGACCGTGAATGACTTGTTGGAATTCAAGTCGATCATTCTTTACTACCTGGACTTCAGCCAAAAACAGAAAGTACGATTTTACCTTTTCTTTGTAAAAAAGTGTTCTTCTAAAAAGTGTTCGTGATTATTTTCTGCCGTAGGAGGGCCAAGGATCTCTATTTTTACAGGGTAGGGAGCCGTGCGTAAATGAAAACACCATTTCTTTAGCCACGAAACGTTCCTCTGTTTTATATTATTGAACACTTTGACTTTGTTCATTTTGAAATGGCAAGACGTTGTCAAAGGTTTGGCTGGGAGGTCAGCGCTTGTTGTATTGCGTTCTGAACTGTTCACTGATCTATTTTAGTTCGCTAAACTACAAAAACTGAAGAGTGACCAAGCGAATCTTCCCATCAGCCAGTTTAAAGACACCATCGTAGAGCACGTCAAAGACCACCAGGTGGTTATCGTCGCTGGCGACACTGGCTGTGGAAAATCAACACAAGTAAGCTTATATGACGTATCCTTAATCAAATACTTCGGCTTGAAGCCCCGTTCACACTTAAAATTCACTGGTTTACCCTTGCAATTTTCGTCTTTTCATGGATGTAAACGAGCGAATAGTTAACAATTAGACAACGAGTCCGAGTTGTCTATGAGCGAATAGTCAACGAAGGCGAGTTGTCTAATTGTTTTAGTATACACCCTGTACATAGATATATTAATTTCGAGGAAATAATCGATACACCGCAAAATTACACCGAAAAATAATTTAATTAATGCAATTTTATACGGTCGCGCGAGCGAATTTTTCCCAAACGTGCACTATCACGAATAGACGATGGTTGAGTAGCCAATCAGAATGTAGGATTTGTAATAGACGATAGTCGGGTGTATACTAATTACGGATAGTCTGATATATAGGTGCTTTTTTCAACATCCGTAACTTACTACTCGTTCACATGCATCAAAAGAAGAAACTCGAAGCAAATATCGCAGTTGTATATAAACAAGGCTTTAGTGAAAACGAATGAACTTATAAAATTTTGTTTAAAGCGATGAAATTTATTTTATAGATTCCTCAGTATCTCTTGTCCGCTGGTTTTTCACAAATAGCGTGTACTCAGCCCAGGCGAATCGCTTGCATATCTCTCGCTAAGCGAGTCAGTTATGAAACTTTAAACGAATATGGCTCAGACGTTGCCTACCAGGTTCGTTTGATAAACACAAGCTCATTTATAGCCTGGTAAAATTACAAGGACTATCACCGCGCACAACTTGAACGTCATTTTCTATTTTACCGAGTAATAATAGTACGTTGTTTTGAAATGAACGATTACATGCAGGTTTTGATGTTAATTCTCTTTATAGATTAGGTTTGAAACAAGCAAAACAAGACACACAAAAATACTGTTTCTCACCGAAGGTATTACTGTTTCTTGACGTTGTCATAGAGTCATTATAGATTAATTTCACTGCTTTTAATGCACTTGCTTGGTTTTCCCGCCCAAACTCGGGTTTTCCCGCCTAAACTGGAACTTTTCCTTCCCGCTCAAACTCGTATCATTCCCGCCTGAACTTGAACTTTTCATTCTCGCCTAAACTTGAACTTTTCCTTCCCGCTTAAACTCGTATTATTCCCGCCTAAACTGCAACTTTTCATTCCCGCCTAAACTCGTATTATTCCCGCCTAAACTCGTATTATTCCCGCCTAAACTGGAACTTTTCATTCCCGCCTAAACTCGTATTATTCCCGCCTAAACTGGAACTTTTCATTCCCTTTTAACTAAACTGGAACTTTTCATTCCCTTTTAACTAAACTGGAACTTTTTCTTCCCGCTCAAACTCGTATCATTCCCGCCTGAACTTGAACTTTTCATTCTCGCCTAAACTGGAACTTTTCCTTCCGCTTAAACTCGTATTATTCCCGCCTAAACTGGAACTTTTCATTCCCGCCTAAACTCGTATTATTCCCGCCTAAACTGGAACTTTTCATTCCCGCCTAAACTCGTATTATTCCCGCCTATAAACTTGAACTTTTCATTCCCGCCTAAACTCGTATTATTCCCGCCTAAACTGGAACTTTTCATTCCCTTTTAACTAAACTGGAACTTTTCATCCCCTCTTAACTAAACTGGGACTTTTCATTCCCTTTTAACTAAACTGGAACTTTTCCTCCCGCCTAAACTCGGATTATTCCCGCCTAAATTTTAACTTTTCCCGCCTAAACTAGAATTCCCCCAAGAACTCGACTATTTTTCCCGCTAAAACTCGTATTTTCCAGGTCTATTGTTACGGCAATTATCATCGGATCCTTCGTTGTCTCAATACAACATCATCGTAATGGACGAAGTTCACGAACGTCATATTCATGGTGATTTTCTTCTCGGGGTTTTGAAAGGCCTAGTTCAAGCCAGAAGCGATCTCAAACTTGTCTTGATGTCCGCTACCATCAATATCGAGTAAGTCGAGGGGGTGACAGAGCAAGAATATAAACAAACTTACACATTTCGGCTTGTTTACATCACGTCGACATGGTTGTAATATATCAAAGCTGTTTCAACACGGCTACTGGTGCTACAGACCTTTTTATCTCAACACCGCTACAGAGCATCCAGATTTTTGTATCGTAAACCCATTTTAGCCTTGACTCAAACTTGCTTTGAGGCTTGCCTAGACAGACTTTCCAGGCTTTACGACAATGTGAACATCTACTTCTGTCTAGACCTAACGTATAGTCCTAGACTTTGCACATTTTAAACACGGCTTCAGACCAGACCCCATGTCGTTTCGCCATTGTATTTTTCTTAGCAAATTTTATAACACGTGTATTGCTAAATTTAATTAAATTATGGTTGAGAGTTTTATAAGAGCTTCCGGCTCTAAATATTTAACGCGATTCTTCCCTTTTTCTACAGGTTGTTTGCCTCATATTTCTCTGGAGCTCCGGTTATCCAGGCAAGTCATCAGACTTATATTCCTTTGTTTATGTTGATTTTTTCGAGTTTCTGCCCGTCAATCACAAATTTCTGTCAACAATAGGTTCCAGGTCGACTGTATCCAATAGAAGTGCGGTTTATGCCGCCTTCAACAGAGGTGAGCAGAATTTTGCATTTGGCAATAAAGCGAATTTCATTCTTGCAATGTTTCAGAGCAGTCCTCTGCGCAATCGAGAAACCTATAGATTCATGCTTAAAGCTTTGGTTAGCTTGGATTATTTTCCTCTGTATCACCCTGAAGTTTAAGAATAGTCAAGAATTTCAAAATATTTATTACTATAGTCTGCTGTCGTTCAATCGCGAGCATCAGAAAGACTGGATCCTAGACCTTATTTACACGTTCTTCAGTTGATTGACAACAAGGTAAGAAAACTGGAAATTTGAGACGCTTTCCTGGGTTTTACGGAATCAAAAAGTATATTAAGGTTAATTTATCCTGCTTTACACCAAGTATCCAACCAACGAAAGGGGAGATTTGTTAATCTTTCTCAGCGGAATGTCTGAGATATCGGCCGTCGTTGATGCCGCTGAAGAGTATGCACAGCAGACTCAAAGATGGATCGTTCTTCCTTTGCACAGCGCCTTGTCGATTGAGGAGCAAGACAAGGTTAGCTTTCATCATAAAATACCGTTAAATTCTACCTAAAAAGCTCATTTCCATGCTTAGCGTGTCATTTAGGTACTTATTCCAGGTCTCATCTGAGCCGTAACCAACACTTTTCTTCAGAGGCTCTGTACTTACATCCCAAATTATAATTTTAAAAGTTCTCTTCACGGGACAGTTAATCAGTCATAACTTTACTTGTAATTTCTTCTTGAGATTTTCCCGCCTTTCATTCAGTGTTTTTCTACCAAACATCAAGGGCCCTTTCGGAGCTGTCGCCAACATTTTAAAATGATTTCCAAGCGCCTTAATTATTGCTGACACGAATGCCTATCGAGTTGTGATATCTCTTTGGCAACGTTCGCCGAAGAACGAGACTTGCTAAACATTGGCTTCCTATTGTGTTTTTTAGGTGTTTGATGTTGCACCTGAAGGTGTCAGAAAATGCATCGTTTCAACGAATATCGCTGAGACTTCGGTGACCATCGATGGAGTCCGTTTCATTGTCGATTCCGGAAAGGTCTGATAAAATAATCTTCGTATCTTATTGTCTTCATTCGCATATATGATGATATTAGCCCTGTTTTTCATTGTCTGTTTTCAATCTCAAGGTGAAAGAAATGAGCTTTGACTCTCAGACCAAGCTTCAAAAACTGGAAGAATTTTGGATAAGTCAAGCTAGCGCTGAGCAAAGAAAAGGCAGAGCAGGTGAGGTTAAACTTGGATGGATTTGTATGAAATGATTTATAGCTAGTTTCCACTTAGGAAAAATCTCCTTTGGATCGAAACGGACAGGAAAATTTCCTTTGTCGGTGAGTTCTCAGGCGGCGTTTATACAAAGGAAACTTTCCTGTCCTGTCCGATCCAAAGGAGAATTTTCCTGAATGGAAACTAGCCTTTAAAAGAGATATTGTATGGATTTAAGATCTCTGACTGTCAGTACTTAATAGTTCCTGGATTCAATTATCTTATTTCTCTTAGGAATTAGATTAACTGAAAACACATGATATACCAAGTGATGGTTATTTATTTACCTAAAAGTAGTTTTATACGATTGCTTTGCATTCAAGTCACAGGAACTATCGATTCATTGCGAGAACAATATACCCAAGATGGCGGACAGCTCCTTTTCAATTCTTCGGTTAATACGACTGCATAATCTTTCAAGAGCTGCCATATTTGTTTATTCGTTGATATTTACTTCTGCTTTTCACGAGAACAAAGATGATGTCGTTTCTCTGTTGTTTATTCTTTAATTGTTTACAATATCTATCGTGTTGTGAGTCGCCATTAAATAAACCAACAGTAAAAATGATTATTCGTGAAACACATATGGCGGTAATTCAAGTAAGATATGAATGTTCTTTCGTAGGTCGTACTGGACCAGGGGTCTGTTTTCGGCTTTTCGCTGAGAGCGATTACGATGAATTCTCTCAATACTCAACACCGGAGATCCACCGTGCTCCCCTCGATTCCATCATACTGCAGATGATATCCCTCGGCATCCCAGATGTACGTAATTTCCCCTTCATCGAGCCACCGCCCAAGTCCTCGATTGAGAACTCGATCCACGTGTTGAGACAACAGGGAGCGCTGAATAGCGACGAGGAAATCACGCCGATTGGTGAAATGTTGGCGAAGCTGCCTGTTGACGTTGTCATAGGTAAGGTTGTTGTTGTTGTTAGTGATAGTGATGTTAATGTTTTTGTTGTTGTTTTTGTTTTTGTTTTTGTTGATGGTAATGTTAAAAGTGTTGTTGTCGCTGATGTTGTTCTTGATAGTTGTTGTTGTTGTTGATATTGTTGTTGTCGCTGCTGCTGTTGTTGCTGTTGTTGTTGTTGTTGTTGTTGTTATTCATGGTGATGTTGTTATCGCTGTTGTTTGTCCGTCCGCAATGTTTACAAAACAGGTCTATAGTGTCGCCACTATATCTTAGGCAAGATGTTGATAATGGGCTCTGTATTTCACATGATCGACCCAGTCCTCACGATTGCCTCGGCCATGAGTGTCCAGTCCCCATTCACTCGTCGCTTTAGCAACGACCCAGACGTCATGAACTCGCGACAGTCACTAGAATCCGAACATGGCGACCCGTTTACGTTGCTGAATGCGTTTGACGAATGGTTGCACGTCAAGGGTAGCAAGGGAACGTCCAGCAGAAAGTGGTGCAGACGACGTGGTCTTGAAGAACAGCGCTTTTATGAAATGGTGAAGTTGAAGGAACAGTTTCAAGACTTGTTACATGACCACGGCTTGTTGGAAAAAAAGGTAATAATTTCATGTTCAGTAAATCCTAAATCCACGAATTTAATCCTTGAGAATAGGTTAGGATTAGGGGTAGATTTAGGATTAGGGTTAACTCTAATCAACCATGATCCTTGAGATTAGATTAGGATTTAGGATTAGGTCGTAGATTAGGTTCACCCTGTTGCTAGGTGAACCCTAATTCTAAATCCAAACGTAATCGTAACCTCGAGGATTTAGAATTAACTGGACTGATTAGGATTAACTGAACTAGACTATGACTAAGTAATATTGGACAGGGCTGAATTAGAAGTTGTGCCCCATATGTGTAGCTAGCCCATGAATTAACTATGCAGGAGCTGTAGCTCAGTTGGGCTGCCATGATTGTTTATTTGCTCTCAATCTTCCTGCATTAAGGGTCACGATTCCCGTGAGAGAAAGCGCGAAAATCGTGATGAACTACGCAAGTTAAGGCGGGAACATGTCAAAGGCCCGCGAAGACCCAAGATGCTAAAGTTAGGACAACATGAAGTATCCAGCGACGATGAAGGACCGGAGACCGATATACGAGACCTGGAATTCAAGTTAACTCATGATTTGAATAAACTTCAACGCGGGTCGAACTTGCGACGCTCGTTTACCCTCAGAGATTTAAATTTATTGAAAATCATCCTCTGCTGTGGTTTGTATCCACAAATGGCGATACCAGATGAACACAATTCCTCTAAGAATGTTTCCGAGCACGTTTTTCATACGACAAATAAACAATATTTAATGCTTCACCCTACCTGTGTTTTTGTGAGTCAACCGGACCTCATGCGTGCCGAGGATAAGCCGAGAGCTTCCCGAGATGTCTCCGACGACAGGCCTAAGACAAGTCTAATCGCTTCCGACGACTGCCGAAATGATCATGAGTTGATGTCGTATGTTTCGCTTCTGGAGACGAGGAAGCCCTACATTATGACAGTAATGCGCGTGCCTGCATTTCAGACGTTACTGCTGTTCGGACGTACCGTGGACTCGAATGCTGATTGCACTCGGCTTGTTGTAGACGACTGGGTCGAGTTGGGGATCCCGGATGCAGAGCATGCGCAGAAGCTTGTCTCTTCTATGATTCACCTGAGGGCGACGTGGGATATGCTGTTAAAACGGAAAATCGAGGGATCCCGGGAAGAGGCAAAGGAAGATATAGAATACCTGGAGTATGTATTATCTAGTAAACTATCGGAATTCCTAGACTGTAATGTAAGCTATACCGTTAAACGTTTGCATCAAACTGATGTTGGGCATCTCTATATTGGTAACCATGGGGATGACGTCACCGGTTTCCATGACGTCAGTAATGTTGACCTGAACAGCCCGCGATTTCTCGGCAGCACGAAAGGCATGTCGGTACACCCGACCAAGGGCGGGATCAAAGTGAATGACTATTTCACCTACAATGACCTGCGGAGTGAAATCGAGGCTGAGGCGTCTTCGCATGCGGCGGAATTTATACAAAAACACTGGACATGTGGGGTATGTGAGACGAAGATGGTTGTTACGGTACTCCAGAGGATAAAACATGAAAAACAGTGTTCCGCTGGACAGGTTAGTGCTGGAGCCGCCGTTGCAAAAGAGCCGAAACAGGAGACTGGGGAGAGTGGTTTGGAAAAGCTGAGAAAGTCGTATCACTGCTCTGTTTGCGAAAAAGAGTTCAGTTTTACTGCAACAGAAATATTACGTCACAAAAGATCGCACAGGTGACGAAAACCAGGGTACGTTAACATTTAAACCCATTCAATCGCCTTATGGAATCTTCTCTGCCTTTTACCCTAGTAGCCCAAAAGTATTTGCATCCAGTTTCATATTACGATTCGTGACAATGATTCGCAAGAATCCGCAGTCACAGACCGCAACATGAAACTGGACACAATACTTTTGGACTACTTTTAGGCTACTTTTACGCTGGCATTAAAAGCGCTTAAAGCATCGCAAATGCCTTTACGATAGGGGATAGCATTTTATGAGAAATATTCGCTGTTTCCTTACATCAAATGCACAAAAAATAATTTAAAAAATGAAGACAAAGATGTATTATGAATTTTGATAAAATATTTAATAGTTTTCTGTACAATAAAATATTTAGACCAACGTATAATGGTTGAATAAACGTTTTTGTACATATATAGCTTGTTTACAAGCAAAAACATTTGCCTCTTTTGCAATAGGGAGATTTTTATTTACAAAATAGAGTTCATCTTTTTATAAGTAGTTTAGTGTTCACGTACAGGAGGAAGCAATGTGGGTTCATTTTATCGATTAATCCGATAAATACTAGAATATAAAAACAAATATACAGATATATATATTTGCTCCGAAAGATTATCTGTTAGATTTGAATGTTTAAAAAAGGTTTATCAGGTATTTCGATCTATTTATTTGAATTCAGGACAGTTCTGTGGGATTTATGCGTTCGTTTCTCGATAGAACTCCGTCTTGATCTTTTTATCGACAGTTTGAGTTTTCTCTTTGCCGTTTGACCGTTGCTGGCTGTCCGTGGTTGTGTGATGAATGCGCATGTGCGTGCGTAGATTACTCGATGAGATGAACTTCCAACTGCAGATCTTGCACTGGTAGGGTTTTTCCCCGGTGTGGGTCAGAATGTGGGACTGTAGGTTACCGGAGGTGGTGAACGCTTTGGTGCACTGTTTACATTTGTAAGGACGTTCCCCTGTGTGTATTCTTACATGACGTCTGAGATCGCTCGAGCTGACGAAGGCCTTCGGACAGTAGGTGCATTTGTGAGGCTTCTGACCTGTGTGCGTCAGGATATGTCTTTGGAGATTTGTGAGTTGCGCAAATCCTCGTTGGCAGATTTCGCACGTGTAAGGTTTCTCCCCCGTGTGTATTCTGTTGTGAATCTTGAGGTGGGCTGCTAGGGCGAATGCCTTCGGGCAAACCTCGCATTTGTAGGGTTTCTGACCGCTGTGGATAAGGACGTGACGATGGAAGTTCCACGATCGCGTGAAGACCTTGCTACAATGTGGGCATTTGAAGGCCGTGTTCTCGTCCGAGGCCCCCTTGTCTTCGTCCTTCAACTCGTTCTTAGTCTCCTTCCGCACGGCGTCTTTCGCCGGGGGGTTGAGCTCGCGGATGACCGGGTACGGTGTGCCAACGGGGCCAGCGGCCGCCACCCAGTGCATCGGGTACTCCCGGAAGAACGCATAGGCGGGAAACGGTGGGGGGATGGCCAGGAACTGCGGTGCTTCTTGGGTGAACGGAACGTAATGATTTGCCTCGGGAAACACTATAGAAATAAAATAAAACATGGGTAAGCATTGGGCAGAGGTGATGCATAATCCTTCCCTTAAGGATATTAAAATCGAGCTATATAACGCCATTTTCAAAGCTTAAACGTTTCTGGTGTTAAAACACAACAAATTTGATTTGCGGATGTCGCTCTGTGAATTTGGCACGATTCATAAATTTGAAGTTTCACAATAACCCATAAATTTTGCAGCTTAGGTAGAATTTCTTGTGTATCATATCCTATGATAGACAATATATTTATCCTATTATATACTATTATACTATATAGTTTATATACTAGTATACTATATAACTAGATTATAGTTTCTGCTCCTAATTTTTTCATGGTCAACCGCCATATCTGCTGTCTAATCATTCCGCAATATCACCTTGAAATTCGTATATTTTGGTGCAATAACTATAAGCTACGATTTGACACATGTTAAAGTTTACATTAGATATTACAATATCTCTCCACAGTACGTCGTTATTTTCCTTACAACGAGATATACTGTTTATAGAATTTAGCTATAAACTGTAACTTCTGTCGTGGCTTTAAGCCAGTAATCAGTAATTAATGATCATTTTATGATTAAGCTAAGCCTCTATTTGCATATGATTTTTTATTCGATTTCTTAGTATTTGGCGACTATATTTAAGTTAATAGGATTTCTTAGATGAGAAAGCACCAATAATGGATGAACATGTTCTTGCGAAATTCTGAAAAATCCTGACAATTCGTCGTTGGCTATAAATTGTGAACAATATCGATCGTTTTTTTAGTTGAAATGGCATGACACGCCGTTGAATAATTGATTATGATAAAATCCAATCTGTGAATCCATTTTTACCGATACTCCTTCCTAAATCTTTACGAAAAAACTATCGGAACACTTTACTTCTGTGCTGAATTGAATCAACACAACAAATCATTCGCAATCGATTTCTTGAACATGAAATGAATCGCGCCATTGCTCAACTTAAGCAAATAAGCAAGCATTTAGCTCTGTCAATCAGGGCACAATTCGATACTCAATGTTGTCGGTTCAGTTGTATATATAGCCAGGCTATTTTGATAAACTACGAAATCAAACTTGGGCTCAAAACAATTTTTAGAACCCTAAAATTAATTGCTGTATTAATATAAGTCTAAAACAACGGCTGTATACATAAATCTGAGATGTATATAAATCTCGTGAATTTTTGTACCCACCGACACTGTTGTCATGTTGATATTTTGTGTACGCTAGGCTATTATGCTCAATTCTAAGTTTGTTGTATCGTCATTGTCAAACTTAAAGCTATATTTTTGACTGCCGAAAGGCGTGATTTCGTCAACATGTTTAAATAAGTGTATTCCAACGGACTCGAATCATGCTCAGTATATTGCCCTTGCCGCTCGTGCGTAACGATTTTGAAATTCGCGCTGTTATAAATAAATGTCACATTCAATTGAGCAATCAAAATGTAATTGTTTCGACCATGTGCGCGTCACAGCGGGTGCCTTTTGACCAACACGTGGCTGTATTCTACCATTGCCGCCTGTGAAAGACTCCCCCGTTCAAAACCGTAGCAAAATACAACTTAAAACCAGAATTTTTTACAAAATTTCTCGCAGGTAACACCGAATGTGCTCTGTGATGGTTCTCCGTAAAGTGACGTTCGATTTTTAACGTTTTTCGTTATTTCATGGATACGGTCTAGTGAATAACAAAGTATTAAATCATTCCTAACGTAAGAGCCCCTATTCATCAAGTTACAATATACAATTTAAACAGAATTATGCGTTCAAATGTTCTAACGGTTTTTTCCTGGATGGGAAATTTTGAGTCGCAAAATTGCAGGTATATAACCGTAAGAAATCTCCGTTAACTTCGTTCTAGATCAAAATAGAGGTAGATTTCGCGCATTTTTTTATGAACACGCACACTTGTTTGATTTTAACATGATAATATATGCAAATAAATCTTTCCTATTTCAATTTAGTGATGACCAGCATGAATTTTATTATAGCTAAAGTGAGTTTGCAATCATGTTTAGAAACGGTTTAAAGGTTTCCAAATCTTATTAAAACGGATTCTTTCGGTTAATTTGAGTCGAAAAGAAATTTAGCTCAGAATTTATACCATGTGCAAACATGCCGTACTTTATTGACATAATTTATCAATCCAGCCTTTCTGTCTTAAATTTAATAGCTTCGTTCATTTACTTCGGTTGATATCAAAATATGCAACGGGTAAGTCTAAATGGGAACGTCTCCGGAGTACACCTTTTCGTCCACTTGCTTGAAATTGTATTCGAGACGAATTTTAATTACACATGCGCCAAATTTCAATACAATTCCGAATATAAGCGGTCTTTGCAACGGTGCCGATTTTATTTATATTCGACGGTCTTATGGTTGGTTCTATGTTAAACGCATTCGAATCCAGCGCAAACGCGTGTAAAATGAAAATCGATATTAAAACAGCAATCCTTTTGGTGGAACGAGCGGTTGTTTATCTATACAGGAATTTTTCTTTAAAAACGAAGTGTGCCATCTTGGAGTCAGTCAAACTGATGACCAGCTCAAAATGGGATTGTGAACTTCTGCGAATGATGAATCGAAGCGCTCGCTCGTTTGCGTCAGAATTGGTACAATTCCATTTTAGGTGTCAAGCGTCTTATTCGCGTGCCAGAGAAATCATTTTTGTATTTACGCGCCATGCAGTATAGTCACAGGATAATTTAATAACGCTTGTAATTACCAGATAATTTGCATATAACCACAACCTTTCGACAACCGAGAATTTTGCTCTTCCTCGTAGGAGCAAGGATATTCGCAAGCAGAAATCGTGCGGTTTTAAATTTCAATCAAATATGTACCAGCGTATGAAACGAAATTTACTATTTTGTGTGAAACCGAACATACCTCGATCAGCAAATTGCACGGCCAAAGCTTTCTTGAAATCTTTTTTCTTAACTAAAAATGAGTGAGGCATTTTCAAAGCAGTATTTTGTGAAGATATGATGATCCAGTCAATGCAAACGATATGTAGTTAGATGTCTTCGCCGGTCGTATATAGATCGTGCTGCTGTAGCTGTGATTCTTGAACGCTGTGTTGGTTGTTAATATACCAAGTGATCCGTACTCTGCTCTTTTATATAATCACTCATTATGTAACAGGTGTCCCGAACCCACTTCGCTTGAAACAATGAACCCGGTAATCGTGCATCGCTCGCTTCGGCTGGCGACCAATCAGAGCGCTCGTAGCTTCCAGCGAAACAATGAGTCGGTTATAGACAGTGTGAATAATTCATTGCGTATTTTAAAAAATCGCTGGATCGTTGCACATCTCGTGGCCCTACACAATAGGTCTCGCGTTTCATCGATGCTCTTTTCAGGAGGGCCATTAAGGCACCGCGCGTCTAAAGGAATCTGAGGCCAGCTGTTAGTCTTAGCACGGCTTTCGGAACCATGCCGGGCTGGGAATACTGAATTCAATGCCAACCATGTATACACAAGAGCATAGACAAAGTTCACCCAAATTGACAAGTTTACATAATAATTCACAGTAAGACGTGTGTAATATCTAAAGTCTAATTCGTAGATGGGTATCGATCGTTTCCACGTACTCTTATTCAGGCGAAGTTCTAGCACAAGCATTTGGAAATTGTATGATAATACTCGTGTATAATAAAGATTTTGCTCTTTGTGAATAGATTTGCTTGTACCCATGTGCGTTTAATTATTCAGCAAGGCGATGTAGGTGCTTTATATCTAGATGAATAAAAATACTATTGTTCGGCCGTCAGGTACCTGGGAAATGCATGATTAGACCAAAACTAAAGCACCAGTTGTTTCTTTGGATATGGAGTTTGCTATACAAGTTTTTCCTAGTAATTCGACATACTTTTGAATATAGCTTTGTGTATTTCCAATCTCTTTGTGAGCTCTTCATCGGCAAGATTGCCGTAAGGAGAGTTAAGTTGGAAACGATTTCACGTAGGCTAAACTAGACATCATCATTCGTTAAACTTTATTTAATTGTCTGTGTAACTGTTGTCGACAGCCAACTATTATTGAAATGAATGCTGACGAATATTGCTCAACCAAGAATGACTGCAATTCTCTACTTTTGTATAGAAAAATGCAGGAATTAAACAGTTTTTCTCAGGTTTAAAAGCACCAAACTGCTTGGCTAAAGTGCAGGATAATATATAGCACGATCAATCTCATATTATATACAGCATGAAGTTTAATCGAGTTTCACACATGCTGAAATCCCTTGCGCTTTCAAACGTATCGGAAAATATTGCTGAATTAAATTTCTGTATAGACGAGGAAATGACGTGAATAAAATGAGGTTTTATAAGTGTTTGCTGGCACCATTTTTAACCGCATGTATCAATTTCACAAAAAAATACTGCACGCAATTCATTGCAGTGTGAATTTTTTGTCCTATTTAAGTTAACTGCGTGAGCAGGTGCATATACTAGATAACCATGATTTAACTGGCTATAGTTTTCGCCTCAGCGTATGTTACTTATCATAATTAACGTATAGTTTATAGCACAAATAAGTTGGCCAATGGCCATGCATATATCTTTCCGACGATGACCAATTTTACATCAACGTACCTCAACGTACTTGAGTATATATTAAGCCGGATATAAGTACTCCATTGCTTTTATAAATCTTTTATATATCTTTTAAAGAGCTCACTTGAATTTCTGCCCCCTGTTGACCAACGAAAGTTCCCTTCACAAAAGTAAAGAATGAATATCAAGAGCTATAATCGAGGGATTGCATGCCGGTGAATCGTATTTCATGGCACACATATAAACATTTGCAGTTAAATCACGTCAGCGTTCCCGTTTAAACGAGAAACGTTGAAATCAATTCGGCCGAAGTTTGGTCGGGATAAACTTTATGAAAAAGTTCAGTGATTCAATATACTATCTTTTTAAAGTTCCTTATCGCCTGCATGCAGAGGTCTTTTAATCCGTATTTTTATTAAACTGTTTAAGCTCTTTGATTTTGCGAAGCAAACATGAATTGCGTCAATATATAAGGGAATGGTTTACATTCATAAATTTCCTCGCTCAAAGCACACGGTGTTGAACAGTATATGAAAAGGCCCATTTACACTATATGCGATTTGTTGTATATACGATTCGTACCCTGGCGTATGTGAACGTATAAACACACGTTCAAATGTGACACTTTAAATTCCAACCTGAACAAAATTGAATGAAGATTGTGGGATAGACACTCTTTTGCATTTGTCCGAATAATAATTGCATACAACTTATCGTGTAGTCTAAAAGGCCTAAAGAATGAACACGTTTGTATATACGAGAACCCGCGGTTATGAATATTTTTTTTTAAAGTACTACTTATAGAATCGTAAACTATACATGTCATTCATGATTCACTATGGCACAGACGCACACACCAAATGATGTAAAGTTATTTAACGCGCGTGTCAAAAGAAACAGTTCATTAACTAAGACACATCTGCCGTTGTTTGTACTCACAGGGAAAAGTCTCTTATTATAGATCAAAATGTCTTCGTTGAAGTGGTGATTATTGTCAATAATTGTGCGTAGGATTGTCCGACTTTGTTCTACCTTTGAAGGCGCGGATTTTTTAGCTAAACAAACAACAGATGTAATCTTTGTATGCTGGACCTCTGTGTGTGTGACTGTTTAAACTCTGAGTCTCTGTAATCATTATGGGCTAATAATTGTTGTGCCTGTCAATTCGGTGTTTAACGCGGCAAGAGGTGCGTTTGTATACAGCCACAAGTATCGAAGGGGATTTCATCGGGCAACGCTGAATTAAAGCATCGTGATTCTCGCCGACCCCAAAAGCCGACGTTGCATTCATATACATATATATATTCCTAATTTCTATTCATATTTCAATTGTGACCGAGCATTTGGGCAGGTATATGCGTAACAACTAATGTATATGAATATATGATCATTTATACAGAGATTATATGGTTTTTGCTTTAAAACCAAAGCGACGTGTTTATTTATTTATTTCGATTCGATGTCAACTTTCAGTCTACGGCTGAACTGACTAAACTCGGTCAGCGTATAAGGTTTATTGTTACCACGAAGGGGATAATTATCGGACAATAGTCTTATAAAGAAGTGTTCATGAATCAATAGGGAAGCAATTTCTTGAAACAAAGCCTTGTAAAATATCTGTAAATATTTTGGCGAAGGCATGCAGCGTTGAAATTTGCTTCGGAGCGTTGGAAATGCTCGCCTGAAAGATGGTTGCGTTTTGGCGCCTATAGATTTCAGTATATTTGTATACGATGGGCTGGCTCGTAAATGTTTTGCTATCATGTATAGTTTCAGGTATAAGTGCCTTTGTTTGAAGTATAACGAGCATATGTTTCTGAACGGTACAAAGTAATTTCCAAAGAAGAATAGAACGGCCTGGATTTGTTTCCCGAAAAAATATGACATGGCGAGTAAATAATAAATCGTCAAATTTGAAGCATAGCTTAGCTATAGAAAGACCTAAATCTTTTTTAGTTATTTTTCTTTTCTGACATTGGAGCCAGATAATTTTGAGTAAAATTTGTTAAATGTGACTGGCTGTATAAACGTGCATGCCTTTTGTTTCTTGAGTACTTTATCAGCGGCCAAGCATGCAAAGAAAGCCTTGCTAGCGTTTGCGGCAGTTTATCAAGCTTGCACTGATGTACACTGGTTAGTTTTTGAACATGGACATTTTGCTGGGGGAAACTAGAGTTTATTCTTTACTCTCTGAGGAACTTGTATGAGTAAAATGTGTGGAGTCAGTTTCACATCAGATTAGAAGAGCGCATGAATCGTCTAAAAACTCTGGATTTTCTCACGAAGAACTGAGGGACTATTTCTGGAACGAAAAAGTTACATTATAATTACAAAATATGCCCGTGTTTTGGCCATCAGCCGAGAGCCGGTAATGCAAATGACCTCAAACAAAGAGTTTATAGGCGCGATGAAACCGGCTTTTGATAATAACTCACGTCAAATAACCGCGGTCATATAGATGTTATCAATACATGAAAAATATTTTATTGCCGTGTTTGAATTGAATGCTTTATGTGTCTCCGCGTGTTATATAGTTTAACTTTTACTATAACTAGTGACAGGTCCACCAATACGTAAAATCCTATTAAACTATACAATACACTGAGTACGCGGAATATAGCGGAAGACTTTCACAACAAGCCCTAGATGAGAGACTCTGGGAATCATGCACTGTACAGCCAGTCCTGAATTGTCTGCTCAAAAATAAATACAGCGATGCATGGCCATGGAGGCCCACATTAAAAACGTTGGCCATTTGGTTAGAATTTAATAGTTCTATACGATATAGTTCAGCATATAGTTGATCACATACAGAAGAATCGCGATCCATATCGATACAGTTAAAAAACGAGCCACTTAATTCATTGCTTCTGGTACCAAACAAGCAATATTTTTGTGCTGAATGCTCGTAAAAGTTCATGCTAGACCGTCATAAGTGGTCAGAACACAGAACTTACATTAAAACATTTATATACGCATGGTTTTGCAACAAATTTGAACTCCAAAGCGAACTTATTAAAGTAGCTAAACATGTTTTATTGAGAAAACAAAGTTCCGGCATTGTGTTGTTTACAAAATCTGTTAGAAAGTTGTTTTGCTTTTCTCCTTATCCAACACGTGGAAGTGAGAGTATTTGATCTTGAGCGGGTATTGTTCTCGTCTAATGTCAGAAAGCGTTGTGTAGTTGTTCTGCTGGTCAGAGCAGGTTATCTTTCACCTCTTTGTCCGACAGATTTTCACTCGCGGCAACGCCATTCGGCGGCTTTAGTCGAAGGCAGCCGCAACGCAACTTCCTATACGACTGACAAAAGAACAAATATATAATCTACAAAAAATACAAACTAAAGCAATTGACTTTTCTAAACAGTTTCTTTGTTTCATTTAACTGGTTTATGAAATAACTCGCTGAATGTTTGTGGAAGTTGACATGGCGGCATTAGTCGCGTTTGTCGTCTGTGTTTGCAATAATTTTGACCTCGTACAATGTGAAAAGTGGTTATGCATGGAGACTAACCGGTTAACGGCAAAATGTTAATGTATATTCATTATATGATAAAGTATGGCGGGTTGTCTGTTTTGGGTCAGATTGACTGATACACACCAAGTACAATTCAGTCTATCTTGGCCTTCAAGTTGTCAGAGAACCCCGGCTCACCTTTTTTCATTAAACGCGATAGAAAATAGATGATTCCGGTTGAGATGCATCATCATTTTATTATAGTGTATGAAAACAAATTCAGGTGTTCCAAACTATCATGTACTGTTAGAGTATTGGTTCGCCGCCCGTGATAGGTAAGGCTGGAAAAGTTTAAAGCATAAAAAATGGCGTACAATTTATATCAAACTTGCAAACAGAACCTCTGAATTTAAACTATATCCCAAAGGCTTTCAATAAAGCTATATAACGGTAAAATAATGATGAATAAAAACGTCGGCTTGCGAGGTTCGGAAGCAGTATTGAAAGAGGCCATCAATCAACTATTGATCAACCAGCGATAATTAATCAAGCTGATCAATTTAACTATTTGAGAGGGTCATGATTCATGAAGGGGTAAAATGGGAACTGGGATTGCACTCAGTATTTTCGGGCCGGAAAAATATACTATAAATTATATATATAAATAAATAATATTCTTTGGTGGCTAAGATTTTTATAACTTAGAGTGAGATTTCTTATAAAAGTCCAACGGGGACTGTGATTTTGCGAAAATTCGATGTGGGAAATTATATCCCCCCCTCTTCAGGGCCCTCAATCAGTTGGGTGATGACCTGCAATCAGTTGATGACCTGTTTTCATGTTATCCCAATCTCGTTCCCCGAGCCCGCGATTCCTCTGGCGAGAAAACGAAGGCTCTGGGATAATCCAAACCAGAAATGATTCTGATTGGTTGTTCACGCCGTTTTAATTTTGAAATACAAAAAACCGTTACTAATCGCAAGCCAGGATTTCTGGCTTCCGGTTTGGATTATCCCAGAGCCTTCGTTTTCTCGCCAGAGGAATCGCGGGCTCGGGGAACGAGATTGATGTTATCCACACTATTGTGGATCAACTTCTACGCGGTCAGAGCGACAGAGCCTGGGTTCTATATTATTATTTTGACAAGAAATTATGGCGAATTTCTTGAAGACAAAAAAAGTGAAACGAAAGTCGATAATCTGATCTATTTTACGGCGAAAATTGATCACAAGTGATCGTCCACAGGATTGCAGACATGGTAGATCAAACGTCTAGACAGCTAACGCCTCAAGAGGAAAAAGATTTGAACAAATTTCAGAAGTTCTTTTGTTACAAGGTATGGTGGCGTTCTCGTATGTGTATGATTACGTTTTAAATATTCTGCGATCTTGGACGTTTTGAGGCTATTTTGACGTTCTGGCATGAACCTTTTAAGAGTGTTCAGCACAAAAAGCATTGCTTTATATTCTGCAGTAACATAGTGTTAAATAGATTAAATAAATAAGTATATTTATTATTTAATACAATACGGTGCAAGTCTCAATTTATTATGATATCATTCATGATAATAATCGTTTGTGAAATTGTTTCCTGTTGAACAGAATATTCAAACAGAGGTTTGAGTAGATTTTAAGATGAAAGTCAGCTGTTTTTCACTGTCTGTGTCACTTTGATCAGCCATTCTGATCCCATACAGTACAGAGATCTTTTGCATTGGGTCAAAAAATATTCTAAGTACTGTCGTGTGGTCAAGTCATCTTGCACTGAATAAAGTAAAATACCAAAATAGGAGGGTTATTGGATACTAATAGGCTAACCGGAGGTCTTGGCAGGTTGGTTTTCAAACACATATGCAGTACTTTCCCTATAAGCAAGTGAAAATCGTCAGGAATTTGATATATGTAGTATTAAACCAGTAAAGTTAGTCAGTTATTGGTCAAAACTTTACCAACATTACCACTGCAACTAGTACCATCAACGCAACCACCATATTGCCAACTATTCACCACCTCCGTACCTCAAAATAATGATGTGTGTATTCCAAAGGTTGTTCAAGTTATCGTGCAATCTCGTCTGGGAGAGAGAATTTCGTCCACATCCAAACCAAATGCGATGGGATATGACTGGGTTAGTCACACAAAGTTTGTTGTAAATTATTTGTACATTGCATTTGTACATTCCCTATGATTTTATCCATAGACTGTCCTGGTAGGCTGTCTGAACTTATTACTGTACATGTCTAGATGTGTACTGTATTTCAACATCATTTGTACACCTTAGTTCAATTTAGCCATCAATGATTTTCAAGAAGTTCTGCAAGAGACCAAAAAGATCATGGAAAATAACAGATTGCCATCGAGGGATAATCCATTGTGCATTGAAATTTCACTTAAAACAAATGAGGTATTCTGCTATATATAAATCTGGTTTGTAAATTTTTCAAGTTTTGGGCATATCAAAAATGCATACTTTAGTGCAAATCTGACCTCTCACTTTTTACTGGAGTCATGAAATCTGTTTTTTCTATTAAAATTTTTTGTTCAATATTCAGGGTAGCACAATGGTTCTGGAGACTTGGAGACTGGGGATGGATGAAAAGTGAGTACACTCCAGTGCAATATATTACAATTGCATATAAAGTTCAGTTGCTATTGAGATAAATAAAAGATAAACATTTGAGATAAACTATAAAATAAATGGTTTATTCATCTCAATGTTAGTTGCGCATATATATCACACCTTTTTTACCCTAATAAAACAACCTACAACCCAACCTTATATACTGTAATCATGATATGAAACTTTCAAACAATCATACTGTATTGATGTTATTTCCACAGGCGAGAAAACAGCAGCAAGATTACTTACACAGTTTACAACAGAATGGGAATTTTACTCAAATCTTTGATTGCCGTGACCAGAGTTACACCTGCATACAAGATTGCCAAAAACCAAGGTCATGATTACATTCTGTGCTATAGGTAAGTGATTTCAACTGTGTGTTATGTACAATGGATTGATAAAAATGAGTTCAGTTATTCGCAAAACGTTTTAATTTTAGGCAATTCATATACTCCATTTTATGGCTGTGTGCTTTTTTAGGTCATTTATAAACTTTCTTGGCGTTTTTTGTAGGATATATTTTGGTCAGGTTCGTGTCTCTGAGTTCGGAGAAAGTGAGTATATACTTGTCTGGAAAAACTTTTATTCATATTTTCTTAAAGCATGTTCGAGAATTTCTTGCAATATTATTATAGATGACTATAAACATTGCTTAATAAATCGAGGTCTGTGTTGACAAGATGAAACAATGTTGTGTAAACGTCTTTCAGATTATCACGTGATTCCTGTTGGTAGTATTGGGACGCCGCGTGGTGGACTGGCGCTGTCGGTTGCTCATAGAACGAAGTTGGCATTACCTCAGGGCAATAGGTAATTAATGCTCGAAGTCACTATACTCGCATCAACTCTCATCACTGTGTATCAACTCGTCTCATCAACTAGCATCAACTCTCATCAGCTCTCATCAACTAGCATCATCTCTCATCAACTAGCATCAGCTCTCATCAACTAGCATCATCTCTCATCAACTAGCATCAGCTCTCATCAACTAGCATCATCTCTCATCAACTAGCATCATCTCTCATCAACTAGCATCATCTCTCATCAACTAGCATCATCTCTGATCAACTAGCATCAACTCTCATCAACTCTCATCATATATGTCATCAACTCATTCATCAACTCTCATCAAGTTTCACCAACTGAGATCCTTGTTTCACGAAGGATCGAAGTATATAGTCCAGGCCAGAAGTGTTAGCTTCATCTTTTTTCAAGGAAGTGCATAGGACAGTTAACGTCTTTTCGTTTGTTTCAGCCAAGCGTCAGCCCGGCTAGGATCAACCGTCTCACCAAGCGGTGATGTCACTGCTCAGCTTGGCAATATCACTGACTCAGGAATGCAATATCCCGTCGCAATGACGTCAGAATTCAGGTAAAATGTTGTCACGTATTGAAATACATAATAGAGAGATTTAGCATGAAGACGTGAACGTCAAAAACGACGTGAAAATGGCGAGTAAATGGCGTGGCATGTTCATATTTGGGCGCATCACGCCATTTATTCGCCATTTTCACGTTGTCTTTGACGTTCACGTCCTCATGCTAAATCACCCTAATACAATCTTAACGCTTCAGTTTACACTTGCAATTTTTGGCGCCATATTCCTCTTTTGATAGATGTAAACGAGCGGATAAGTTACGAATGCTCAAATTAGGGCAGTTACACATCAAATGAATCTATTACTATAAGCTCTTTCACATCTATCAAAAGACACTTCAGAGAACAACATGAATTTCGTTCAGGATTTGAACTCGTTTCTTTTCTGCAGGCATCATATTGTCGAGGAAATTGCGAGTGCCGTGGCGGACACTGATCTCTCAAATAGTAGTCTATCCCCCCGGACCTTCAACACAGCGCCGTCCATAGCAATAGAACCTGCTTCCCCCATCGAAACAACACCATCGAATCACACCGAGCATGTCTCCGAAAGAAGCTCTTCTGCCCCTCAAGAATTTAAAAGGTATTTTGCCGGATAAATCGAAAAAAGGTTTTCGAAGTGTAGCTTAAGGGATAGAGTTGGATAGAGGAGGACTGCGTGGGGTAAGCATTCGTCAATGGTTCGGAAAGCTCCGTTCAATCCTCGTCACTTCTGTCCTTTACAGAAGTTCTTACTTGGTTACTTTTCGTTTAGCCGAAGGAATCGGACATTTTCCGAGACAGCAAATGGCAACGATGACTGTGGTACCCACGGGGCTTTTGTATCCCAGGGAGGGACAAAAAGCTCGGTAGGTCAAAGGCAATAATATGCCGAGAAATACTAGCGCTAGTTTTCAAATAAAATTCCATTTTTTTCTTGAAAAAACTTGAACATCTCATAAAATATACCGATGTTTTTTTCTGCACAGAAATCATTAAATATTTATCATCATTTTCATTTTAGGCAGGAATCACTCCGTTGTCATCAACCCCGCCATTTGCCAGTCTTTTGCTGAATAAACCCATCAGTTCGTCCATCGGTAGAGAAACTTCAACCGCCTCGAATCAGAAAACTCCTGAGGTAAATATGTTGTAATCCTATTACCCGATTGTAAAAGGATTTGCAGGCGATAACAGGTTGTTGTGGATAAACGGGGTTTGTTGGGGATAAGACGATATTGATTAGGGATTATTAGGATTCGAAAGGTCGTATGTCGCCTTGTATTTAGGAACCCTATTTGTATCGTAGGGGCATAAAAATGGATCGATGAAAAGTATGAAAAATAACTCAAATACAAATTCAAGCGCAGTTGAAGATGACTTCATCATGGTGGAATTGGTAAATTTCGTATTTTCTTGTTCAAATTGTTTTTTCGACCAGACCGTAAAAAAGTTTGTGGGTCGTCTTACAAAAACAAGTACAAACAAAGAACATGTTGTATTCTTTCAGAAAGCGGCGTTCGCTCCAGAGACGTCCTCGACAGATCTCACTCAATTCTACCGCGATTGTCAGAATGCTCCGCCATTGCAATTGTTTGATCTTCCTGCGCATGCGCAACCGCTGAGCACTGTCATGGTGAGTGAAATATTACGCAACTTTCAGAATTTGTAATTGTTACCTTTTTTAACTAAATTGGCACTTTTCCTCGTTCTACTGTTAATAAAAGTAAACATTGAAAATTAAAAACATTCAATTTAACTTAATCATCCATCCATTCATCCCGAAAAAGTACTATTTTGGGAATATACCAATTTGGTGTCCGATATCTCACAGTAAAGCATAACAACTCTTAAAAAGTTTATTGACATTTACGAAACTTCGGTGTTTTTTTGCGAGAAAAATTGGTTTCATATAAACTTCAACAAGAGATTTCTTTTCAGGACACCATGAGTGATGAACTGGACGTTTTCGAACAGAATATGAAGAATTTTGACGAATTTGTTGAACAGTTGGAAAGCAAGAAAGGTTAATTCCCATTTAACTTGGCCCTAACTGGTTCATTGCCTGTTTCCCGTTTAAAAAGCTGAGCAAAATGTGTTGTGAACAACGTCATGAAGAGCTGGAATAGGACGAATGATGTAATGGACAAATAGGAAAGGTGATCTACCTTGCATGTACGATTTTAGCTTTCCTTTCACTGTTAAAAAAGTTTGAAAAATTTTAGGAGTGTGGATTTGGCAGAAAGTAAGTCGATTAGAATACAAAAAGTATATTTAGAAGAGTTTATTTTAAGGCATACGTGATACATGATAGTATTTAACGTGTCATAAACAGGTAAATGAAATGGATCATGGTTTTGTGAGATAGAATCATCACGATCAAAAATGATCGATCACTGTGTGTATATATGAAAAAATCTATATTTTAGTGTAAATAAAAACACAATGAATTGTTAAACCGAGTAATCTCTACAAAATACATCGTCTTAAAAAGAATCATTTGTTTACAGTCTAAAATTCCTTCGCAAAAACCTCCACAACCGCCACAGGCACTCCTTTGTTTTCTTACGAAAATACGCGCGCGGCGCGACTTTAATATCGCGATTTTTTTTCACTCGCGAAATTAAAGTCGCGCCATATTAAACTCAGTGAATCTGATGTGTGATGTGTACTTTAGACTATATATAAAAAGATCTGAATCTTTTTTCTTTTCAGTATAAATCCTTTTTAAATTTTACTTTGCATTCCTGTCCACTCCAAATGCCTAGCGCTTATGCTTGAGAAATCGTGGCTTTTGTTGGTTGGATATCGCACATTTTTTCAGCAAAACACGTACAGAGTGAGAGACCGAAACTCAATATTTGCTCGTTTAAAGGGATTTGTTACATCAGCCAGATTTTGTTGTGTCGGTGTAAAAGATATGAAGAAGAGAAGCTGGAAGCAGCCCGATGGAAACAGTGAACTCCAAATACACAACAGTTTAACAAAGGAAAAGGTACACAAGAATACACGTGAATGCTTTATAGCAGGGCACCAAATTTCAATGTAAAATTTGAAAATGATCTTCGTTCTTCAGTGAACTCCGTGGATTCTACACTCGCGAGAAATATTTCGCTTCTTTTAAAAGCTCTGTAATCAAGCTTTGTTGAAGTGTGTTGATCCTAGTATTATCCATTATAGCTGAAGCAATTACATTGTTTTCGCGTATTGTATATGTGCATGGTCTAGGGTGGTCCATCGATTAATGTGTTTGATTCAATATGCATTGTTCGATCACCACAGTTGGAAACCTCAATTAGCAAGATAATTATACAACCCTGCTTTTTTACTGCCAAATATTTTTCCAGACTGGACAGAAAGTTGGGTTTCAGTATGGCAGGCGTATTATTTCAGGCTTGAGTAAATATACAGAGTTTCTAGAAAAAGTTAATATTCATCTGCAGTGAAGTGCAAGGTTTTGATTACATGTTAAAGACAAAATTTGTACTTTTGCATGCTAATTACTGGTTCTGTATTCTGGACCACTTCTGATAACTATAGATCTTGATATTTTCATTGTTTTAACTTGGAAACAGTTGAATTTTAAGTGAATAAATGGCTTACTTAGGAATTTGCATGCAAAGTTATAAATACTTCAGCATATATACAATTTCATAAGTCTTCTGCAAGGCTTGTAATTGGAAATGTTGGGAAAGTTTAGCAACAAGATTGCGATCATTGATGCTTATATCTAGTCAAACTAGGCAGAATATGAGGGGTGCTGTTGGTGAATGCTATTCGTAGTAACCATTCAAGGCAGTCTCGCAACAAGTTCCTTACTTTTGCAGAATGATTTTATCCCAGAGAAAGGCCGCCTAGTAAAATGGTATTGTTGTGGTCCAACGGTATATGATGCGTCACACATGGGACATGCAAGGTATTGTAATTGTGTTTATTTCCTAAATTCTATATATTCATGTACCTATCCTTAATGTTATATTTATGTGTCTAACTCTGACTTGCTATCATATATATTGTTCTAACATGCACATTTTTTGGGTTCTTGTCTACTTTAAATCGAAGAGCATTAGGTAAATACTAGTTAGAAGATAAGCAGGCTTCTTTAGGAATTTTTATTCCATTTTTACAGGGCTTATATTTCATTTGATATATTGAGAAGGGTCTTTCAAGATTATTTCAAATATGATGTATTTTATGTGATGAATATTACTGATATAGATGATAAGGTAATTATTAAAATGGTGCTGCAACTGAGCTGTCTAATATTAGAGTTGATGTTTATCAAAATGCATGCGCAATATATCTAAATCCTCGCAGACTGGCATTTCTCTAATATATCATACAAGTGAAACCAGAAAATCGTAATTTAAATGAACACCATGTTTATTTATTTAATGCAGAGCTTTTGGTCTGTTGACCCAGGTCTAGTTTAGATGCTTCAATTTCAGGTTAACAGATTGAAGGCGTTTTGCATACCCATACATACGTGCATGATGTTCTTGAAAAATCATTATTTAAAGCTTGAATCAAATGAGGATATAACCCCATTCCAAGTTTTCTTGCTGTGACTTCCGTTGGTAAAAGGATAGACAAGCCCATGCAAGTCAATGCATGTAGACCTTTAAACGAGATACAAGCTAGCACAAGAAAAGCTTGCAATGGACGTTTGCCCTCGTTTGAGCTGGACTTAAGTTACATATAAATTCACCTTGCAAAATATTACATTTTTTCAAGGTTAAAATATTGTAGAAAAGTGTAATCCTGATTTTATTAAAGTATGCATTCATTTCAAGCTGTTTTTAAATGAAGTTTCATTACTTTGTAGATTATTAAACCTATATCTTTAGTCATATCCAGATATAATTTAATGGCTTGCTGTTACCCTTGCATTCAATATTTGCTTAATGATTATTATTTCAACTTGAAAGATTATTTTCAGAGCCAGAAGGAATTATTTAATGAAAGAATATAAGACAAAAAATCATTCTATTGGACAAATATTATCAGATATTGATAAATCTATGCAGGTGGGTGCTAATTAAAATATATGACAGTTTATTTGTGCTCTATTAATCTGTATATTTGACCTAATTATAGCTGAGTTTATCAAATCTTTTATAGAAATATGGGGAAAAACTTGTTGCAACTACAGATATAGACAAAAGAAATATGATGGAAAAGATTATTGTAAGTTACAACTATGATACAGTTTTTTAAACCTAAATAAAAGAGTTGCATGATGTCTTAATTCAACCTTCCTCAGAATTTTTTTATTTGAGAGTTTGTTTTTAAGAGTTGCTATGCCCCGTGTATTATTAAGTCGGTGATCTTAATGCAATAAATCTTTGCTTTGGATATTTTAGAGAGATGTTGATGAGATTAAAAAAGTTTTAATAGCCAATGACCTCTCCAGTGGAAATAATCTGGCAAATGTAAGTAGTCGGTTTAAGAATTTTCTGAGTTCAATAAACTGATACATCACACCTTAGTTGTGACTGGAATGTCGGTAGTACAATTGTGCACCCCAGATCCATGTATATGTGCTGGAATGTTATTAAAATGATGTACGTCAATTGTATGACAGACCCATGTACATATACTGGAGTGACATGGTACAAAAAGGGGACACAGATCCATTTATATTTCATGGATTGTTGCTAGAATAAAGGGAATAAAGTAACACAGATCTGTTTACATATTATGGAGTGATGCTAGAAATGTGTATTTTAGGTATTTTTAAATGTGAAAGTATTTTTCAGTAAACTGGGCAAATTTTCATGTGTTAATTATAGGAAATTTTGGACAAGGCATTTGATCCATTCTCAGCTTGGTTGGATAAACAGGTTTCTAGTTTTGTTCTTGAAAAAGCCATTTGTGGTCTATTTATGACTGCATCCATCAACAGTTGTATTATTGTAATATTTTTTGAAAGCATTGCCATACAGTAATATGTATTTCTGTTCCATATTATCTTCATATAGTTTGGCTCAGGCATAACAGATCATCAAATATTTGCAGAACTCCCCCGACACTGGGAAAACGAGTTTCACAAAGATATGGAAGCTCTAAACGTAAGATGTGTCACCATGTGCACCTATTTAGTGTCACCATATTGTACGCAAGCTGTGCCAATTAATAATCTGCAGAGAATCAAGTTTTGCATGAACTGTATTCATGTGTAAAGTATCATTTAATCTATGTATTTGTCGAGGCATTCAGAATGATATAACCCGCATTGTTTAGATACTTCCTGCAGATTGCCTCACGAGAGTTAGTCAATATGTTCCTGAAATCGTTACGTATATACAACGGATTATAGATAATGGTTATGGGTGAGTTGATTGTGACCGTTCTGGTGAACTGTTTATGAACTGGATGCACTCAATAGTCGGAGATAAACATGCCCATACCCCCCTGAAGCCAAAATAGTTACCCCAAATTTTTAGCTGAAATACTTGAGCCTAAACATCGGGCTGTGAGTATATCGATTATTTTTGTAATTTTTAAGTATTTATCCTTTATCTAGAGGCATGAAAGCTCTATAACCATTAGCTCCAGTTTCATATACAGTGCAACACCCTGTGACATTAGTTGATACTTTGGGACACTGGGTTGTATTAAGTAAAAGTGTACCTTGATGTTCCAGGTATGAAGCCGGGGGTTCGGTATATTTCGACACTGTGAAATTCGCCTCGAGTGATCAGCACGAGTATGCTCGGCTGGTGCCGGAAGCTGTCGGAGATTTGGACGCGCTTGCCGAAGGCGAGGGGGAACTAAGTCAGAATGATTTCGGAAAGAAATCTAATCGAGATTTTGCTCTGTGGAAAGCTAGCAAACCAGGGGAACCGGAATGGCCTTCACCCTGGGGGAAGGTGAGTTGGGGGGGGTTGAGGAAGAGGGTTGGTACGACTCCCGGAGGAAGAAGTGGGGCTCAGGCTCCTAAGAGGCAGATGAAGTTAGGGTCTGCCTTTCGTAAGGATGATTTGAGATTTAATATTAGAGTAAAAATTTGGTATTTTCATTCTTTCTGTGTTAGGGTCGTCCTGGTTGGCATATAGAATGCTCTGTTATGGCAAGGTAAGATAGTGTATGCTGGTGATTTTTATCGTCTGGGGTGAGGTAGGGGTCTGTGACTCTGTGACTGCTAACAATGGCACTATAAATGTTAAAATTAGGACCATCCAACCCCGAGACTAGATAGCTTGAAATCTAAATAGATGCATGGCTTGAAATCAACTATATTTTGAATTTATTTTCTTTTAGCGATGTTCTGGATTGTCCTATAGACATTCACACCGGAGGAGTTGACTTGAAATTCCCTCATCACGATAATGAACTCGCTCAAGCCGAGGTAATTATAGCAATTTTTTGGCTTTTCGAGTAAAATGCCTGCATTTTATTCGCGGTGGGAATATAGCTTTTGAAATCTTGTTTTTGATTACATTGTTTTGCGAATGAAATGGATTTTATCGTGTTTGTAGGCTCATTACAAATGCGACCAATGGATCAATTATTTTCTTCACGCTGGCCACCTGACTATCGAGGGATGCAAGATGTCAAAATCTTTGAAAAACTTTGTTACTATTAAGGTGGGTGTGATGAGCTAACTCTTAGGCCAATGAACTAACTTTTTCTGATGGACAAGTTATTACATTTTAGGGGCTGTTTACATGAGCCCGGTTACCCGAGATTCAACGAAGCGTGAGAGGACTTTGAGGTATTGAAATAAGTCTTTATGACACCAAACAAGCACATGCTATTGTTGTGGTGATTATACGACTGCCAGGATCATGTTATCTGCTCATTTCAATACCTCAAAATCATCTCACGCTTCGTTGAATCTCGGGTAACCGGGCTCATGTAAACAGCCTCTTAAAATGTACATTCAGGCTTTATGGAATAATTGGCGTCTTTTGAGTATCTGCAACTGAAGATGGCCATGCGTGTCCTCTTTTTCTGTAGGATGCACTTGCTAAGAATTCTGGCCGCCAAATACGTTTGGCTTTTCTTCTCCATTCGTGGTATTCGACTTTGGACTATAGTGAAAACGTCTTAAAGGAGGCCGTTCAAGTTGAAAAAACATTCAATGTATGTAACCAAATCTCCAGTCAATATATTTCCTTATTTGTGCTAACATTTTTCAAACTCTACCTGGTTAAATATCGCCATAGTTTTGGACAAAAGATTCACGAACAAACGTGCTTTATATTATCTAAACTATTTTGTAATTTTTGGGTTCTTTCAACCAGGATTTCTTCCTTGCTGTGAAAGACATTCTTCGTAAACCCGAGGTAGTGTCTGCCACTCGTCATAATTATCATGGCGCTGAAAAGGATCTTGAGAGAAGGTGAAATATATTCTACCATTTCATTTTATAACACAATCGCAAAAATGACGCAAAACTGGTCAGGATATGAATTTTTTATGTTTAATACATCCGTCTATCGGCATTCAACAAGGGTTGTGTGGTGAAGTATTTTGTATTTTTTGCAGTTTTCATGAGAAAAAATGCGACGTTCATTCAGCGTTGTGTGGTGAGTTAAAATTTGCTGTTGTTGGTATTTCGGTTTTGTCTTTGAAATAACTCCTGTGCGATTGTTACTTCATTTAATTATCTTTTTAATGAAACAGACAATTAATTCCCCAGAGGGTTCAGACATTTCATTTTGTTTTTAGATTCAATCGACACTCCAACAGCTCTCGCTCAAATGCAGTCTCTTGTGAAACTGACAAATATTTACATCGCTTCAAAGAAACAGGCGAACGAGTCCCCGAATCACCAATTGTTGGAAAATATCGCCAAATATATAACAGACATGCTTCGAGTGAGTAATTTGGTTCGGCTCTGTCTTAAAGCGAACCGAATATAGGGAGAAATTTACAAGTGTTTTCATTATTTTTTTGCCCGACAGGTTTTTGGCGCGAACGAGGGCTCCCAGGCGATTGGTTTCCAGACCTCTGGTTCCTCGACCGAGGCAAACCGCGAGGACATCGCTCTGCCGTATGTGCAGCTCCTGGCGGACTTCCGCGAGCAGGTCCGAAATATCGCGAGGCAGGAAAAAGTTGGGGAAATATTGAAGCTGTGCGACCGATTAAGAGACGAAGATTTGCCGAACCTTGGCGTTAAACTCGAAGATCAAGAAGGTAAAAATATCAGATAGCTTTAACGGCTTCGTTTTCACCACAGTAAAAGCATAAAATATTTGTCAATTTAAATTAATCTGAGGGTTTATGTCATCTTCTGAACATACAAACCGTTTCAGTTTCACAGTTAATTACGATCAAAATATTTCATTCTTTCCTCAATGTTTTAATCACCGCAAGGCCAACATTGGTACTATAAGTTTCAATAAACTACAAGCCAAAGTATATAAGTTGTTCGTGCATTTTCTCACATTGTAATGATGGTTTTATGTCCTATAACGATAAGTTTAATTGTGAATTTTACACTTCAGAAAGCCAGTCATCGGTGATAAAGTTTGTCGACGCTGAAACTTTAAGAAAAGAGCGGCAACAGCAGTTGGAGGTAGTGTAAACAATTCCTGAAGCCTGGTAACGAACATTCACGGGAGTTTAGGAAGATTGGACACCACTCTGCATTGTTGCGAGGTCTCTTAGCTTGGCTTAGAAGAGAGTTCAATCTTTTCCTCGCATACTTTAAATTCAGACGAGTGGAACCCGAGCATGGCTAGAAAATGCAGTATGCATCAGTTGATAATCAGGTTTGATTCGTATATTTTCTTATTCATTTCACAGGAGATTGAAAGAAAAAAACGGGAGAAAGAGGAAATCAAAAGGCGACAGGAAGAAGAGAAGGTTCCTTTGTATTTTTTGAATCAGTTTTGAGAATTTAAATCCCAAGAAATAAAAGAATTGTGTGGGTTATCGGACACCATGCAGAGATCAACTGAGTTGCTGTGTTTTTAAATGTGTTATCCGAACAGTGACGAAAGTTTTTGTTTTTTCCAGGCCGCCAAGTTGGCCAAGGCGCAGTTACCACCGTCAGAAATGTTCAAACACGAAACTGATAAATATTCAGCCTTCGATGCACAGGTAACCGGAGTTGTTTGTTCAATATTTTTAAGAATCGTGTTTCCATTTGTTAACCCGATAAGGAAAATTGAATCTGTGTTTCCACTTGTTAACCTGACAAGAAAAATTGAATCTGTGTTTCCACTTGTGAAACTTATAAGGAGAATTAAATCTGTGTTTCCATTTCTTAGCTAGAAATTCAATTTGTGTTTCCATTTCTTTAGGGCATTCCCACCCACGATGTCACAGGAGAACCAATCAGCGCTAAGCAAGTAAAGAAATTAAAAAAGCTTTATCAACAGCAGGAGAAACTTTATAATGACCTAGGGCCTGGAGCTAATAAACAATAATAATATCTAAATTGTCTGTCGTATTCGTTTTCTTCAGTTTCCGAATTCACCATTAGGGGGGAGGGGTTGGGGATGAAAATAGTAAGGTTGACATCAGAAGGGTTTCGAATAGTATGTTTCAGCGCTTGTTTTGACGGTGCTTGCGCTGTCCAGGAGTTAATTTAATGACACGAATCTGCACACATCTGCTGTCAAGCTCGAAGCTGGACCCTTGGAATCGTTTTACATTGAATGTATATAAATACAAAGAAATACTGAAGTCTACTACACCTAAACCGGCATCACATGATAAAAAAATTGAAATTTATGTTTAATTCTACAAGTTTTATACCTTTTGCGTCAGTCTGGCGGTTGCAAATTGTAATCCGAATTCCGTAATGTGTTTTAGCAGAGCTTAATAAATACCGTATACCAAGAAAAAAAATGTTCACAAAATCTGTGTTTCAACAATTAGAATTCAAAAAATTCTTTCACATCAAAGAGAGGCATGAACGAAATCAAGTGGCCATTCTTTTGTTTTCAAGAAGGGGAAAAAGCAAAATCCAGACGTGCATTTTACCTTGGAGAGTGAAACTTGTGTTCCTATAAATGAATATAAATGTCTTCGAGTTGGTTTTAATATATTTCCGTCTGCGCGCGAAATAAGATCGTAATGCGTACAGCTTGTGTAACTTAATATCATATCAATGCGTTCGCTTCATTCATCGCGTCGAACTGAGAAAAGTCTTTAACAGAATTTACAGAAATACTTTGAAAGCCTGTCATAAAAAGCTCGTCAGCTTCTGTTCAATTCTGCTGTCGCATTTTACTATCGCAACTCACACAGCGGTGCGTGATATTCCCGGGACGACATGAGACGAAATCTGTAAGTTTAATTTAAACACTACTCTGTTTACTGTCATTCCATACTTGTCTAATTCATACACATGTACATTTCATAGATAACTTCGCGTAATATTTATAACAGACTGATTCGAGTTCATTTCGTGATATACTTATTTGTGTTTTGACTGCGCGCTTCCCCGAATAATCGTTCATCATCAATTTACCCGAATGAAGTCATTCAAATGCGCAGATGTTGCTATCTCGGCTCTGAACTTCGCTTTAATGAATTTGCTCAGCTATTTATAGCGAAATTTAAGTAGTGCTTTATAAAAACTTTCACATTGAAAAGCTCTGTTTAACCGCTTCAGTTTAACCCCTTTTAACTTGGAATATTGACAACAGACAAGTTCGTAATTGCTTGTTGAATTTGTTCCCATATTTTGTTTTATAAACATCCCCACGGGGAGAAAAGCTTTGGTCAGGTCATAGTTAATTATTGTCAGGTCAAAATCGCTAAAATCCAAAACGATGAACGTTTTTCGGTACATTCGACCATGGTCGACTATGCCGTTTTCTTGTATATTCGACCATGGTCGAGTATGCTGTTTTCCGCTATATTCGACCATGGTCGAGTATACCGTTTTCCGACCATATTCGACCATGGTCGAGTATACCGTTTTCCGACCATATTCGACCATGGTCGAGTTTACCGTTTTCCGACCATATTCGACCATGGTCGAGTATACCGTTTTCCGACCATATTCGACCATGGTCGAGTACACCGTTTTCCGACCATATTCGACCATGGTCGAGTTTACCGTTTTCCGACCATATTCGACCATGGTCGAGTATACCGTTTTCCGACCACATTCGACCATGGTCGAGTACACCGTTTTCCGACCATATTCGACCATGGTCCAGTATACCGTTTTCCGACCATATTCGACCATGGTCGAGTACACCGTTTTCCGACCATATTCGACCATGGTGGAGTACACCGTTTTCCGGTCATATTTGATACTTACAAGTTGCAACTTTATATAGATGTTGTAAAAGAGCACCAAACATGCTTGAAACTTTACATAGCACCAGAATTAGACCATTTAACCAGCGTGGTTATCCATATCAAAATATTTGACATCATAACCAAAGCATGATTATATCGTTTTTAAAATGTTTGTATTTGAGCACGAAACATGCTGGAAACTTTACATAGGACAAGCATTTGACTATTAAAACAGCGTGGTTATCCATATCAAAATATTTGACATCATAACCAAAGCATGGTTATATTGTTTAATGTTTGTATATGAGCACGAAACATGCTGGAAACTTTACATATAGGACAAGCATTTGACTATTAAAACAGCGTGGTTATCCGCATCAAAATATTTGACATCATAACCAAAGCATGCATGGTTATATTGTTTAATGATGGTATATGAGCGCCAAATATGCTGGAAACTTTACATAGGACAAGCATTTGACTATTAAAACAGCGTGGTTATCCATATCAAAATATTTGACATCATAACCAAAGCATGGTTATATTGTTTAATGTTTGTATATGAGCGCCAAACATGCTGGAAACTTTACATTGGACAAGCATTTGACTATTAAAACAGCGTGGTTATCCACATCAAAATATTTTACATCATAACCAAAGCATGGTTATATTGTTTAATGTTTGTATATTAGCGCCAAACATGCTGGAAACTTTACATTGGACAAGCATTTGACTATTAAAACAGCGTGGTTATCCACATCAAAATATTTGACATCATAACCAAAGCATGGTTATATATTTTAATGTTTGTATATGAGCTCCAAACGTGCTGGAGACTTTTCAAAGCATCTATTATTTCCCAATAATCCTTAACTTGAGAGTCATTTGCGGCCATTTCAGAGGCCTATGGCTATGTATATTTCAAAATTTTCCCGGACTCTCCTAGCAGGCGCGCGGTTCCGAGCCCAAGCAATACGAAAAACGCTCCGCGGTCCCTGATTACTATTTTATTTTCTCATCTCTTTAAAACTTTTCCCATTCATTTAGACTATTCGCTGCGCTGCTGTTTTACTGCACATTGCTGAACCCTTCTTCAGGTATATCTTCTCAGAATCTCCAGACTTTCGTTCCACTCGTTGAAGACACGATCAAAGTAGAAATTAGAAAAAACTAGACGTCCTTCAGAAGTCAAACTTTTCATGTGCTGAATCGAATGTAAATGAACTTAAAGACCTTTTCTCATTAACAATAGGTTCGGCACATGAAAAGTTGGACGTCTGAAACAGGTTTAACTAGTTACTATGGGGCTGCTTACATTATCCGGCTTAGCTGAAATTTAACAAATCGTGAGATGATTTTGAGGTATTGAAATGAGTTTTTTATGAAACCAAACAAGCGCATGCTATTGTTAGGATGACTGCACGACTACCAGGATCATGTTATATACTCATTTCAATACCTCAGAATCATGTCATGCTTCGTTGAATCTCGTTGGAAGGTTGCGTTTGAAACACGCTCCATATCTCCCTGAGAACCCGCATTTCTAAAAACTTATACTTTCCTATAATATCCGATTCTTGGAAATCATCAACCATCTTCGTATCTTCTTCACTATAGCATTCCGCTGTGGGAAAATTCTCTCCGGTTTATATGGCAAGTTCCACCCCCCTGGATTTCCAGAAAACTATTACGATTTCCTGCAATGTACGTGGAGCATTACGGTCGGGGAAGGTTTTCATGTGAAACTGATGTTCACTGTTTTTGACGTGGAATATTATCCTAACTGTTCCTATGACTACCTGAGGGTTGTCGAGAAAGGCCGAGTTCTGGGCAAATACTGTGGCTCAGCGAAAAAGGGCCATTCCGAAGCCATATCGCAGTTGGAATCTAAGGGAAATAGCATAAAAGTCATGTTCCATTCAGATTACTCCAACGAGAAGAAATTTCGGGGCTTTGAAGCACATTACAGAGCTGTAGGTAGGCTTGAAAATAGTGAATGATCTTTAACAGCTGAACGAAGGTCTATTCAAGCGATCCAGTTTTCTCAGATCAAACTCGCTTCTGATGGATGTCTTATAGTCTGTTGACTTGCAAAGTATATGGGCTGCAAATCAACTAAAACCAATGCAATACTGCTTTATCAATAACAAACTATATTCCATACATCAGAAGTGAATTGAACGGATGAAATTTGTTCGTGTGAAGAAACACGTTAAGAATTTTAACTTCGGAAGGGAACACGATTTGTGTTAACAATTGATTAATATTTGACGTTCAGTCAACATCTTCAGCCGGTATATGCAATGAATTTGCATGTAAAAGCCGTAGTTTTTCACTGACCATTAATTAGACTGTATGGTTGAGTAAAATCTATTGTTCTCGCTCTGTTCAATTTTGCATAAACATAAAAAATGTATTAAGGACCTTAGTCAGCCTACCTTGATCAAACTCGTTTAAATCTCGTGGTAAATCGAGTCTCCAATCACCTTTTTACTGACGAATCTTTAAGCTAAACTTAAGGTTATCAGATTTTACAATACCACCTTTGACTAAAACGTGTAATATATTTGGTAGTACGAAGCACTTCGAATTCCTGAAGGTGGAAATTTACTGAGTAAAATGGGATTTTCATCAGACCATGCGGTTGAGCCTTTATTGATCTTAACAACAGAGTAACAGTGTACATTTATAGCTAACAGCTTGATCCTTATTTGTTCGAAGAAAGTAAGTCTAGAAACTTAATATTGCTGTGATATCTACTAGAGATGACCGTTGAAGATCCGTTTAGACGAATTTAGGCGAAGACCGAAAAGTTTGACTATTCAGACAAACACCGCAGATATAGTTCTTCCTGACGAATAACTGTCTGTTATCATTATATAGACTTTGCTTTACTATGAAGTATTTTCAGATAAATTATCGGACTCTAGTATAAGTTTGGCATTATTTTGGCTATACCATGGCTATGATATCCTTGAAATTTTGCATGTTGAATTAATAAATTCGTAGCAACAGCATTCATGTGTATATTTATTATACGCAGTGCTTTCAGTGTAACGTTTCAAGTAAATATAATAGATAAACGCGGTCTTCCTACAAATTGATGCTTTAAACACATGATAACATGGCCATTATATCTGTTATTTTAGATGTGAACGAATGTGCTGTTAATAATGGTGGTTGCGATCAAATATGTCACAATTATCTTGGTGGATATTATTGTTCGTGTCGCCTGAATTATCGCCTCAAGAAGAACAAGAAAAGTTGTGAATATGGTAGGTTAAAGTGATTGGAAATACGTATAACTGCAGTAGCATCCGTCTAGAATCCATGAGATATGAACGACAACAATTTTTAACCCCAGTTTAGACACTATTAAGGTGTCTGTAATAGCAATTGCATTCTTGCATAGTTTAATCCGTGGATTTTAAGAATTTGTAACGAAAATACAACGTGCATAACTTTGTGTTATAATCATAATGGTGGTTTACATTTGCTAGTGTTTTCCTTTAGGATCCCTTAGTTTGTTCTTTGGTGTTTCCAATATCATCTTTTAGTTTTCATCTTCTAATTTAGTCAAATGCAAGAATGTTCATTTGCGACGATTACACGGAACGATAAGCAGTCCTGAATTCCCAAACAACTACCCCAGTTATTCAAACTGTACCTGGACAATCACTGTACCACGTGGCTATCGTATTGTACTGCAGTTTATTGAGGTGAGTTTGGACTTTGGACCGATTCGTACCGAGGATTATTCTGAGGTGAAATGACAGCTAGATGTACAATGCTATACTGAATGTGCAGCGATAAATAAGATTTGTGTAGTCATGCATAAGAGATTTTCTGCAGTGATAAATTTATCATTTATTTTTTACTCAGTTCGAAATTGAAACACATCCAGACGTGATCTGTCCTTATGATCATCTCAGCATCACAGCCGGGGGAAACTCTGGTCGCTTATGCGGTAAAATTCCTCCGAAAAACATCACTTCGACCTCCAATTTTATGACCGTTAGATTTGTTACGGACGCCTCGAAGAATTTGCAAGGATTCCTTGCCCAATTTCACACCGAAGGTAAGGTTTTTTCCATTTGTAAATATCTGTGTTAGTGATAGAAGTACAATTATAGAATACCAGGCCAATAGTCCATTATGTTAAAGATCTGTTAGAGGATCGATTTTAGAGTATAGAACTGCCCTTTTCTTTAAAAATAGTGTTTATTCTTGTTCTCTGGAAGTCTAATTCACGGATTAAGTAACATAAAACAAGGTACATTTATCTAGAAGACTATATGACATTCACTGTTAAGATGTGGGTTGGCCAGGTATTCTATAATTGCTCCATGAAAAGAATGAATGATCAATAAATGATCGATGAATGATCGATGAATGATCAATAAACATAAGTTTAACACTCAAATTTGAATAATTTTTACCCTGTCGCAGGTTTTACGATCATGAAAAGATTTTGCATCCGTAAATATTTGGATTCAAATCATTCAATTGCAAAAATGTAAAGCAATTTCAGTTTGAACCTAATCTTTCTCTGCATCTCAAAGAAATTTTGATTAATGTAATCGATTTTAGCCCTTGAAAATTGTTCTGCTAAGATCCAAGAACCCTGCCATCTCCCGAGAGTAAAAAACTAGGGATTTTGATATTCTAACCTAACTATATACAACCATCATTTTACCAAATGAATTGTTCGTAGAATGGAGATGTTTTTTTTAACAGAACAAAGAATCATTCTGATATATTTCATATTTTTACAATTGTATTGATATTTGCAGGGGTGAAATGTCCAGAATTAAAGAGTCCATTGAACGGTGCAATGAATGCTTCCGGTTTTTCATTCAAAGATGAGATCTTCTTCCAGTGTTATCCTGGTTACATCATGAATGGCGTGGCCAGGATTTGGTGCAGAAGCTCTGGAGAATGGACTATGGAACCACCTGTTTGTGAACGTAAGTCACGAGACGTTACTTCAAATTGTTTAACTCGTAATTTTCAAATTTGAAACCTGACTTCCCAAAAGGTTTCATTCGTGGATAAGGAAGAGACTATTGGTGAAGAAGACTATTCTAAAATGCTTATTTTTGACCGGTCGTTCGTTCGACAATGCTCGCCCTTTCGGAGAAAAAATATAATATTTTTGACAGAAATGCTGAGGAAAGTCTGTCAAAAGGTGGCTAAATCGCACTTAATTGATACCACAAGTCAAATCTTTTTATAGCACGTCTTTTTATACTGACAAAATCGCAGTTATAGTCGAACTCATCCGGTTTTGAAAATCAAATGAACAACAAGCCAAAGCAAGGCACTACCATGTCTCACAATTTGAGAAAATAGACTTTGAGAACTGCATTGTTGTTCTAAGAATTATCGCAAAAAATCCACAATTTCAAACGTTAGGCTTCGGTAAGATATTCGATTATCTTGTTTAAATATTGCGATCCTTTTTTCCAGCGATTTCTTGCGGGCATCCTGGCATTCCGATACGGGGCAGAGTTCGTATCGGCGGTCTGACCTTCGGAGAATCAGTCTGGTTCGAATGTAATGATTTCTATGAAATTTACGGGATGGATGAATTGACGTGTGAAGATGATGGATTCTGGTCGGATAGTCTGCCCGAGTGTGTACCAGGTATGGTCACATTTAGCCACCTCTGAATAATCCTAACCGCGAAGAATTTTCAAAGATCTCTAAAAATTTTATTTCCCTCATCTTACGACAATTTGCAAAACGTTTAGTATTTTGCTAAATTTAGTTTTCTCTTTCCGTTTTGTACCGAATGAGTTTCAAAATGAAAACTGAAAGTTTGACAACTAAAAGTTTTCACTGACTCTGTTCCCTCACTTTTATTTACAGTTTGTGGTAATTCTAGTTTTGCCAACGAATATCGTCAGGGTTGCCGTGGTAACATTGTTGGCGGGAACGATGCCGTCCCAGGTTCCTACCCCTGGCACGCATTGTTGAAACTGGATGGTCGTGGAGTGTGCGGTGCCTCGCTTCTTAACGAATTTTGGCTGATCACAGGTAAGTAGCGAGGTTATGGCGAAGGTCGTTTATACAGTTATATGGCACCTACGACCTGGTTATAAAGAATTCAGAGGCCATTGATACAGGTATATGCTACACACGGGCGGGTTTAGGTCTTTGCTTGATCCTATTGACATCCTAACAGGAACAACTTGAGAATTTTGATTTTCTTGTACGTTTGCATGGTGACAATCGATAAGTAATTTAGCTTGTAGGTACCAGTAGCGTCGCCAGCTTGATAAGTGGGGGGGACTTATTCATATATTCGTGTTTTATATTATTCATTTCTTTTCAAATTGATTGTTTTATCGGTCTGTCAACATGAATATATGAATATGTCCACCCCACTTATCGATGCTGGCGACGCCACTAGTAGGTACACCACGTAAGTATTTAATACTGCAAAGCTTTCGGTCCGTTAAAATGTAAATTTTATTTCAAGTAATTGCACCGATGATTGCACAGTTTGACTGAGTTCACTTTTAGTTAGGGTTAATGAGTCACTCGTGAGAACGCGTCCTATTTATTTCTTATAAATGTTACAATTATTTATTTTCTCATTTCATGTCAGCGGCCCACTGTGTGGTTAACAAGAAACGTCAAGTAGTTCGACCACGAAGATTCACAGTCGTTCTTGGTCTGCACAACAGATCTCAGGAGAACGAGACTCAAGTTAAAGAGATGCACATTGGTCAGATATTCGAGCATAGGGATTATAATCCAACCACCTTCCAGGCTGATCTTGCCTTACTACGACTGACCCACCCAGTTATTATGAGTGACTTTGTTAAACCAATATGTCTCCCAGATACCGACAGGTAAGTGAGATTATTCAATAACAAAAATTGTCTAGGCGATCATTTGATCAATGGAATTAAATTAAATATGCGCGCAACAATTAAAATATATTTAAAAAATTAAGTTAATTAAGAACATAAAGAACAGCTCGATACTTGAAACCGTCATCAGTATGCATTACATGACGTACATTACTTCTGTATTTTACAGTAGTGACGATGTCATCAGGCCGGGTGCTCGCGGTGTTGTGGCGGGTTGGGGCCGAGCATCAAGCACCAAGCTCTTTCCTAACATCCTCCAAGAGGTTTGTCTTCCCGTCGTCGAGACATCGGCGTGTCGTCGTGCGTTCGCCGCGGAAGGATATCCCGTAACAGCAGATATGTTCTGCGCAGGGCCTGCAGACGGGGGGAAGGACGTGTGTAAGGGTGATTCCGGGGGTGGGTACGTGTTTCAAGACCCAGGGGACGAAAGGTGGTTTCTAGGTGGGTTAGTGTCGTGGGGGAGTAGTGAGGGATGTGCGCTGCCTAATAAGTACGGCGTGTATTTGAACGTGAAAGATTACATGGACTGGGTAGAAGATCGAATATACCGATGAAGTTCGCGCAAGATTTTCTCACGAGGACACAAAAATTTCAACCATAATAGAATATTATCGTATTTCGCAGTTAATGTAGTTTGTGAATAGAGAATTTTTACAAAGTTTTCAGCGAGGATTTCAACTTGGTTTTAGTCCAAGCAGACAAAATATACGCATATATTTTTATGGCGTTTTACACCCTCAGACATTTATTAGTTTTGAAAAGGATTTATTTGTTCAAGTGAATCTGAGATATCTTTTTTTAATATCTCTTTATCGCAATGGGACCAAATCGCTTCGCGTCTTTACAGTGGAAGATACCACCTTAGAATGAATTCATCCAGATTTAGTCACGTGTATAGAGTTCCATAAATAGATGCTGATCTCTCTATTACTGAATATATGAGCTCAATCATGTTATCTAATGGCGCACTGATCTCATGAAACACTGGATATGGCAACTATAGCTGTAAAAACCAAGAAAATGAATTAATAAACTTCCGCTTCATTCACATTCTGCTTGAAACAATAGCTTTGAAGAAATGTCTAATGTTCTTCTAAGTCTAAGAAATTCGACGGATTCCTGGACGGAATTTTAAATGTGATGGTCCAATATACAAAACACGCAGTTTCACTTTCATACGATACTAGACTGACGAGGCGGCAAGGTCGATTAAAGTGACTTGGAAAGGTAATACAACTGCCATTTACACTGTGATGTGCCCAGTCAGGTACAGTTTTATTACTGTTTTTATTCTACAAAATCTACTATTAAAAGTCTGAACGTGATTAGGCGAACACTCGTAAGAACAATTACAGCAACTGACAAACAGAACCTCAACTATATAATAACAGCATAAGCACAATTTGTAGAAGACTCAAACGGCTAAATTAAAGCACGAACGAAACACAAAGTCCCATGCAAGGTGCTCACCGTCACAATACAACATATAACATATAACAGACCCTGCACTGTCAATATTAAAAGACTGGCAATAAATAAACAAGGTATAATAAAGATTTAAAAAAACAGGTTCTTTAAACTCTATCGTACGAAATCAAGACTACAAAATACGATCCTGTCGCAACAGACACAGGCGAGAAATTAAGTTTCGTTTTTGTCACGCATATATATATATATATATATATATATATATATATATATATATATATATATATATATATATATATATATATATATATATATATATATATATATATATATATATATATATATAAGTAGGTTTTTATTTTACACGCGAGGTGGGAGATCTTTACAATTTTGAACTACTGTTCCCGGCTAAAGTGTACTCCTGCGTTTTTGTGGCAAAAATTTATTATTTACCACGTCATGCCATGTGATATTTCCTATTCTATAACTATTTTAATATGCATATATCTGAATACAATACATAAAGTTTCCGGTTTACATACATAAAAAAAACTGCCAAGTTTCGTTTTCGTATTCAGATGAAAGAGACGCATTGAGTCGTTGACAATCGCTTCTCAACTTCTGATAATGTAGACCTCGCTTATGATTTATGTGAATAACTGAATATCTTGGCTGGTAAAGGAACTACGTAAACTTCATCGTTATCAAAGATCATGAGACATTTGAAATAATATATCGAGGTTTGTATTAGTATTGTGTTGATTGCTTTGGTCACGTCTCAACATGTCGATGACAGATCAAATTTGCGAAGAATATTTTTCTACTGTAATTTGATCTACATTTTTAAGCTAAATTGCAACCGTCATACTCAAATTTATGGCATAAAACGAGCGGTGAGAACTGAGAACTACTCATTTGCTTAGTAATGATCTTTGACACAGCGACAGGATCAGAAGATCGCATAATCAGCATGATATAAATTTCTTGTTATAATTATTCTTTCTCGTTTAGAATACGAGTTAAAAAGTGAAGAATATATCATCAAGTTGGTGAGTACTTTTTAAACCTTTAAGAATATGTTATGTTACGTTTTGACGCATGATTTTCTGAGATATGATATTCAGAAGCAAGGTATAAAATCAAACTATTCCCCACCCACGCAATACATGGCGTATGTTGAAATTCATGCTTCAAGATAATTGTCTGCCGTAACACGATCAGTTTTGCCGTCTATTTTTTTTCTCTCTTATATTGAGACATGGTTTGCTCATTAAATTTATAAATCAATCACATCCCTTCATTCAAACACAATATTAAACGAGAAGTTCCGGAATATTCAGCTACTCCAAAGTTTTGGTTGCTATTTACTTATGGAGTAGTTTGCTCGTTGAACAAGAAACCATTTGGAGTAAAATTTACCTTGTAGTGTGGTTGAAGATTTATCTCTTTGCTAATCGACTTTGGATTTTAAATATTGTTTATTATATGTACTTCCTAATGGTATGGAAAGGGGCACAATCACACGTTGATATATCGTCTGCTTTTTGGCACGTTCGTTATCCTGAAGTACAAAACTCGCGTTAGCAACGCTGCGAATCTATACAAGGATAATAAATTTGTTGGAATATTTAGCGCGTAGACCATAGTGGCGACCATAGTGTGAGATTTCGTCCGATGTCTAGCTCTGCTGTGATGTTTCAAAATTATTAGCGTCATTATCCGACCCGACCGCATTGCATGCAGGAAGAAGTAAAAGAATGTATGTTGAAGGGAAAGAAAGAGCTATCACAATGCAACGCGCATAGCCAAATCGAGATTTTGGCTCCTAATGTATAGACTAGGAGTGCTGCTTATAGTGCGGGGCAAAGTGACAAATAAAATGCATAGATTCTGTGCGCAGCAGGAGTTGCGTTGAGCCATCACATAAAATGACGAGTGTCTTGAAATTGGCATTTAATTATGGAATGCATAGCTTGTGGGTTATCTTGCAAATTCAGTGAGCGTATAAATTGTAAAAGCAACATTGTTATGAGATTTTTGAATCATTAGGACTGCATATGTATGACATCGAGGTCAATTTGATCTTATTTTTCCGACTTAAATCTAACACTGGTAAAACTATATAATAATTCATTTGGTAAGCTTTTTAAAACGACGATTATTTTGGTAACAGCAATAAGCCTAGTACTGTCTAGTACACCACATAATCAGCTGACCTAATAATGATTTCATCTTCCTCGTTTAGAATATAAGTTAAAGTATATACGTAATGTACTAAATAAATGTAGTGGTAGTAGAGCTGGGCCATAATAAGTCTTGTCCGACTTCTTTAGACTTGTCCGATTTCCTAGCGGTCGTCTCTTTGCACGGATATGGGAAAGCTCAAAACCGCGAAATTTAGTTTCTATTTAAATTCAAGAGAAATCGAGAGAAAGGATGTGTCTTGTGCGACTGAAACTGTCGAATTTCAACAAACATTGCATAATGATGGCGATCATATATATATATATATATATATATATATATATATATAATATATATTATATATATATATTATATATATATATATTAATATATATATATATAATATATATATTATATAATATATATAATATTATATATATACACCCATTTGCAAAAACGTTGGCCGCAGATATATATTATATATAATATATATAATATAATATATATAATATATATATATATATAATATATATATAATATATATATAATATATTTATATATATATTATATATATATATATGACAATCATGGTCTTTGAAGCATACTGAATATTTCTGCGTTGTTGACGTTCAATTCATTATATAATTAGCCCACTTTTCATGCGATTTTGCAACACTAATGGTTACGCCGTCTGCTGTATTCATTGTATGCTATAAACGAAGTCCAGCTGGCAATAAATCATCGCTGTAATGATTGAAATTAACATATAGTGTTAAGTTACAAATTCCTAAAATTCGCTTCGTTTTCAAAGAATAAGACAAACCCATTGATATGTCTGTATTTTTGGGAATTGTTGCATGTGAATATTTTAAGTAATAGTGCAATTCGGTAATCGTCCTGATAATCAATGTTGGAGAATTTGAAAGAACTGAGGTTTTTATTTTGGTATTTTGTATATTATTTCCCTCACGCCGCGATTGCGACATAAGTCATATAACATCCAGACAAACGACAAATTGGTTGAGAATTTAAAAATATTTCTTAATTTTTTATGGCGAAGCATTTCACGACGTTTGCAGAGGTTTACTTTGAAGCCATAATTGCGGCCCTGATTTTGAGCGTGATTTGTTTAAGTTCATTTGCATTCGATTCGAAACGGGTCTTAGCTTGAATTAACTTCTAGAACAGGCGGTAGTCTGCCTAATCATTAGACCGCAGCACCGAAATTTTTTTGTTCGAAAATCATCAGATAATTTTGGCATGATTAAAGTTTATGTGAAATTATCCTCTCACTCTCCTCTCCCCATATGCATGGCAAAAAATGAGCGATTGTGATTACGTGGCACTTAAGTCACTAATGGATCATCTGATCTGATTCCGGATTCCCAATATTTACAGTAAGGTCTGCCTTGCCTTGTTGGACTTGTTGTTTTACAGACGATGTATAAAATCTGTTCTGTGCACATCTGCTCGTAACAAACTAACATGGCTGTTGGGAAATTAAATATTTAATGATTAATTCTTCATATTGTTTTTGCGGTTCTGCTTTTGAAATGTCGCTTGTTTTGTTATGAGTAGAAAATATGCGCCGAACCATCTTAAATGTAGTGTAGAGAGCATTCCACTTATCCGATATCGGTTTTATCGAGCAACTCTATTACTCTAATGAATCCGACGCCAGAGAACAGAGGAAAGCTGCCGAATACAAAACAGTTCAGGCAGTAAGAACACTTCGGACCATACATTAAGGGTCCATTAACGAACCAGATGCCGATGGTATAAGCTGAAAAGCTATCGCGAAATGGAGCAATCGTGCAACGATCATGGCATCGAAACTACAACGAAGACTTGATCGTAGGCGTCAGTAAATAGCAAAAGTTTTCTTATGATCTTGATTGCGCGACTTGCTCTCCGTGACCCCAGAACATAATATCATTACGCTAGATATACAGTATTCAAATTACAAATAGATTCTCTGGTAGTAATCTGGCAATTGTACTTAACTTAATTCTAAAGTTTCGTCCTAGTTGATCGTCATTCGTAATTGCGCACATACAGTTCACCCGGGTGTAGATAAAAGGCGGACGCGGACCCCTAATACATTTTACTGCCCTATATAAATATTATATTAATAGCATTACGATTGAGGTTTTCCTGTGGCTCATGAGTGCCGGTATTTCTACAATGTGTTTATGTGTAGTTAAGTCACGCATGCCTGTGTGATTCTCTGTTTTTTTTTCATTACAAGTCAACTGAGCTAGAGTATGAGTGGAGTTCCCATGCGTTTTTAAAAAAATAGTTCAATGAGAGACTGAGAGTTATCAATATTAACTGAGAAATCTAACACGTCTCGCGCAAAAGAAACATATCAAATCATGTGTATATAAATATAACCCAGTACATTTCGCTTTTATTATGGCATCTTTTTTACCAACATTCTTTAGCTGTCTTTACTAAAGTGTGCTAACTCGCATCTTTTGAGACGTTATTTACCGAACCTTTATCTGTTAACTTAAACACTGCCTTCGCGTTTACAACACAGTGACTCAATTGGTCATGACTCATGGCGTATTTGCAATTATTGCACGACTGCTGCCAGGAACGTACAATTATTAAAGCCATTTCACAACGCATTTTGATAATATATGAGTCCTTTTATACAGAATTGTCTGTTAAGTAAGAAAAACCACTTTTTTGCGCGGTTAGCTTCTACTTATTACTCCATGCAATAGAGTTACTAAATTGTCGCGTCGAACGAGTTCCTATTGTGACGTCAAACACCTTGTTTCGCACCAGTCTCATTTGCGCGGTTTTCAGAGTTTTCATTCCACCAAAATCAATGTTTAGATGGCAATAACTCGAAAAATAAAAATCCAATTTCAGTTTTGATTTAGAACTTACTAACTCATTTCAAACAAAGATTCTAAAAATCTAAATTCCAATTTTATGACATGGACACTTTAATTACTCATACGCAATACCTGACACCATGACATCAGTGTGTGGGCGTAGCCTCACTGTCTCCACAGTTGTTAACTTTCACCGTAGCATGAGAACGAACGAATATGACCAATGTACAGGAATCTTTTGTGCTCGGTATGCACGTGTGAACGAGATAAGGCAAAAACGAACGAGAACATGCAGAATAAACTATTGTGTACAGAATAAATCACAGCAATTAATTAAACCCCTCAGTACTGGCAATGCATGTATTTGGCATATTACTAATTACTAGCCTGCATGCGTAGGTTGGATATTTCATAATTATACAATACAATACAATACAATACAATACAAACAATTTATTTAAACACGGAGGAATATTCAGTTAAAAAATACAACTGGTTTACAAAATTGCCGTGAGAGAGTCGTTATATATATTAGTAAAATAATCATTTGTAGCTTTCTTAAATTGAGGAAAGAGGGTTAAATTACGCATTTCTTCAGGAAAGCTATTCCATAGCAAAGCCCCGCTATAGCATAAGCTACGTTTTAGATAGTTCGTTCGTGGTTTTAGTAAGTTTACTTTAAATTGATCATTTCTAAAGTCATACTCAGAATTTCGAATAGAAAACAAGGTTTGTAAATATGGAGGCACATTTCCTTTTAATATTTTAAACATCAACTGAGACTTCAATTTTTTACGTCGTATATAGAGATTATCTAATTGCAAGCGATTTAAGAGAGCACAAGCGTTGTTATCATAACTTTTCCTCGTTATGACTCGAACTGCTCGGTTTTGTAATTTTTGTAATTTTTTTGCAAGTGTGTCCCCTAATTCATCCCAAACCGAGCAGCAGTAGTCAAAATGAGGTTGTATTAAAGCGAAATAAAACTGAACTGCCGCTTTGCGCGATATAAAGGGTCTTACGCGCTTTAACGCTCCAATAGCCGAAGAAACCTTTTGTCAATATGCTCTGACCACGAGAGGTGACTATCAATATACATACCTAGAGATTTGGAAACATTGACCCTGTTTATTTCACGATTGTTAATGGAAATAGATATATCGTTATCGGTAGTATTAATTCTTTAGTATTAAGCTTATTAGCTGTAAGCCAGTTATTCAGATTCACTTTTGTTTTCTATTCGTTAGATATGACCTAAACCAATTTAGACTACCTGGATCAACTCCATAATTTGTTAGCTTTAGCAGAAGAATTTCATGGTCAATGGTGTCAAAAGCTTTTTTTAGGTCGATAAAGACTACCGCATTTAACAAGCCGTTATCTATATTAACCGACCAATCATTTGTTGCCTCCAGTAGTGCTGTTAGTGTACTGTGAAATGATCTAAACCCAAATTGACAAGAAGTCAGCAGCTTTTTCTCATTAAGATAATCATAAAGTTAGTCGTAAATGATTTTTTCGAAAATATTGGACATCGTTGGTATGATCGATATAGGTCGGTAGTTAACTGGATCAGTTTTAGCGCCACTTTTGTATAAGGATGACACTCTAGCTTCCTTCCAATCGTTTGGAAATATTCCAGTGGCAATAGACTGGATAAAAATTTCTGTCAGTGAGGGTGCTATCACATCGGATGCTATTTTCAACAGTTTATTAGGGATATTATCCAGCCCAGCCGATTTTTTCACATCAATTGTTTTCAGAAGTTTTTTATCTAATTAATTTAACTGTTATAGTTAGAGTTTGAATGCCAAAGCATCCTGTTGGGACCCACGAGTGTATAAGTAAATGTTTGATAGTTATTTTTATGCATGTGGTATGGCAGTGAAATTTGTTTATATACCCACAAATGGCTTTTATTACCAATACGCATTTATTCGCGTTACAATTATGGATAACCGTGAGACTTTTGTTCCTGCCGCGAGACTTGTGTTTGTGCCGTGTATACTTAGATAACAATATTTAAATTTACAACTAAGCACCATGACCTTCAACATGAAGCCTCGTACCCAGGCGCTTCAATAGTAAAAAAAATGTTGCATTCAGCTGAAAAAACGCAAGCGCTCGGGGGTGCTAGGGATGGTTTTGGCAAAAGCGAGCAGAAAATGATTTCAACATGTAAACAATCAAATGAATTATACAATATAATACAACACAACATAATTATATACTATAATTACATGAATTGGAATCAATTTACTTTTAAATTAAAGTTGTTGCCATATCGCGTTGAATTCATCATCGGATTATCAAACCTGTAAACAAAAGAATATGAGTTTATATTTTATGTCATGAACAGAAACCTCTTTAATATATGTTGTAAATGCGTTCGCTTTTCCCAATAGTAAATATGTAAATACGGCAGGCGATTATTCGAGTACTCTAGCTACGATGTATAAGATGATGATTCTTCGCCAAAGGAAACGTTCATAATACTTGGCTAGCCCATCGACGGTCGATTCCAGTAAAAATATATAGATAATGAAAAAAACCCTGCAAAATCGTTCACAATTTGTCAGAAATCAGTCATTTTCTGCCAGGCCTGAATGCCACGTTATATATTTTACTATTAAAGCGCCTGGATACGAGGCTGTACAACATGTCCTTAATTCTTGAGCAAATGTAGGCCTATTGGGCATTTTATGAGTTGCGTTAAGCCGTTAACCCTCACGAGCAAAAATTCGCGAATTCAAATTTTGCTATAGGTGATTTCAATAGTTTTGGGTTTTTGGGATACCTTGTAGGAGAAATGGTGCATTGCGAAATAATGAAGAGTTTTTGTAGTTAACATTCACCGAAGGCGTTAAACCAACGTAAATTCAGTTATTTAAATTTCTAACGCATGAAGTTGATTCTTATGGGCGGCATTTGTAATACATGTAAATGTTCATATGCACATATTGTTTATACTGTAGAATGTGCAAATTTTGAAGAATTTATTGTGCTTCAATTAGCTAATATATATCAATGTCAGATCGAACGTAGCTATGTCGGTACCTGTACACGCCTAATCATATATAGATCTCATTAGATTTCTTATCTTATCGTGTCGTACATGTCAAGTTGTTCATAATCGTGCAGAGTTTAAAAATATGAAACGTTTCTAGGCAAAGCCACAAGAGTCACAAGGGAATACTGACATTAGTTATTTGTGCGGCCCCGACAACGTAATAAAGAGCAATAAAGCCTTCTAGCGATCCCTTTCTTTCAAGTTATATAAAACTCGTTTTATACCTTAACCCAGTGTCAGATTTAAGAACTCCAATATATTCAGTACTTTCGGGAATAGAAATATTTTCGTAATATATTCAAGCGAGTACTATGATTTAAAACTGGGATACATTCGCACAGAGCTACATCCATGACGATCTTAGAAAGTTATAGTGAGTAAGGTATTTACCGTTTCCCCGAGTTGTGAAATATAAAATTTGAGACATGCCACAAGTCCAGAGTTATAACACCTCATGCAAGCAAATTCCATGTTCGCGTTCCGTGCAAGCAAGTCGAACTACGATATATATCATGGTAAACCGCGATATTGCCAATCGTGTTATTGAATAGTGGTAGCCGCTTTCTTTAAGAAAATTGGTAAACGCATTGAAAACAGGCTAGAAAAATACCACAAAAATACCACAAAGAAGATTTGGATATCCAATATGTCTATACTAGGAATGTTTATACGTGAAACAATGACAAAATGCAATTGCAATGACAAAACACTGAGGTAAATGAGCTACTTGAAAATACACTCAGAGCGGTTGAAAACGTGAACCATAAACGTCAAACGAAAAAAAATTTCAACGTCAAGCCGCAGTTTGTCGTTAGCGAATGACGATTGAAACGTCAAACTAAATATCTTTATTATAATCAGCGATTTTGCAAGATGATCGCTTTAACGATATAGCTGTACACCTGTACGGTAGTACAGCTGTGCACTTTAGAGTTGCATCGAACCGTCAAACGTCGACCAATTCGCGATTTCATTGCACGAGAACAAAACAAGTAATAATGCTATCATGTATTAAACAAAATATTATTTTTTGAGGTTTGGGGTAAGACGCTACAGTGGCGTCTTACCATGCAATAGCTGAAAACTTTAATGTATTTACCCCCTGTCATTATATTGTACGCATCTTTGCGCTCATCTTAGAGCTGGGGTGTAGAAATTCTAACAATAGGCTATTTCAATACTGAGTTCTTATAAGAACCAGTACTTGTTTTCGAAATAAGAAATGTATTTATCAATTGCATGATAATGATAGTGATTATGTTGTACCGGGTAGTGATAATTTCCACGTTTCTAAAGACAAATCGCATAGTGTGTAAATTCTGTGCCTTTTAAGGGCCTGTCGCTGTCTAGAGAAAGCGATATAGGTAATGACCATTGGTGCCCGCTCTTGTAATATAAACACGAATATAAAGCCAGAAAGAAAATAATTTTAATAGAACTTTATGTAATCTGGCTAAAGCATTCACTTTGAACTGTATCGAAAACTGTTACAAGTTATATAGAATGTGCTATTAAAATAGTTTCGTTTTCTCATTCTACAGGTCATGTTTGGAAGCACCTTTTAAATCTGACTTCGCGTGGTTTGACACAACTGTAAGTACGCAAATTATAGTGGAATATTATACGGCTCTCTTAAAAATATTACGAAATAAAAATTGTGTTTAGTATAGTTTGTAAGGAGTTCCAGGTTCTAGCTGTTTGAGTAGTTAAAGAAGCCTAGGTAGATATAGGTTATTTAACCAGATAGAAGGAGATATGGTTGCCTCTGTAAGAACCGGAGGATTCGGCGTCAAATATCACTTTAGGGAATAGGGTCCGTACGTTCTACAAAAATTTCGCACCTTATTTGGGGTGGGACTGCAGCGGCGAATCCAATTAGGAAATAACGTTAAATTATAAAATTTTTCGCCTACAAATTCCTTTAAATCGTTGACGCCAAAATTTTTGTTCGGCCACACTTCCTTGTGTAAACAAAAGACCGCGGTAGAACTTGTCACGCTAAAATCAGAGGTGTTGTACACGGTGAGTGGATTGCCAGCTAGGTGCTAACGTCATCTTGAAAAAGCGGAACCAAATTCTACTGTGCAACTTAAAGAACACAGTCTCTCCAATCTACAAGTCAACTAGTCAATCAATAAATCGAATCCATCGATATTGGCCTTAACAATTCTTTCCAATATTTTACATATTAACATGTTGTCGTGACCCCTGAAGTTCCAAAGAAATATATCCAACGCTGCTACGTTACCTTGTGAAAAGACAGTGGTAGGAGCTGCTTACGTTAAAATCAGTGGTGATGTACACTGGTAACTTGTACTACAGAGTTCCCTCTTGTTGAAATCTCCAGAAAGATGGAGAACCGAACCAGTAGATGAGTCAAATTTCATGTCAATTACGTAAATAAATTAACTGGAGTCTGCCAAGTGTCAGTTAACATGCCCGGATGACATGGCTCAAGGTGCTAACGTTATCTTAAACTCAACTTTAAAACCTCATAAACACAGTTTCTATAATCAATCGATTAATCCATCTATTAATCAATAAATAATGGTCTCAAGAATACTTAATAAAACTTTACGTTTTAACTTGTTGCCCTTTTTGAACAAAATAATTTTCTGGATGTCTCTACATGCATGACCGCCTGCTTAACGAAGGGCATAATCTAAGGATATAAGGGCATAATCTAAGGATATAAGGGCATAAGCTAAGGATATAAGGGCACTGATAATCTAAGGATATAAGGTCATAATCTCAGCAACTCGGTTACCTTTTTTGAGAACTTTTATATTCTATCCGTAAATTATGGAAGTCCATAATTATTTAGTTCTAGCGTATCTGATCTCAAACACCGATGTTGATATAATGGAAGATTTCAAGCAGACATCGTCGCCCAACCAAAATGAGTGAAAAAAATATTTCAACAATATAGTAATGTATAGTGGTGACTTTATGATGACGAAGGCAAGAGCCTTTAAATTAGAGGAAAACAGAATTCAATTCGAAAAAGAACTAAGATTCTTCGCAAACAACCGTTCCTTGTCGCTTCAAAACTTTAAAACAAAATTGCCCTAATTTTTTAGGAGCAAAAGTGGCCGGGATACCATGGGAGGAAAAGGAAAGTCAAAACTTCATTCGAGCGGAGTATGTCACTAGGGCTGTAAGGAAGGAATTGAGGAATTTCTTTATTCAGGAATGGAACACACGTTACGAGCCTTCTCATGGAGCATGGGATGACACCAACAAAAGTGGTCAGGAGTTGTTTAATCGTGAGAAAACACGATCAAGGCCGCACAAAAAGAAGATTCAGTCCAAATTTAAACAAGGAAATACAAATGAATGGGATTGTAGTATACTTTTTGATGCAATTTGTTTTTCCGACTCGATTGGTGCAAGTCTTAAACCAGAGATGAAGGCTGAAATCAATAATCTCAGGAAACTACGAAATAGATTCATTCATGACTTTCCTGATAAAAAACTCTCTGATAAAGACTTTGAAAACATAACAACAGGTTTTGAAAATTCTTTGAAAGTTTTAGGACTCTCAACAAGCGAAATCGTTCGGTTAAAAGACATCTATAATTCGTTTAGAGTTCTACCTCCCAAGCCAACTCATGAAGTCGTGTCTCGTTCTGACAAGATACACGAGATAAGAGAAGTTCTTGAAAAGTTGCGCAGCGATAACGACGGCAAACTCACATATTTTTACATCTCTGGAAATCCCGGAAGTGGAAAATCTGAACTCGCCAGACAAGTTTGTGAAGATATTTCGAACGCTGTCAGTTGGCAGAGGGAATCCATGTTTATAATGAAATTAGACGGAAGAGACTTAAATTCTCTTCTTCACTCGTACGAAAAATTATGTCATTACTTGCATTGCGAAGACAGCAAGCTACGTGATATATTAGAGTCATCTAAACAGGAAGAGAGGAAAATTAGAGATTTAACTTTCCAAGTAACACAGAGAATTGAAAATTGGAAGAAGTGGTGGATTATAGTGGACAATGTGGAAAATCTCGAGCTCATTTCCAAACTTCTGCCTCAGATGGGCGACGACGTTTGGAGTAAGGGTCAAATTATATTAACAACACAAAACACAAATTCTGTTCCCTCCAACAGATTTTTAACCAAGCACATCTCACTCAGCCTCGGCATGGATGAGCAAGAGTGTCGCCAGCTTCTAGCTTTTGTGTCAGGAACAGACGTCAAAGATCCAATACTAGATGAGGTGGCGGTGATGTTAGATCGTCAACCACTGGCAATGGCCTCGGCAGCTTTCTACATGAAAGAAGTAATCGACATTTACCCGGATTTTTCGTGGAAATGCTGTTTGGAAAAGTTTGAGAAAGGTGAAAGAGAATCAACAGAAGAAACTCTCAAGGGAAGAAATTCAGCGGCGTATCCGTTCACCATGACTACAGCTGTGCTTTTAGCTGTTACGAAATGTTCAGAGAAAGACAAAATCCTTCAACACGCGTTCAGTTTGTTCTCTTGGATATCGTTCGAACCACTACCACTTGATCTTATAGTAAAATACATTCAGAAACAAGACAAACAGTTGGACATGATCAAAATCGCTCTTGCAATAAAAGATTGCTCCTTATTTCTTTCTCTTGGACAAAAACATCTCGATATTCGTCTACATCGTGTTGTCCACGAAGCCATCAAAATAGTCCACCAAACTAGTACGTCGTACGTCGAAACCGAAGAAAATAATTGGAAAACAGCAATTCACAATGTTATAAAAACAATGTATCACTTCAAAGATAGGGAAGATAAAAGCAAATTGATTCCACATTTAAAAGCGTTTAACACAGAAATTAACAAACAGTTCCCAAAACGTTGGCTATGTACAAAAAGCTCTAATTTTAATACAACTGAAATATCTGAAATGTATCTGTTTTTTGGAGATACTTTAGATCACTTTTCGGAGTTTCAATTATCGATAGAATTTCAACAGTCTCTGAAATTTCAATTAGAACGATACGGGCCAAACCACACTGACGTTACGCTTTCTTAAAAGAACAAGGGCAATGTTTAGTAGATCAACGCTCGACTTATTTCAGATTTTGAATGAATTTTTAGATTAGAAATGTAAATATTATAATGATCGAAGAATTGATGCATGCATGTATATTTTGAACAAACAAAATTTTTGCTAGAGAATATGTAAAACATTTATCGAAGTATTTTTCGAAGTACGAGTTTAATCTAAGATGCAAAATAATTTTTAGAAAAAACACAGATCTTTGGAAACAAGATTTCGTGCTTCGTGTGCATTTCGTTTTAAATTTCTTGAAAAAATATAGCACTCCGTGCTTTCATAATTCTCCCTATGGGAATATTGACGCCCGCTCCTGATCACGCGAGAAAAGGGGGATTTTAGGTCGGTGAATCTTTTGTCCAAAGGGAAGCGAGAAAAAATATTATGCAGTATTGATCAAAAGTATTATAACACCCTTCCCTGGTCTTAAAAAAGCACGATCATACATAATTGAATGACTATATATTTTTATATTACACTCAATAGCAGTTGTCGGAATTCGCTTGGTCACTCACAAGTATATTTACGAAGAATTAGGTGGCATTTGGTATTATTTTTTCAAAATTCAATTATGACTGTATTAGTTTGATTACTAGAACTTTTTCACTGTGATTCCATTCCAGAATGCTGTTATTAGTTGCGGAACAATCAGGTCTTTTAGTGCGACAAATAGTTTTGAACGTGAATATATTTTTAAATGAGCATTAAAATATTCAAATGAGCCGACAACTTTCAACAAAACCTATTCCAAATACATCCTTAACGTAAAACAGGCATAAAATAATTTTTTTAAATGCTAGAATGTTTTCTTATTTTTTGGCAGAATGTAATTTGATCGACATTGAAAACTATACGCATCTTACTCACTGCCATCATTCGATCTTTATTTAAAAATACAAACCCTTTACTATTCATTTTTCCTAAAACATTATCGATACTCTCACAAATATCCTCCCAATTAAACTTCAGAAATTAAGATGTAGTAAATGGCACTTAAAATGTACTTCCGGAACGAGAATTGTTTCTACCCCATCCGAACTATAGTCATGTAGTGAAGCAAGTTCTTTCAGTGTGTTTCGATAATTATGCCCATTATTTGCAAGAACAAATTCGCCTTTAACAAGGACACAAAGTGTGTACAATCGTACACAATTTTAATGCCTTCAGATCACTAAGTGTGGTTTGAGGCAATAGTAACTCTAACATTTGAACATTTTGTTTATATCATCTACGTTTCGACTATATAATTTTAACATATTAAATTTCATCGATATACTAATAATAAACAAATATTTTTGATATGTTATACCAACCTAATAAAGATAAATTTTGGGTATAACCTGACGAAGGACGTCTAACACGATGCTGACTCAGTGTTAACCTCGGGTCGTTGTAACGCTCCAGTGTCAATAGAAACAAGCACTATATTTTTTGTGAGCTACTGTTTTATTTGTTGCCAATGTTCCTATTCGTTAAAAAGGCCCAAGCGGTTATAAACCTCCTTACGTAGTTAGTCTATAAAACTCCAAAAAGACTTCCGACGTTCGGTAGGTCTTAATTTTTCGAAAATTTTTGCTCAGAGTCAAGGAAGGGCACTTCGTGAGTATGCATCTTGCTTCAATGTGAACTGAACTCCTTTGCTTTTGCCTCTTGTAAGATTTTGAAGAAAGTTGTTTAATTTTTTTAGGAGAAAATGTCTGGCATACCATGGGAAAACGAGGAAAGTCTGAACTACATTCGAGCCCATTACATTGTCACTGATGCTGTAAGAAAGGAATTGAGGGATTTCTTTATTCAGGAATGGAACAAACGTTACCAGGCTTCTCTCGGAGCATGGGATGACACAAACGTCAGTGGTAGTCAGTTGTTTAATCTGGAGAAAAAACGAACAAGGCCAAATAAGGCCATGCTTCAGTCCAAATTTCAAAATGGAAATACAAATGAGTGGGATTGTACTGTCCTTTTTGATGCAATTCTTTATTCCAACTCAATGGGTGGAAGTCTTAGTACAACTGAAAAAATAGAAATCGAAAATCTCCGAAAAATTAGAAATGAAATCATTTGGGGCGTACTTGAAAGAAGACTTACTGACAAAAAGTATCAAACAATGACAACAAATGTTATAAATGCATTACATGCATTAGGACTTTCAAGCATAGAAGTCGTTCGGATAAAAAATCTCCACAAATCCTTTAAAATTCTTCCCCCTGCGCCAACTCATGAGGTCGTTTCTCGTTCTGACAAGATACACGAGATAAGAGAAGATCTTGAAAAGTTGCGCAGCGATAACGACGGCAAACTCACATATTTTTACATCTCTGGGAATCCCGGAAGTGGAAAATCTCAACTCGCAAGACAAGTTTGTGAAAGTTTCTCCAGCGGTATTCATTGGCAGGGGGATTCGATGTTTGTTATGACATTGAACGGAAAAGATTTAGATTCTCTTTTCGACTCGTACGAAGAATTTTGTCATCGCCTGAATTGCAACGAAAGTGCAATAAAAAGTGTTTTAAATTCATCCAAACCAAAAGTTGGTAAAATTGAAGATTTAAGATCGCAAATATCCAGCAGAATTAAGAATTGGAAGAAGTGGTGGATCATCGTAGACAATGTGGAAAATCTTGAGCTCATTTCCTCACTACTGCCTCTTATAGGCGACGAAGCTTGGAGTAATGGCCAAGTAATATTAACAACACAAAATAGAGATTCTATCCCTTTTGACGCCTTGTCGACTAAACATATCTCAGTTAGTCTCGGTTTGAATGACAAAGAGTGTCGCCAGCTTCTTGCCCTGTTATCACGAACAGACGTCAATGATCCATTACTAGATGAGGTGGCAGAGAAGTTAGATCGTCAACCACTGGCATTGGCTGCCGCAGCCGTGTATATGAGACAAGTCATTGAGATTTACACCGATTTTTCTTGGTGGGATTATTTACAAAAGCTCGATAAAGGTGAAAGAGAATCCACAGAAGAACGTCTTCAACAGACAAATTCAGCAGCATATTCGTCCACCATGACTGCAGCTGTGCTTTTAGCTGTTAAAGAATGTTCGAAAAATAACATAATTCTTGAACACTCATTCAATCTTTTCTCTTTGATATCGTTTGAAGCATTACCACTTGATCTTGTTGTAAAATATATTCAGCAGCAAGACGAAGAGCTGGATGCCGAGGATATAATTCTTGCAATAAGGTTTTGCTCGTTGTTTGTACTTGTTGAAAACAAAGAGAGTGATATCCGATTACATCATGTTATCCATGAAGCAATCAGAATATTTTGTTCTTCCAAAGAAGCTGAAATTGATAATATTTTCCGGACTGAAATTTCAAAAAAAAGAAGGAGAAAGACACAAAGTCATATCAGAAATGTAATTCACAACGTTGTAAAAACAATGAGCTATTTCAATGAGAGAGAAGATAAGATCAAATTGATTCCACATTTAAAAGCATTTCACAAAGAAATTAAAAACAACAGCCTTTACCCCGATCATATGTTATACGCGTTATGCTTAGATTTCGAAAAAGCTGAAGCTTGTCGAATTTATCAGTTCTTTGGGAAGACATTATATCTCTTTTCTGAGTATACACTGTCGATGGAATTCTATCAACTGGCACTAAAAGTTGGAATAGAACGATTTGGACCGAACCATGTTAGCGTTGCTACTACATACAACAACTTGGGTGCTGTGTATAGTGATAAAGGTGAATTGGAAAAGGCTAGTTTTTATTATCAACATGCGCTAAAGATACAATTAAAACAATTAAAACCCAACCATGTTGACATTGCTACTTCTTACAACAATCTGGGTACTGTGTGTAGTAAGAAAGGTAATCTCGAACAAGCTATTGAGTATTATCAATGTGCTCTAAAGATACAATTAAAACAACTAGAACCCAACCAAGTTGACGTTGCTACTTTTTACAACAACCTAGGTACCGTGTGTAGAAAGAAATGTGATTTGGAACGAAGCTGTAACTATTATAAACGTGCGCTGAAAATTCAATTGGAACGATTAGGACCGACCCATGTTGATGTTGTTACTTCCTACAACAACTTGGGTGCTGTATGTAGCGATAAAGGTGATCTGGATCAAGCTAGAGATTATCATCTAAGGGCGTTGGAAATTCGATTGAAAGCATTAGGACCAAACCATGCTGGCCTTGCTACTTCATACAACAATTTGGGAACTGTGTGTAGTATGAAAGGTGATCTTTATCAAGCTAGTGAATATTATACACGGGCACTGAAAATTCAATTCAAACAACTAGGACCGAGCCATCTTGACGTAGCCACTTCATACAACAACCTAGCTAATGTGTGTAGGCGAAAAGGTGATCTTGATGAGGCTAATGATTGTTATCAACGGGCATTAAAAATTACACTGGAACAGTTAGGACCGAACCACACTGACGTGGCTACCTTATACAACAACCTGGGTGTGTTGTGTAGTGATAAAGGTGATATCGATCGTGCTTTTGTTTATTATCAACAGGCGCTGAAAATTCGATTAGAGCTTTCAGGACAAAACCATACCGACGTGGCTACCTTATACAACAACCTGGGTGGGTTGTGTAGCGATAAAGGTGATTTCGATCATGCTATTGTTTACTATCAACAGGCGCTGAAAATAAAATTCGAAAAATTAGGACCGAACCATACCGACCTGGCTACCTTATACAACAACCTGCGTAATGTGAGCATGCGAAAAGGTGATTTTGATCAGGCTAATGATTATTATCAACAGGCGCTGAAAATTACATTGGAACAATTAGGAACAAACAACGGGGGTGCTGCGTGTCGTGATAAAGGTGATCTGGAACAGACCAGTGATTATCATCAGCAGGCACTAAAAATTCAATCAGAACAGTTAGAGAAAATCCACACTGATGTTGCTATTTCATACAAAAATCTGGGTAATTTGCGTAGGCAAAAAGGTGATCTTGATCAAGCCAATGATTACTATCAACGGGATCTGAAAATAAGATTGGAACAATTAGGACCGAACCATACTGACGTGGCCACTTTATACAACAACCTAGGGGTGTTGTGATCTTGACCAGGCTAATGATTACCATAAACAGGCGCTGAAAATTCGTTTACAACAATTAAAACCCAACTACATTGACGTTGAAACTTCTTACAACAACCTGGGTGTGTTGTGTAGTGATAAAGGTGATTTGGATTTTGGTTCATTATTTTAAATTTTAATTATTATAAACAGGCGCTGAAAATTTGATTGGAGCTATTAGGACCGAACCATAATAGCTGTAACAGCCATAACAGCTGGGTAATGTTTGTCGTGATTAAGGTGGTAAACCTGTGTGTGTTGTGTATTGATAAAAGTGGTGTGGATCATGCTTTTGGTTATCATAAATTACTGAAACTACGCATATATATATATATATATATATATATATATATATATTATATATATATTATATATTATATTATTATATATATATATATATATATATATTAATATACTTTTGACTGATCTGGGACATGCTAGTGATTATCATCAACGGGCGCTGAACGTTCAATTAAAACAATTAGGGCCAAACCATACTGACGTTGCTGCTTCATACTGCAATCTGGGTCGTGTGTGTCGTATAAAAGGTGATCTGGAACATGCTAGTGATTATCTTCAACGGGCGCTGAAAATTGAATTAGAACAATTAGGGCCAAATCATAGTGACGTTGCTAAATCATACAACAACCTGAGTATTGTGTGTCAATGCAGAGGTGATTCGGAGCAGGTGACAATTAGGGCCAGATCATGTTGACGTTGCTCGTTCATACAACAACCCGGGTAATGTGTGTCTCGATAAAGATGATTTGGAACAAGCAAGTGATTATTATCACCGAGGCCTGGAAATTCAATTACAAAAATTAGGACCAAGCCATCTTGAGGTTGCTGGTGCATATCTCAACCCGGGTGGACTTTATTCTACCTAATAAGGGTGATCTTAACCAAGCTGAGGAATACTTTCAACAAGCACTGAGAATTCAATTGCAAAAATTAGGACCAAATCATATTGATGTTGCTAAGTCCTACCACAACCTTGGTTCTGTATATTGTAGTAAAGGTGATCTGTAACGTGCTGAGAAATATCATCAACAAGCACTGCAAATTCGATTGAAAAACTTTGGACAAAATCATATTGATGTTGCTAAGTCTTACCACAGCCTGGGTTCTGTATATTGTAATAAGCATGATCTGGAGAAAGGCAGCGAATATTATCAACGCGCGCTGGAAATTCAATTAGAACAATTAGGGCCAGATCATATTGACGTTGCTACGACATACAATTGCCTTGGTATGGTGTGTGATGATAGAGGTGATGAAGAAAAGGCAATCAAATACCATCAACTGGCGCTGAAAATTCGTTTAGAAAAAATTGAAGGAAACAATGTTGTTGCTGCTACTTACAGAAAGATGTATATATGAAATTAGGTGACGAAGAAAAAGCTGAAGAATATTATCAACAAGCACTGAACGTTCAATTAGAACAATTAGGGCCAGATCATATTGCCGTTGCTGCTATATACAATCGCCTGGGTATGATGTGGAATATTAAAGGTGATAAAGAGAAGGCAATCGGATACTATCAACTGGCGCTGAAAATTCGTTTAGAAAAAATTGGAGGAAACCATGCTGTTGTTGCTGCTACTTACAGAAACCTGGGTGATGTATATATTCATTTGGATGATGAAGGGAAAGCTGAAGAATATTATCAACTGGCACTGAAAATTCAATTAGAACAATTAGGGCCAGATCATATTGACGTTGCTGCTACATACAACGACCTGGGTACGATGTGGAGTATTGAAGGTGATAAGGAAAAGGCAATCAAATACTATCAACTGGCACTGAAAATTCAATTAGAACAATTAGGGCCAGATCATATTGACGTTGCTACTACATACTATTGCCTGGGTATGATGTGGAATATTAAAGGTGATAAAGAGAAGGCAATCGAATACTATCAATTGGCGCTGAAAATTCGTTTAGAAAAATTAGGAGGAAACCATGCTGATGTTGCTGCTACTTACAAAAACCTGGGTGATGTATATATTCATTTGGATGACGAAGAGAAAGCTGAAGAATGTTATCAACTGGCACTGAAAATTCAATTAGAACAATTAGGGCCAGATCATATTGACGTTGCTACTACATAGTATTGCCTGGGTATGATGTGGAATATTAAAGGTGATGAAGAGAAGGCAATCGAATGCTATCAACTGGCGCTGAAAATTCGTTTAGAAAAATTTGGAGCAAACCATGCTGTTGTTGCTGCCACTTACAAAAAGCTGGGTGATGTATATATTGATTTGGATGACGAAGAGAAAGCTGAAGAATATTATCAACTGGCCGAGCAATGTTGTGTTTAACCAATATGGCTCATCGTACCACAAACGTTCCTCATAATCTGTGCAATGACAATGGACTGTGTTCTGGAGCCAGCTGAGAAATAACATTACCGAGCACCAAACATTAGGTAGAATAACTAGGTCAACGAGCTCAAAATACGATTGGAAAGATATGAATCAGACCATGCCGACATTGCAACTACAAAAAAGGTGACTATAGAAAGAAAGCTGATCCTGAACATGCTGGTGATTATTGTCTGTCAACAGGCACTACGAATACAATTAAAACAATAGGACAAAACCATATTGACGTCTCTGATGCTAACGATAGTTGGGATAGTGTGAGCTGTAAAAAAGGTGATCTGTAACACGAAAAAATATTATCTGCAACTTATCACATATATACAATCTCCGTTTTGATTGATTAGCCCCCTACAAATAGTTCCTGGTATTCTGCAGTTGTGATGTCATATTTAAAAACAATAGTTTCTTGACGCCAGCAAAGCCGGTTCTTAAAAAATCCGCAAATAATGACGAGGTTTGCCACAGCGTCTTGAAAACGATGTTCAGAAGTTTTTGAACGACAAAGATGAAGAATTGAACATATTTAAACAATAATAAATTGTTGTTAACTAGTGAAATAAAAGGAAGCTCGCGGACATAAATTCGCCTGGTGTAAAGCGGGCTTAACGTACATTAGGACATGAATAGTTGTTCCTCAAATTGTATATGATTATTATGAAACTAACAAAGCTTAAATAAAGAAAATTACATGGTGTAAGAAGTGGGATTCTCGATCCTGGATATATAGTTAATATTTCGGAGAAGTTCTAAAAAATATTTTCACTCAAACGAGCTACTCTTGGCTACTATGTCGCTTCACGGTTAATTAGGTTATGGGAAAATGCCTTGGACTTTTACCTAACGGCCAGGGATTCGGGTTCAACACTCATCCTTAATTAAGCCACCTCAGAGCCACTCAATTCAATTAAGCGGGTTCACAAAATAACTGACACCAACATTTGAAGAAGCTCGTTGCTCTAACATATCCGATACGTATGGCTGACTGCCTCGGGGAGATTGGTACACCAAAGTCCACCTTCCACATGGCATTGAAAGATGATGTCAGTCCAGTTGTGGTTCCCCACCGTTCACGTTCATGAAAATTGTACTAGCTACACTCCTCTCCTATACACACCCTGGAACAGGGGCGAACATTCGCTGGGGTGGGTTGAAATGTTCGCGATATTTTAATGCGATGCGCAATTCTATATTTTCGCAATCTTCATTTCTGTACGACATAATTATTAAGTCCCACTCTGCTGCGAAAAGCTGCTTTTGTTCAAGTTGTTGTCCTATGTAAAGTTTCCAGCATGTTTGGCGCTCATATACAAACATTAAATAATATTACTATGCTTTGGTTATGATGGCAAATATTTTGACATGGATAACCACGCTGTTTTAATGGTCAAATGCTTGTCCTATGTAAAGTTACAAGCATGTTTGGCGCTTATATACAAACATTAAACAATATAAATATGCTTTGGTTATGATGTCAAATATTTTGAAATGGATAGCTAACCACGCTGTTTTAATGGTCAAATGCTTGTCTTATTAGTCGAGCAGTGAAGACAATGGTCTTGTAACTTTTTGGCCCGTGATTCGAATGCTAGGACGAATAAATTTTCATTATGACTTTGAAAAGGGATTTAGGTAAAAATAAATAAATGTAACCTTTAACACCAAGCGCTGATGCTCTAGTAGCTACATAATCCTTGAAGAACTTTGTTTTTTTTATGGTAATTGCAATTTGCAGACATGCGTCGTGCATGTGCGTGTACTATCTTTAATTATCTACGTTTGTGATGTGTGCACGTGGTTATTCCTCCACTATGTGCACTAGTACTATTGCATTAATTCAACAAAATTTTAAGTGTTCTTTATTCACTTAATTTCTTAAATAAATAAATCTGTTTTAGCTTATAGTAAATGCAGTAAGTGAAAAAAGACACTTTACGGTTAAACATACTTAAACGCTATTGGAAAACAATGAAAAGTTTGAGTTTAGTATAAAGAAACCCCGCGCAGTCCCAGTGAACAAATAATAATCCCACAATCACCACATAGAGCAATGTCATATACACTAAGCCTTCGGCTTTTGAAGTCGCATCCACTGCGTGACACGCCAATCTATCGGTTCTCGCTCTCTTGTCCTGTTTCGAGGAAAGAGGCATCTCATGCAAGTTTGACTATGGCGCCGTAGTTTTTGGTTTCTCGCATGTCTTAAGTGGAAGGATTAAATTATGAAAGGAATGTTTTTCATTATGAACTTGAAAAAAGGTTTAAGTAAAATAAAAATAACGTCAATTATCCCAAGAGCAAATAGTCTCGGGGTGACGAGAATGGTCTCGCAACTTCCAAATTGATGGTTCGAATCCTGCATGGTGAAAGTGTTTTATCATGACGTAAAAGAGAAGATTTAGGTAAGTTAGAAAAATATAGCTGTTGATTTAAAGATCTGTTGACCCAGTGGTAAAGACAATCGTCGTGTAACACGTGTTATTACGTCGCGAGCCCCCAAAAATATCGTGCTAAATTGGATGCCTAGTAATGGGGCGAAAATATAATTGTCATTGAAATTGATGAAGTACGATGCTTTTTGAAATTGGACCAAAGTTTAAAGTGAAACTAAACTTTTTTACCCCAATTTAGACGAAGAAATGACATCAATTATTCACCTGGTAGCCTTGAAAATTCACAATTAATATCTCGGAAGAATGAAGTCGGATTTTAGAGCAGACAAATAAGGCTAGGAAACTGTGCAATGATTTGCAACAACTATTGTGATTTTTGTCATAATAGGTCGTTAGAAATGTGTTCAAATGTTTTTAGAAATGCGTTAATTACACTTCAGAAATTACTTCACGACGACCAGAATCATGTTATATATTCATTTCAATACCTCAAAGTGACCAAGTCATCTCACGCTTCGTTGAATCTCGGCCAAGCGGGATCACGTGAACAGCCTCTTAACGAATGTTAAAACGCTCGAAAACCTTACCGTGTGCACATGTTTTTAGTCAGTAAACACAATATGCTGTAATCTAGCAAAATAAAGCGGTCAAATTACTCCAATCAGAACTGTTTGTTTACTCGCATGCAGGAACAATTAACAGCAGAGGATTGGAGTAATATAATGAACGAGGTTTACACATTCACGTACTATAGGGATTTGGGAAGATCAAAGCAGCAATAGTAATTAGCTTTTGAGCTAGATGGAAGGATCAGAGATCTTAATGATAAAAAGATGATTTCTTAAATTAAAGATTCGAGAAGATGTTAAGAGACAGACTTATCACTTACAAAGGTGAGTTAAAGAATTTTTTTTGCTAAATGTACATACATCAACCCATCGCAATTTGCATCAAAAGCAATAATAAAGGACCGGTGTTGTCTCTTCTACCTGATGTTAAGTCAAACGTTAGCTGCTAAATCTTGTAGATTTTGATTGAAAATACTTGTAGCAGTTCAAGGTATCTCGGTTTGTTTAATTAGTCGCATTAGAGCGATATTCGTCGAGAAAAAGTGGGGAAATACTTGATTAACCTGAAACACCCGACTTTACAGTCTGTTAAGATGAATATATGAATATGCCTCCCCTTAATTATCGATGCTAGCTACGCCACTGCCACGTGGAATTTCTTGGCAACAATGAGGATTGAGTAATGATTTTAAGGTTTAGCACTAATATCTGGAGTGGTGAATTGGAAATTCGCTGTTACTAAGTGGCGATTAGAGACATTCAAATAACTTCTCCATTTCTTTTAAAGTTTATAATTTTTTTCACTATGTGATTAACAAGAAACGTCAAGTAGTTCGTGCACGAAGATTCACAGTCGTTCTTGGTCTTCACAACAGATCTCAGGAGAACGAGACTCAAGTTAAAGAGATGCACATTGGTCAGATATTCGAGTATAGGGATTATAATCCAACCACCTTCCAGGCTGATCTTGCCTTACTACGACTGACCCACCCAGTTATTATGAGTGACTTTGTTAAACCAATATGTCTTCCAGATACCGACAGGTAAGTGAGATTATTCATTAACAAAAATTGTCTAGGCGATCATTTGATCAATGGAATCAAATTAGATATGCGCGCGACAATTAGAATATATTTAAAAAATTGATTATTTGAACAGTTCGATACTTGAAACTGTCATCAGTATGCATTACATGACGTACAGTACTCCTGTATTTTGCAGTAGTGACGATGTCATCAGGCCGGGTGCTCGCGGTGTTGTGGCGGGTTGGGGCCGAGCATCAAGCACCAAGCTCTTTCCTAACATCCTCCAGGAGGTTTGTCTTCCCGTCGTCGAGACATCGGCGTGTCGTTGTGCGTTCGCTGCGGAAGGATATCCCGTAACAGGAGATATGTTCTGCGCGGGGCCTGCAGACGGGGGGAAGGACGTGTGTAAGGGTGATTCCGGGGGTGGGTACGTATTTCAAGACCCAGGGGACGAAAGGTGGTTTCTAGGTGGGTTAGTGTCGTGGGGGAGTAGCGAGGGATGTGCGCTGCCTAATAAGTACGGCGTGTATTTGAACGTGAAAGATTATATGGAGTGGGTAGAAGATCGAATATACCGATGAAGTTTGTGCAAGATTTTCTCACGAGGACACAAAAATTTCGACTATCATAGAATATTATCGTATTTCGCAGTTAATGTAGTTTGTGAATAGACATTTTTTACAAAGTTCTCAGCGAGGATTTCAACTTGGTTTTAGTCGAAGAAGGCAAAATATACCCATGTATTTTTATGGCGTTTTACACCCTCAGACATATATTGGTTTTAAAAAGGATTTATTTGTTTAAGTGAATCTGAGATATCTTTTTTCAATATCTCGTAATGGGACTAAATCGTTTCGCGTCGTTACAGAGGAAGATACCACCTTAGAATGAATTCATCCAGATTTAGTCACGTTTATAGAGTTCCATAAATAGATGCTGATCTCTCTATTACTGAATGTATGAGCTCAATCATGTAATTTATTGGCGCACTGATTTCATGAGACACTGGATATGGCAACTAAACCAAGAAAATGAAGCCTGAATTAATAAACTTCCGGTTCATTCACATTCTGCTTGAAACAATAGCGCTTTGAAGAAAAGCGTAATAATTTTCTAAGTCTAAGAAATTCGACGGATTCCTGGACGGAATTTTAAATGTGATGGTCCAATATACAAAACACGCAGTTTGACCGGCCTTCGTACGATACCAGACCAGACTGACGAGGACGGCAAGGTCGATTAAGGTGACTTGGAAATGTAATTAATACAACTGCCATGAAAATATTTACACTGGAATGTGCCCAGTCAGGTATAATGAAGATTTTAAAAAACAGCTTATTTCTTTAGGAATAGCCATGATTTAAAAGAATGCAGTCTTTAAACTTTATCGAACGAAATCAAGAATACAAAAATACGATCCTGTCGAAACAGATACAGACGAGAATTTAAGTTTCGTTTTTGTCATAGGGTCCTATTTACATACTCAAAAGCTTTTGGGATATCATATAACAAAGTTCCTTTCGTTTTATAAAGAGACGCGTCGACAATCGATTCTCAACTTCTGTTAATGTGAACCTCGCTTATGTGAATATCTTGGCTGGTAAAGAAACTACGTAAACTTCATCGTTATCAAAGATGAAACATGTGAAGTAATATTGAGGTTTGTATTAGTATTGTGTTCATTGTTTTGGTCACGTCTCGATATGTAGACGACAGGTCAAATTTGTGAAGACGCCTGTTCTGGCGTTAACTCCGGCGTGCCGCGCACGTGCCAGTCTTCAATATAAAGCTTCTGAACATAAACAATACAATTCATATTCATTTAGATGCCTTGCGAACCTAAATGTTGTTCGATCGTGACATTTAGAAGCACATCGTGCTTTAAAAAGTATAGAAGTTCAATTGTTTAAAAATGTAAATAAACCGCATGATACGTTCACTTTGTCTTACACTTTGCTTTTGGAATTTGCGCTTATATAGTTATATATATCAAATTTTCAATCCTGTGCATACAAACTGCGATTTTTCAACGCGCCCATACACGACCACATCTTGTTAAACGGCGAAATAGCAGCGATATTATTAAAATAGGACAACAATCTACATGTATTAAATATTTTCTTACCCCAATTAAATCTAAACTCAATCGAACAGCATGAAAAGAGCAGTTTATTTGTTCCTCTTGTAGGAATTGCCGTATCATGCGAGCGAAATCAAATCGCGCATCGGAGAATTAGCCAAAGCAGTTAAATACGGTCACATAAACTTTTCAAATACAAGTATATTTTGCGCCAAAACACACTTGCGATAACGAAACTTAATTAAAAAAAAACAAAAAAAAAACAAAAAAAAACAAAACAAAACCTGGGCGAATTGTCGCTCACGCCGGAGTAATTAATTAAGTTCAAACAAAAACACTCAGTAATGCTTGATTATGAGTTTGGGTTTTGGTCGAGGGTCGAGGGTCGAGGGTAGAAAGTCGAGGGTCGAGAGTGAGGTCGAGAGTAAAGTCGAGGGTCGAATTTTATTGCATTTTACAACCGGCAATGTCGAGGGTGAAGTCGAGGGTAATATATTTTCCGCCTTATTGTCCGAAACTATTATAAGTGTTGCATGTGAATAACGCAGGCAGCTCACCGGTTCTGCAAACAGTTGCATGTTACAATGTTGTTTTGAATTCACTGGAAAGAGTAAAATAGCCATAGGAAGAATGTGGTATATTTGTTATTTTCGCATTGCTATTTACGCGTTACGACTTGCGATGCTTGTTTTTCAAACTGAAATGCAGGCACAGTATAATATCTAGGACTCAGGATAGGACTTTTTTTATTACCGTCTCTCGAGTTATCGAACTGCTTCGTATTCACGATCCCATACTGCACCTTGTAAGGACATCTTGGTTCGATGCATTTGAACGAACCTTTGCAGTCCGCGTACCGCACACCGGAATGGCCACTCCAGTTCGTCGGACAACGCCCGGACACAATTTCGTTATACAATTTCTTCGGCATATTTATCTTTAGTCCAACAAAGATTCGAGTAGAAAGATTCGCTAGCGGATAGAAAGCTGTATTTACCAAGCCAAGAGTTCAGTAAAGTGAAAACAGACACCACATGGCGCATCGTCTCACCACTATGTCGGCAATTCGAGGTGACAACTCGGATATTATTAAGACACAGGAATCAAAAAACAAAAAAGTGAGACTGCAAGATGGCAAGATGTTCATGCAAGAGAATTAATTAATAAGTTTAACCCGTTTTGGAAGTCTGACTTGTAAAATATAATGCCCAAAGATTCATAAATTGCAACTGCAATCTGTATGTATACTTGTAACATGTAATTTGTATAGATTACGCTGTATCGCATATTGCATAGAAGAAAATATTAACAATAATAATATTAATAATATTAGTATAGGCAAATTGTGAATTTCTGCAATTGACCCTCGGCTTCACCCTCGACATTGCCGATTGTAAAATGCGATAAAAATCGACCCTCGACTTTACCCTCGACTTCACCCTCGACCTCACTCTCGACCCTCGACTTACTACCCTCGACTCTCGACCCTCGACCAAAACCCTGATTATCATAATATACGCGTGATGATAAAAGCGCGTATTCCACACCCTTGCATGTTGAAGTTGCGTAAAAACACTTAGCTTGTCACATGATGATCGAATTACGTAGCTGAGTGAGACAGCATCTATATTCAATACTTTCAGAATTTGTAGGACGTATATAGTTTTCATTACCAGAGAACAATTTGGGAAATGTGTACTTGATCGACATTTTTATACTTAATTGTAACTATCGTATTTATGAAAGATGTGAAGTAATATTGAGGTTTGTATTACTATTAGTATTGTTTTCATGGTTTTGGTCACGTCTCGATATGTAGATGACAGGTCAAATTTGTGAAGAATATTTTGCAACTCGGATCGTTTTGTCCAAAGTTTTTACTTTTTGCCGGGCTAATTTTTCATTTAAACAAGACGTCTGTTCTGGCGTTAGCGCCGGCGTGCCGCGCCCTTTTGAACATAAACAATACAGTTCATACTCATTTAATTTAGATGCCTTGCGAACCTAAATGTTGTTCGATTGCGACGTTTAGAAGCAAATCGTACTTTAAAAAGTATAGAAGTTCAATTGTTAAAAAACGTAAATAAACCGCATGATACGTTCACTTTGTCTTACATTTTGCCTTTGGAATTCGCGCTAATATTAAATCTTCAATCCCGTGCAAATTAACTGCAACGTGTCTACGCGACCAAGGACACGACCACATCTTGTTGAACGGCGAAATAGCAGCGATATTATTAAAATAGGACCAGAATCTACATGTATTAAATATATTCTTACCCCAATTAAATCTAAACTTAATCGAACAGCATGAAAAGAATGGTTTATTTGTTCCTCTTGTAGGAATTGCCGTATCATGCGAGCGAAATCAAATCGCGCATCGGAAAATTAGCCAAAGCAGTTAAATTCGGTCACATAAACTTTTCAGATAAACGTATATTTCGCACCAAAACACACTTGCGACGACGAAACTTAATAAAAAAAAACAAAAAAAAAACAAAATAAAGCCTGGGTGAATTGTCGCTTCAAAATGAAGCCTGAATTAATAAACTTCCGGTTCATTCACATTCTGCTGGAAACAATAGCGCTTTGAAGAAAAGTCTAATGATCTTCTAAGTCTAAAAAATTCGACGGATTCCTGGACGGAGTTTTATTAGTTTGACTTTCATACGATACCAGACTGATGAGGCGGCAAGGTCGATTAAGGTGACTTGGAAATGTAATTAATACAACTGCCATGAAAATATTTACACTGGGATGTGCCCAGTCATGCAGGTTTAATAAAGATTTTAAAAAACAGTTTATGTCTTCAAGAATATATCATGATATAAGAGAATCTAGTCTTTAAACTTTATCATACGAAATCAAATATATGGTTCTGTCGAAATACAAAAAAATCAAAAATATGATCCTGCATGTCGAAACAGATACAGGCGAGAATTTAACTTTCGTTTTGTCATAGTTTCCTGTTTACATACTCAAAAGCTTTTGGGATATCATGTAACAAAGTTCCTTTCGTTTTATAAAGAGGCGCGTCGACAGTCGATTCTCAACTTCTGTTAATGTGAACCTCGCTTATGTGAATATCTTGGCTGATAAAGAAACTACGTAAACTTCATCGTTCTCAAAGATGAAACCTGCGAAGGTTTGTATTAGTTTTGTGTTCATTGTTTTGGTCATGTCTCGATAGTATTAATAATCATATTATTAATAATCATATTTATGGCGAAATGAGCAGTGAGAACTACAAATTCGCTTAGTAAGCCCTTTTTGAACGACAATTAACTTTCATACAGCAACAAGCGATAGGTCACTATAGACCGCATAATCAGCATGATATAAATGATATAGTTTATCTTTCTGTGCTATGCACACCATATGTTGTTTTGTAATCAAACGCAAAATCGAAACAATTGCGGGATTCCCCAACTCTCAAGTTATCAACAAACCATCTTTCATAAGAATAGTTGAAAGATGATAGGTGCTATTCGGAACTCAGACAACTTTGCGCAGAAGAAGAATTTGACTGTGTTTAACTGGTCTACCCAACCTTAACATGAAAATGATGAAATAGTGTTTTTCAACGTGGTTCCAGGTAATTACGATCTTTAAATAAAGCAACACAACACTAGTGAACCGAACAACTACTGCGCAATCTTTCTAAGTTTCTACAAAACGTTTATTTCCTAATTGCCTAACCTGCCTACATTCAAATGTGTTTTAAAAAATGAAATTCTTCCTTTAATTTCGTCTGCGTAGTTTGTTTGTTATTAGTTTGCAACAGAGATACAATTAATTCTACATGACTTCTCGCGCTTTCCGAATTACAAAAATGTTTCTTATTTTTTTAGCGTCGAAAAATGTCTGGTATACCATGGGAAAGCGAGGAAAGACAAAACTACATTCGAGCAGACTACATTGTCAGTGATGTCGTAAGGGAGGAATTGAGACGTTTCTTTATTCAGGAATGGAACAAACTTTACCAGGCTTCTCTTGGAGCATGGGATGACACAAACGTAAGTGGTAGTCAGTTGTTTAATCTCGAGCAATTACGAGCAAGACCAAATAAAGCAACGCTTCAGTCCAAATTTAATCACGGAGATACAAATGAGTGGGATTGTACTGTACTTTTTGATGCAATTCTTTATTCCAAATCGATTGGTGCAACCCTTAATCCAACGCTAAAAACAGAAATCGATAATCTGAGAAAACTACGAAATGAAATAACTCATAAACCTGAAAAAACGCTGAATGATGCCGACTTTCAAACCAAGACAACAGATGTTATAAATGCATTGAATGCATTAGGACTGTCAAGCAATGAAGCCGTTCGAATTAAAAACCTCTATAAATCCTTCCAAGATCTACCTCCCAAGCCAACTCATGAAGTCGTGCCTCGTTCTGACAAGATACACGAGATAAGAGAGGATCTTGAAAAGTTGCGCAGCGATAACGATGGCAAACTTACATATTTTTACATCTCTGGGAATCCCGGAAGTGGAAAATCTCAACTCGCCAGACAAGTTTGTGAAGATATTTGCGAAGATGCTCATGTGAAGGACGAAGCAATGTTTGTAATGACAATGAATGGAAAAGATTTAGATTCTCTTTTATATTCCTATGAAGATTTCTGTCGTAAGCTAAATTGCAACGAAATCGTTTTAAAAAATCTTTTGAGCTCTTCTAAACCAAAAGATGAGAAAATCAAAGATTTGAGATCGCAAATATCCAACAAAATTAAGAATTGGAAGAAGTGGTGGATTATCGTCGACAATGTGGAAAATCTCGAGTTCATTTCCCCACTACTGCCTCTGATGGGCGGCGATGTTTGGAATAATGGTCAAATCATAGTGACGACACAAAACACAAATGCAGTTCCTTCCTACAGTTTGTCAAGTAAACATATTTCACTTAGTCTCGGTATGAATGACCGAGAGTGTCGCCAGCTTCTTTCCCTGTTTTCAAGAACAGACGTCAATGATTCATTACTAGATGAGGTGGCAGAGAAGTTAGATCATCAACCACTGGCAATGGCTTCGGCAGTCGTGTATATGAGACAAGCCAACGAGTGTCATCGAAAATTTTCGTGGCCAGATTATTTAGAAAAGCTTAACAAAGGAAAAAGGGAATTAACAGAAGAGCGTCTCAAGCAGACAAATTCAGTAGCATATTCATCCACCATGAGTGCAGCTGTGCTTTTAGCTGTTACAAAATGTGCGGAAGAAAACAAAATTCTTGGACATGCATTCAACCTTTTCTCTTTGATATCGTTTGAACCACTACCACTTGATCTTGTTGTGAAATACGTTCAGCAGGAAGAGGAAGAGTTGGATGTCGAGGATATCATTCTTCCTATAAAACACTGCTCGTTGTTTGTTCATGTTGGGAATAAAGACGGTGATATACGCCTGCATCGTGTTGTCCACGAGGTGATCAAATTGATTTTTCCTTCAAAAGAACATATTAACTACGACATTTCACCCGAAAATGAAATTTCAAATAAAAGTGGAAATATAAAAAGAGTAATTCACAACGTTGTGAAAACAATGTATTCCTTCAAGAATAGGAAAGATATAATTAAAATGATTCCACATTTGAAAGTATTTCACACAGAAATCAACAGATTGTTTCCGAATCAAGCGTTATCTTTATTGAGCGCAGACTTTGATAAAACTGAAATAACTGAGGTGTATTGTTTTTTCGGGAAAACACTATCTTATTTTTCTGAGTTCAAACTCTCGATGGATTTTTTTCAACAGGAACTGAAAAATAAATTAGAACAATTAGGCGAGAATCATGCTCATATAGCTTGTACTTACGAAAACCTGGGTAATCTGTGCTACAATATAGGTGATTTGGAACAGGCCAGTGATTACCATCAGCGGGCGCTAAAGATTCGATTAGAAAAATTAGGCCAGAACCATATTAGCGTACTTAATTCTTACAACAACCTGGGTAATGTGTTTTATCGTAAAGGTGATCTGGAACAGGCCAGTGATTATCATCAGCAGGCGCTAGAGATTCGATTAAAAAAATTAGGCCAGAACCATATTGACGTAGCTAATTCTTACAACAACCTGGGTATTGTCTTTTATCGTAAGGGTGATCCGGAACAGTCTGGTGATTATTATCAACGTGCACTGAAGATTCGATTAGAACAATTAGGAGAGAACCATATTGACGTAGCTAAGTCTTACAACAACCTGGGTGTTTTTTGTTCTGATAAAGGTGATCTGGAACAGTCTGGTGTTTATCATCAGCGGGCGCTAAAGATTCAATTAGAACAATTAGGAGAGAACCATATTGACGTAGCTCATTCTTACAACAACCTGGGTGCTTTGTGTTTTGACAAAGGTGATCTGGAACAGGCCAGTGATTATCATCAGCGGGCGCTGAAGATTCAATTAGAACAATTAGGAGAGAACCATATTGACGTAGCTATGTCTTACAACAACCTGGGTAATATGTTTTATCGTAAAGGTGATCTGAAACAGGCCAGTGATTATCATCAGCGGGCGCTGAAGATTCAATTAGAACAATTAGGAGAGAACCATATTGACGTAGCTAAGTCTTACAACAACCTGGGTAATATGTTTTATCGTAAAGGTGATCTGGAACAGGCTGGTGATTATTATCAGCGGGCACTGAAGATTCAATTAGAACTATTAGGGGAGAGCCATATTGAAGTAGCTAATTCTTACCACAACCTGGGTAATGTGTGTTCTGATAAAGGTGATCTTAAACAGGCCAGTGATTATTGTAAGCGGGCGTTGAAGATTCAATTAGAACAATTAGGGGAGAACAATATTTACGTAGCTAATTCTTACAACAGCCTGGGTAAAATGTTTCATCGTAAAGGTGATCTGGAACAGGCCAGTGATTATAATCAGCGGGCGCTGAAGATTCAATTAGAACAATTAGGAAAGAACCATATTCACGTAGCTAATTCTTACAACAACCTGGGTAATGTGTTTTATCGTAAAGGTGATCTGGAACAGGCCAGTGATTATCATCAGCAGGCGCTAGAGATTCGATTAAAAAAATTAGGCCAGAACCATATTGACGTAGCTAATTCTTACAACAACCTGGGTAATGTGTTTTATCGTAAGGGTGATCCGGAACAGTCTGGTGATTATTATCAACGTGCACTGAAGATTCGATTAGAACAATTAGGAGAGAACCATATTGACGTAGCTAAGTCTTACAACAACCTGGGTGTTTTTTGTTCTCATAAAGGTGATCTGGAACAGTCTGGTGTTTATCATCAGCGGGCGCTAAAGATTCAATTAGAACAATTAGGAGAGAACCATATTGACGTAGCTCATTCTTACAACAACCTGGGTGCTTTGTGTTTTGACAAAGGTGATCTGGAACAGGCCAGTGATTATCATCAGCGGGCGCTGAAGATTCAATTAGAACAATTAGGAGAGAACCATATTGACGTAGCTATGTCTTACAACAACCTGGGTAATATGTTTTATCGTAAAGGTGATCTGAAACAGGCCAGTGATTATCATTAGCGGGCGCTGAAGATTCAATTAGAACAATTAGGAGAGAACCATATTGAGGTAGCTAAGTCTTACAACAACCTGGGTAATATGTTTTATCGTAAAGGTGATCTGGAACAGGCCAGTGATTATCGTCAGCGGGCGCTGAAGATTCAATTAGAACAATTAGGCGAGAATCATGCTCATATAGCTTGTACTTACGAAAACCTGGGTAATCTGTGCTACAATATAGGTGATTTGGAACAGGCCAGTGATTACCATCAGCGGGCGCTAAAGATTCGATTAGAAAAATTAGGCCAGAACCATATTAGCGTACTTAATTCTTACAACAACCTGGGTAATGTGTTTTATCGTAAAGGTGATCTGGAACAGGCCAGTGATTATCATCAGCAGGCGCTAGAGATTCGATTAAAAAAATTAGGCCAGAACCATATTGACGTAGCTTATTCTTACAACAACCTGGGTAATGTGTTTTATCGTAAGGGTGATCCGGAACAGTCTGGTGATTATTATCAACGTGCACTGAAGATTCGATTAGAACAATTAGGAGAGAACCATATTGACGTAGCTAAGTCTTACAACAACCTGGGTGTTTTTTGTTCTGATAAAGGTGATCTGGAACAGTCTGGTGTTTATCATCAGCGGGCGCTAAAGATTCAATTAGAACAATTAGGAGAGAACCATATTGACGTAGCTCATTCTTACAACAACCTGGGTGCTTTGTGTTTTGACAAAGGTGATCTGGAACAGGCCAGTGATTATCATCAGCGGGCGCTGAAGATTCAATTAGAACAATTAGGAGAGAACCATATTGACGTAGCTATGTCTTACAACAACCTGGGTAATATGTTTTATCGTAAAGGTGATCTGAAACAGGCCAGTGATTATCATCAGCGGGCGCTGAAGATTCAATTAGAACAATTAGGAGAGAACCATATTGACGTAGCTAAGTCTTACAACAGCCTGGGTAATATGTTTTATCGTAAAGGTGATCTGGAACAGGCCAGTGATTATTGTCAGCGGGCGCTGAAGATTCAATTAGAACAATTAGGAAAGAACCATATTCACGTAGCTAATTCTTACAACAACCTGGGTGCTGTGTGTTCTGATAAAGGTGATCTGGAACAGGCCAGTGATTATCGTCAGCGGGCGCTGAAGATTCAATTAGAACAATTAGGGGAGAACAATATTTACGTAGCTAATTCTTACAACAACCTGGGTGTTGTGTGTTCTGATAAAAGTGATCTGGAACAGGCCAGTGATTATCATCAGCGCGCGCTAAAGATTCAATTAGAACAAGTAGGAGAGAACCATATTGACGTAGCTAATTCTTACAACAACCTGGGTGTTGTGTGTTCTAATAAAGGTGATCTGGAACAGGCCAGTGATTGTCATCAGCGGGCGCTGAAGATTCGCTTAGAGCAATTAGGAATGAACCATATTAACGTAACTAATTCCTACAACAACCTAGCTAGTGTGTTTTTTCGTAAAGGTGATCTGGAACAGGCTAGTGATTATTATCAGCGGGCACTGAAGATTCAATTAGAACAATTAGGAGAGAACCATATTCACGTAGCTAATTCTTACAACAACCTGGGTGTTGTGTGTTCTGACAAAGGTGATCTGAAACAGGCAAGTGATTATTATCAGCGGGCGCTGAAGATTGGCTTAGAACAATTAGGAGAGAACCATATTGACGTTGCTAATTGTTACAACAACCTGGGTGTTGTGTCTTCTGACCAAGGTGATCTGGAACAGGCCAGTGATTATAATCAGCGGGCGCTGAAGATTCAATTAGAACAATTAGGAGAAAACCATATTCACGTAGCTAATTCTTACAACAACCTGGGTAATGTGTTTCATCGTAAAGGTGATCTGGAACAGGCTGGTGATTATTATAAGCGGGCGCTGAAGATTCGATTAGAAAAATTAGGAGAGAACCATATTCACGTAGCTAATTCTTACAACAACCTGGGTGTTGCGTGTTCTGACAAAGGTGATCTGCAACAGGCCAGTGATTATCATCAGCGGGCGCTGAAGATGCAATTAGAACAATTAAGAGAGAACCATATTGACGTTTCTAATTCTTACAACAACCTGGGTGTTTTGTGTTCGGATAAAGGTGATCTGGAACAGTCTGGTGATTATCATCAGCGGGCGCTGAAGATTCGCTTAGAACAATTAGGAAAGAACCATATTAACGTAGCTAATTCTTACAACAACCTGGGAAATGTGTTTTATCTTAAAGGTTATCTGGAAGAGGCCAGTGATTATCATCAGCGGGCGCTGAAGATTTGATTAGAACAATTAGGAGAGAACCATATTGACGTAGCTAAGTCTTACAACAACCTGGGTAATGTGTTTCATAGTAAAGGTGATCTGGAACAGTCTGGTGATTATTATCAACAGGCACTGAAGATTCGAGTAGAACAATTAGGACAGTACCATATTGACGTATCTAATTCTTACCACAACCAGGGAAATATGTTTTATCATAATGGTGATCTGGAACAGTCTGGTGATTATTATCAACGGGCACTGAAGATTCGATTAGAACAATTAGAACACTAAAGATTCGATTAGAACAATACAGCTGGGCGCTGTATGCTTTAAACAAGACGATCTAGAGAAAGCTGAGGAATATCATCATTGGGCCATGGACATAATATTGCAACGATTTGGTCGGCCAGTTTTACTTTGATGCAAGAATTTAGACACATTTTTGGTAATTCACTTGAAATACCCAGGATTAAGAATATAAAGACTTCGGAATCTGCAATAATTTAAAATTCAATGGAATGAATTTACTAATTGTTTGCATTAATTATAGCCCTTGATTATTTTTAAACATCAGGTTTCGACACATAAAGCTGTCTATACAAACAGAGGCGTCGGGACCCGGGGGTACATGGCATGCACCCCCCATTAATGTTTCAAATAATCAAAAGTGCCCTTTAACCAGCATATTTAACAATTAACCACCTTTATACATGTTTTAGGGGCTGTTTACATGAGCCCGGTTACCCGAGATTCAACGAAGCGACACCAAACAAGCGCATGCTATTGTTGTGGTGATTATACGACTGCCAGGATCATGTTATCTGCTCATTTCAATACCTCAAAATCATCTCATGCTTCGCTGAATCTTGGGTAGCCGGGCTCATGTAAACAGCCCCTTAGCTGCCCTTTTCTTACCCAAAAGTGCCCCTTGACCCTTGCACCCATTCCCAACTTTGAGATGTTTCCTTCTCCCTTGTATAATAAATTACCGATTATGTTTAACCAATTCTGGAGTTATGGATTTATCAAATATCAGCAAATATCAGAATAACTTGCTGTTCACCAGGTACCTTATTAATATCGCAGCCGTGTCCGAGAAAAGTTCGGCGACTGTGATCGCAGAGACGTCGCTTGAAGTCTTAACTATTATTTGAATCAGTGCTTTGTAAATCCAAAGACTCGTTGGTCACATTGACCAGGTATTTTAAATATATTCTCTTTGCCTAATTATAAATTATTTAGGGTTAGTTATTTTAATTTGAGCTTGATAGTTTGATCACTGGAAAAAGATGATTTTAATATCAGGAAGACGAACAAGTTATTTAATTTTGTTGGTGACGGCAGATTTAGATTAGTCAAAATAAACCCAATTATTTATATAACATAATTATATAACGTTCTTCAGAGTATTAGGAGCAGATGTAAATAGACTGTCTCAAATATCACCACCCACGCAATACATGGCTTGCGATGAACTTTATGTTTCATGCTTCAGAGTAATTTTCCTCTGTAATACGAACAGTTTTGTCGTCAGTTTATTTTCTGTTTTATATCGAGACATCGCTCGTTTCTATCTTCTGTTACACACAAGTTTGTTAACTTCATATTTTTTGTTTTTGCGTTTCATTTCATTTGAATGCAATATAAAGAAAAAGGGAATTCCCCTGTCAATAGTTGCTTACAAGACAAGCTATTCGAATTCGTTGAGTGTTGTGTAAGAGAAGAGTTTCCTCGCTTTCATCTTCTTTTTCGAACTAAAATGTAACAATTATAATCGCAATATGAAATGAATGGTGAGAACTGCAAATTCGCTTGGTAAGTATTTCGAAACAACCAATAGTGAGCTTAAGCAAGTGACGTTTTTGACAACACGTACGTTGACCGGAAGTAAAATTTTTATTTTTCACCAATCACAATCCTTGACCCAGTCTTTTGCCGTTACTCATCCCGTTTGTGTTGTCAAAAACGTCACTTGCTTAAGCTCACTATTATCTTGCACACAACGCCAGCAGGCAGCAGACCGAATAATCAGCATGATATAAAATATGAATTTTATAATAATTCATCTTTCTTGTTTAGACTATAAGTTAAAAAGTGAAGAATATATCATCAAGTTGGTGAGTATACTGCATAAGCCTGTAGGAATATGTTTTATTAGTTTAGACGACGCATGATTCTTTGAGATATGACATTCAAAATCAAACTATCCACCACCACACAATAGGAAGCGTATGTTGAAATTCATGCTTCGGAATAATTGTCTGTTGTATCACGATCAGTTTTGTCGTCTGTTTATTTTCCCTGTTATATCGAGACATTGCTCGTGTTAATGTTTCTGTTACAAGTTGATTGAATTCTTATTTGTTACTGTCATTTTTATTGAATGCAATATCAAAGCCAAAAGGGAAATACCCCAACTTTCAATTTATCACACAACCATGGTACTGTTCTTGCCTTCTTGTGTTTGGGCAAAAAAAACAAGCAGTTGGAGTTGCAAAAGCTATTGCGAAGGTTTGAGAATCACGATACAGGATTTTAAAGACATTTTATGTCTTTTATTTCATTCGAATGCAATATCAAAAGCGGGGAATTCCCCTTTCAGTTAGTTTCCTGTTTACATACACAAAAGCTTTTAAGATAGCATATATAACAAATTTCGTCTCGTTTTAACAGGACCCAAAAGAATAAACTTCATGATCTTAGAAAACTTCGAAATAAAATAACTCATGAAATACCTGACAATAGGCTAACTGATAAAGACTTTCAAACCATAACAACAAAAGTTGAGAAAGCGTTGCGTGCACTGAGACTGTCAACCAATGAGGTCGTTCGAATAAAGAAACTCTTTGCATCGTTTAAAATTCTTCCTCCTGCACCGACCCATAAAGTCGTTTCTCGTTCTGACCAGATACGCGAGATAAGAGAGGATCTTGAAAAGTTGCGCAGCGATAACGACGACAAACTTAAATATTTTTACATCTCTGGAAATCCCGGAAGTGGAAAATCTGAACTCACCAGACAAGTTTGTGAAGATATTGGGAAAAACGTTCACGCGAAGCACGAAGCAATGTTTGTAATGACATTGAACGTGAAGGATTTAGATTCTCTTTTATATTCCTATGAAGATTTTTGTCGTAAGCTAAATTGCAACGAAAGAGTATTAAAAGATCTTTTGAGCTCTTCTAAACCAAAAGATGAGAAAATCAAAGATTTGAGATCGCAAATATCCAACAGAATTAAGAATTGGAAGAAGTGGTGGATTATCGTCGACAATGTGGAAAATCTCGAGCTCATTTCCCCACTACTGCCTCTGATGGGCGACGATTTTTGGAATAACGGTCAAATCATAGTGACGACACAAAACACAAATGCAGTTCCTTCCGACCATAGAGATTATAAATAACACTAGAGGAGGCATTGGTATCAAAAACATCAGTCAAAAAAGGGAGCGCGATAATGGGGGGCAAATTCAAGTCCCGGATGCTAAGCCAAGCGCTGATTGGCTAGATCAATGCCTCCTTAGCAACCACGTTAGCAACAATTTTAAAAAAATTATATTCGTTATTTAGGTCGCTTTGCCGGTTTTTTAAGGAAAAACAGTGCTTTTTGAAACTGGTTTTACTAATTTAGAGATCCTGAAATTATATTTTAGGCAGAAAAACATTTAGAGACCGAAAAAACTCGTTAAAAACGACTTATTTTGGCCTCGGACATCGTGAATGAGTGAACATCCGGGACTTGAATTTGCCCCCATTAACGCGCTCCCCAATTTCTCCTCGATGACCCCTCTAGTGTTATTTATAATCTCTATGCTTCCGACAGCTTGTCAAGTAAACATATTTCACTTAGTCTCGGTATGAATGACCAAGAGTGTCGCCAGCTTCTTGCCCTGTTATCAAGAACTGATGTCAATGATTCATTACTAGATGAGGTGGCAGAGAAGTTAGATCGTCAACCACTGGCTATGGCTGCCTCAGCCGCGTATATGAGACAAGCTATCGAGATTCGCTCAGATTTTTCTTGGCGGGATTACTTAGAAAAGCTTGAAAAGGAAAAAGAGAAGTAACAGAGGTAGGTCTTCAGCAGACAAATTCAGCAGCATATTCATCCACTATGAGTACAGCTGTGCTTTTAGCCGTTAAAAAATGCGCGGAAGAAAACAAAATTCTTGGACATGCATTCAATCGTTGTTTAGTTTCGTTTTAAATCCTTTCTTGCTTAGACTAAAAGTTAAAACGTTAAGAATATATCATCAAGTTTGTGAGTACTTCTCATAAACCTGTAAGAATATGTTTTATTAGTTCTGACGCATGATTCTTTGAGATATGACATTCAAAATCAAACTATCCACCAACCACACTGTTTCGTTGACTTATAGACTTATATAACATAAAGTAACGAGGGTACACAAGTGCGCCCGAAAACAAAATGCACGAACACAAGGAAACATTGCCAAAGAGACGAAGCGAAGTTAAATATTTTTGAGCTATAAAAGTAGCGAATTTAAGGGTTGTTTTGTTTGTTATGTTCATCTAAACAGTGGTTTGGACAAATGTAAGTACAGGAAACTAAGTAGAGGGGTTTAGTCAAAATAAATACTTATATATTTTCTTCCTTTTCTTTGAATTATATAGCTTCAGATTGTAATTATACTATGTATAATCAATTTTGAAACCCAAATCATTGTTGTTTTATTGTGTTGTGTACGCCATCGGTCCACACACAATAGGTAGCGAATGTTGAAATTCATGCTTCAGAATAATTGTCTGTTAATAATTGTTTTGTCGTCTGTCTATTTTCCCTCTTATATCGAGACATTGCTCGTGTTTATGTTTCTGTTACAAGTTGATTAAATTGTTATTTGTCACTGTCATTTTTATTGAATGCAATATCAAAAGCAAAAGGGAAATACCTCAACTGTCAATTTATCACACAACCATGGTACTGTTCTTGCCTTCTTGTGTTTGGGCAAAAAAAAAACAAGCAGTTGGAGTAGCAAAAGGCCAAAAGCTATTGCAAAGGTTTGAGAATCACGATACAGGATTTTAAAGACATTTTATGTCTTTTATTTCATTCGAATGCAATATCAAAAGCGGGGAATTTCCCTTTCAGTTAGTTTCCTGTTTACATACACAAAAGCTTTTAAGATAGCATACATAACAAAATTCGTCTCGTTTTCGTATTCAGATGAAATAGACGAATTGAGTCGTTGACAATCGCTTCTCAACTTCTGATAATGTAGACCTCGCTTACGAGTTATGTTAATATCTTGGCTGGTAAAGAAACTACGTAAACTTCATCGTTAACAAAGATGAAACATTTGAAATAATATCGAGGTTTGTATTAGTATTGAGTTGATTGTTTTGGTCATGTCTCCATATGTAGACGACAGATCAAATTTGTGAAGAATATTTTGCAACTCAGATCAGTTTGTCTAAAGTTTTACCCCCCCCCCATGATTTTTACGTGAAGCGTTTATTTCGGTCGTTATCACGGGATTAAATTATTTTCGGTGCGTGAAATGGTAAACTCAAATATTAGCGAGAGCCGGGAATGTTTAAATCTAAGCGGCGGATTTCGTGAATTATTTTGCGAAATAGCGTGATTACGTGATACCGGCTGATCCAAAAATGGCTAGATCCCACAGAAAATATCTCAAAAGTTTTTTTTGGACTGTTTCTGACTTTCTATTTATGTTTGATGTTGTCATTTATTTTGTCGAATTCAATTAGGCATGCATGCTCTCTTTTAGCCTCGGCGTGAACGTGAAATTTTCTTCCTGTTTTTGCGTGACGCGTTATTTCGATTATTCTGGGACGTTAATGCGTGAATTCGTATGGCTCTTGGGGACCCTTTTAAGGCTAAAAAGCCAGGCTAATTTTTTGTTTATTTTCAAACAAAACACACAGTAATGCCTGATCATATAAATATCGTGTGTTGATAAAAAAACTAGCGCATATTCCGCACCCTTGTTTGAAATTGCGGAAAACACTTAGCTTGTCACATGATGGTCGAATTATGTGAGCGAGACGACGGTATCTATATTCAATAGTTTCAGAATTTGTGGGACATAGTTATTTGTTTGTTGGGCAGTTTTGATTACGAGAGAGCAATATGGGAAGTGTGTACTTGAACTATATTTTCAAACTTAATTATAACTATCATATTTATGGCTTTAAATGAGCGACTAGAAGTACAATCCTGGAAAAAAAAATTGTAGACTTTTTTTTGCGTCACGTTTTCCCATCCCTCCCCCCTCCCCCCCGGTATACAATATTTACGCAAAGAATCTCGGCAAATGACTTTATTTTACTCAAAATTGATCCTGGGGGAAGGGGAGTGGGATTTTAAGATTATTACTGAATTCGTAAAATAAACTGCACGAATTTAGTACTCTGTAATAGATTTTTGTGAAGTTAACAAATAGTCACCACATATTTTGTACAAATTCGCTTGGTAAGCCCTTTTAGAACGATCATTATCTTTCACTGAGCAACAAGGGCCAGGTCAGTAGACCGCATAATCAGCATGATATAAATTTCATAAGAATAGTTGAAAGATGATAGGCGCTATTGGGACTTCATACAACTTTGCGAAGAGGAAAAATTTGACTGTGTTTTACTGGTTTACCCAACCTTAACGTGGGATAGTGTTTTTCAACTTGGTTCCAGGTAATTATGATTTTTAAATACAACACAAAACGAGTGAACCGAACAACTACTGCGCAATCTTTCTAAGTTTCTAACAATCGTCTATTTCCTAATGGCCTAACTTGCCTACATTCAAATGTGTTTTAAAAATGAAATTCTTCTTTTAAGTTCGTCTGCGTAGTTTGTTTGTTATTAGTTTGCAGCAGAGATACAATTATTTCTACATGACTTCTCGGGCTTTCCGAATTACAAAAACGTTTCTCATTTTTTTAGCGTCGAAAAATGTCTGGTATACCATGGGAAAGCGAGGAAAGACAAAACTTCATTCGAGCAGACTACATTGTCAGTGACGTTGTGAGGAAGGAATTAAGAAGTTTCTTTATTCAGGAATGGAACAAACGTTACCAGGCTTCTCTTGGAGCATGGGATGACACAAACGTAAGTGGTAGTCAGTTGTTTAATCTCGAAAAATCACGAGGAAGACCAAATAAGAAAATGCTTCAGTCCAAATTTCAAAATGGAAATGCATATAATTGGGATTGTACTGTACTTTTTGATGCAATTCTTTTTTCCAAATCGATTGGTGCAAGCCTTAATCCAACGCAAAAAACTGAAATCGATAATCTAAGAAAACTACGAAATGAAATAACTCATAAAGCTGAAAAAACTCTGAATGATGCAGACTTTCAAACCAAGACAACAGACGTTATAAATGCATTGAATGCATTAGGACTGTCAAGCAACGAAGTCGTTCGAGTAAAAAATCTCTATAAATCCTTTCAAATTCTACCTCCCAAACCAACTCATGAAGTCGTTTCTCGTTCTGACAAGATACACGAGATAAGAGAAGATCTTGAAAAGTTGCGCAGCGACAATAACGACAAACTTACATATTTCTACATCTCTGGGAATCCAGGCAGTGGAAAATCCCAACTCGCCAGACAGGTTTGTGAAAGTATCTATTCCGAAGTTGGTTGGTTGCAGGAAGCAATGTTTGTGATGACATTGGACGGAAAAGATTTGGATTCACTTCTCCACTCGTACGAAGATTTTTGTCGTCGCCTGAATTGCAACGAGAGCGTATTACAAACTACATTAAGTTCATCAAACCCAAAAGATAAGAAAATAAAAGATTTAAGATCGCAAATTTGCAGAAAAATTAAGAATTGGAAGAAGTGGTGGATTATCGTCGACAACGTGGAAAATCTCGAGCTCATTGCCCAACTACTGCCTCTGATGGGCGACGATGTTTGGAATAACGGTCAAATCATAGTGACGACACAAAACACAAATGCAGTTCCTTCCGACAGCTTGTCAAGTAAACATATTTCACTTAGTCTCGGTATGAATGACCAAGAGTGTCGCCAGCTTCTTGCCCAGTTATCAAGAACAGACGTCAATGATCCATTACTAGAGGAGGTTGCAGAGAAGTTAGATCATCAACCACTGGCAATAGCTGCCGCAGGCGTGTATATGAGAGAAGTCATCGAGATTCGTTCAGATTTTTCGTGGCCGGATTATTTAGAAAAGCTTGAAAAAGGGAAAAGAGAATTAACAGAAGAGCATCTCAAGCAGACAAATTCAGCAGCATATTCATCCACCATGAGTGCAGCTGTGCTTTTAGCTGTTACAAAATGTGCGGAAAAAAACAAAATTCTAGAAGATACATTTAAATTTTTCTCTTTGATATCGTTTAAACCACTACCGCTTGATCTTGTTGTGAAATACGTTCAGCAGCAAGAAGAAGAGTTGGATGCCGAGGATATCATTCTTCCAATAAAACACTGCTCATTGTTTGTTCATGTGGGAAATAAAGAGGGAGATATCCGCCTGCACCGTGTTGTCCATGATATGATCAAATTGCTTTGTCTTTCGAAAAAAACTGACGTTGGCAATTCAGTAATTCTCAACGTGACAAGAACATTATATTCTTTCAGAGATAGGAAAGATAAAATTAAAATAATTTCACATTTGAAGGCATTTCTCGCAGAAATTGACAAATTGTTTCCAAATGAAGCGCTATCCTCAATGAGTTCAGCATTTGATGAAACTGAAATCTGGGAAATATATACTTTTTTTGGAATAGCTCTATCTAACTTTTCCGAGTTTGACCTCTCGTTGAAAATTTTCCAGCAGACACTGAAAATTGCGTTGCAGCGGTTAGGGCCAAAGCACATTTATGTTGCTGGTTGCTACACCAGTCTGGGTAATGTGTATCGTGATAAAGGTGATCTGGACCAAGCTTATGATTATTGTCAGCAGGCTCTGGAAATTACCTTAGAACAATTAGGAGAGAACAACGTTGGCGTTGCTAGGTCGTACACCATCATTGGTAATGTGTGTAAGGATAAAGGTAATTTGGAGCAAGCAAATGACTATTATCAACGAGCACTGAAAATTCAGTTGGAACAATTGGGGCCAAACCATGTTGACGTTGCTACTTCATACACAAATCTGGGTGCTGTGTGTAATGACAAAGGTGATTTGGAGCAAGCTAATGATTATTATCAACAAGCTCTGAAAATTCTATTAGCAGAATTAGAGCCAAATCATAGACACTTTGCTACCTTATACAGCAACCTGGGTAACATATGTCGTAAGAAAGATGATTTGGAGAAGGCTACTAATTATTTTCAAAAAGCACTGAAAATTCTATTAGAACAATTAGGGCCAAATCATAGTGATGTTGCTGGTTTATACATGAACTTGGGTGTTGTGTATCATGAAAAAGGTGATTTGAAGGAAGGTATTGATTATTATAAACGAGCTTTGAAAATTCAATTAGTATATTTAGGGGAAAACCATCGTGAAGTTGCTGGCTTATACAACAACCTGGGTATTATGTGTAGGGATAAAGGTGATTTGGAGCAAGAGTATGATTATTATCAACGAGCACTGAAAATTCAGTTAGAACAATTGGGGCCAAACCATATTGAACTTGCTACTTCATACAACAACCTGGGTGCTGTGTGTAGTGATAAAGGTGATTTGGAGCAAGCTAATGATTATTATCAACGAGCACTGAAAATTAAAACAGAATTATTGGGGCCAAACCATGTTGACGTTGCTATTTCATACAACAACCTGGGTAATGTGTGTTTGAATAAAGGTAATTTGGAGCAAGCTCATGATTTTTATCAACAAGCACTGAAAATTCAATTAAAAGAATTAGGGCCAAATCATAGAAAAATTGCTACCTTATACAACAACCTCGGTAATGTATATCGTGCTAAAGGTGATTTGGAGCAAGCTAATGATTATTATCAACGAGCGCTTAAAATTCAGTTAGAACAATTGGGGCCAAACCATGTTAATGTTGCTAATACATACAGCAACCTGGGTATTGTGTGTGGTGAAAAAGGTGATTTGGAGCAAGCTAATGATTATTATCAAAAAGCGCTGAAAATTCAGTTAGAACAATTGGGGCCAAATCATGTTAAGGTTGCTGCTTCATACAACAACCTGGGTATTGTGTGTCAGAAAAAAGGTGATTTGGAGCAAGCCTGTGATTATTGTCAACGAGCGCTGAAAATTCAGTTAGAACAATTGGGGCCAAACCATGTTGACGTTGCTAGTTCATTCCACCGACTGGGTATTTTGTGTCTATCAAAACGGGATCTGGATTGCGCCAGAGATTATCTTCAACGGGCACTAAATATCCAATCAGAGAAACTAGGACCAAATCATAAGGATGTTCTTCATTCCTACCTCTATCTTGGCGCAGTTTACTTTGAAAAAGATGATCTGGAACATGCTAGCCATTATTTTAGAATCATCGCTATGTCCAGGAAATAATACATACCAGATTCCGCTTAAAGTTTTCCAAACACTGTTTCAGATGCCTCATGAAATTTATTAACAGAGAGCGAGGCCGGGTGATATAATTATTTGAAACACACAACTTCATCCTTGCTATTTTTTCTCATGATAGCAACAGTTGATTTATATTAAATAGTATCGTCAAGCAAAATAAAGAGAAATATTTCAATCGCACGGAGTAAAGCCAGGCGCACACGACGCGATTTTTGTAGGACAAAATAATAAACATACTATGCTATAAATAGACGCAAATATTATAATATGCATTGCAAACAACAACACTCCAACGAGTGCTGAATAAGTAGGCTTATCCATTCTAGTGCATTTTACGACGGGACAGTGACTCGGTGAGAGAACAAGTTATAACTTGTACAAGTTATAACATTCGGTGAGAGTACAAGTATAAGTTATAACTTGTACAAGTTATAACATTCGGCGAGAGTACAAGTACAAGTTATAACTTGTACAAGTTATAACATTCGGTGAGAGTACAAGTACAATGTTATATATTGGTGAACCGCTTTAAAAGTTTCCACAAAATTGGCTGTAAATAAATTACAATCAGAATTTTCTTTTGATCCTAAAGTTAAATTAATAATGTGTATTTTACAAGCTATAAAAGATTCGTTTGATTCGACCATTTTCAAGAATAATGGCCCGATTTCTACTGACTAGAGACGGATCATTCGTCTGGACGAACTTGGGCAAGCGAAAGATAGTTCTCCGGTCTTCTGGTTCGTCTGTGTGTAAACGCGGGCAAACACTGAGACGGATCAAACTGATCTGTTTTCTTACGTCGGAATATTTTGAGTTTCTTAAATTAAATTCCTTTTCCATTCTCCGGACACGGATTTGTGTACGTTACCCGTATTCGTAAACTGGAACCGGGGAATTTTAAAAACCTGTACACTATTAATTTTACACTCGGTAACATCTTCGCTTTTACGTCAAAAGGGTTTCAAACACCGTTAATTTAGAATAGAAATTAACGGTAACTTAACATTTGGAGCATGTTCCCTTTGATCATATTAACCGAGCTTCAAAGCGATAAACTAGATAAAAACGATCTTGTAAACACACGAAATCCACGCCCATGTGTACATGACCGGAGCCTACCCAACCCCCACCCCCCCAGACGAACATTTTCCCACCGACTCAAAAGACTAAAATTAAGCATAGTCGAAGCAATATGAACCTTAGTAGTGAATTCTTAGCGAAGATATGCCGGATAATTTTGCGCAATCCAGCAAAACCATGAAAAAAGACTTCGTTGAAATATTCCGTTACCTAATAATATCTGCTCAACTGGCATATCACTAAAATGCATCTGTGACCACCGAAAATTGACAGAAAATATATCAAATACGTTTAGGACGAATTATATATGCATTGAACACCGTGATACTTTTCGTGATTGTGGGACAAGTTTTAATCATAAAATTAATCAAGGGAATAGTACTCTTCGAAATACAAAATTGACAAGATTCGAAATTCATTTTAATTGCCAGCAAGCGAGCACAACATTGAAAATTGGCCGATCCACACCCTGGTTAAGAATTTTTAAATTTAATTTTTTTCTGGCAGAGGCCAGGAAATCTAGGCCCATCGTAACTGGTGGCCTAGGCCAGCCTTGCTTTACGGAGTGTAAACCCTTCGGTGTGGACCTTGGCCTTACTTCTATGGCAACTATCGGTACGAACTGGGTACGAAGTTCTAGTTGGCGTTAAACATAAGTTTAAGTTCTATTTTACATAAATTAAAAAGTTGTGATGTGCAAACCGCTGAAATTCTAGGCCAAAGTCAGGTGTTGAAGTGTAAGTGTAAACATTCCGTACTAAAAAGATCTAGGCTAAAGCTAAGCCAGGCTCAGGCTTGTAGTGTAAACACGGCTTAATTGATAGTCCTGTATGATATGGAACAATTTTCCAATTTGAAAAGCACAAGTCAGCCCATCTCGTTACCTCATGCAGCTGAAAAGGAAAATACTAGTGAACGGGAAACTGTGTTCAAACCGCGTCAAATAATTCATATTGAAAACTCAAGCGATTGCAATTGCAATTGAACTCGTCTTTTTAACCAACATATAGAATATACATTTATGTTTTATACGTTGGCGAAAAAAAATATTGTATAATAATAATAATATGTAAACGAAGCTATAGATATAAAAAACCAAATTCCATGTGATGAGCTAAACATGAACAACCGTGCCATGAAAAATGTAGGTATATATATAGTTATTCATTTTGTGAATAATAGGGCGACATATTCATTTCGTTTTGTTGGCGATGGCAGATTTGGATCGTCAGGGTAAACAATCGCTCACGTTCATGAAAATTGTACTAGCTACACTCCTCTCCTATACACACCCTGGAACAGGGGCGAACATTCGCTGGCGTGGGGTTGAAATGTTTCGCGATATCTTAATGCGATGTGTAATTCTAAATTTTCGCAATCTTTATTTCTGTGCGACATAATTATTAAGTCCCACTCTACTGCGAAAAACTGCTTTTGTTCAAGTTGTTGTCCTATGTAAAGTTGCAAGCATGTTTTGTGCCCATATAGAAACATTAAACAATATAACTATGCTTTGGTTATGATGTCAAATATTTTGACATGGATAACCATGCTGTTTTAATGGTCAAATGCTTGCCGTATGTAAAGTTGCAAGCATGCTTCGTGCCCATATAGAAACAGTAAACAATATAACCATGCTTTGGTTATGATGTCAAATATTTTGATATGGATAACCACGCTGTTTTAATGGTCAAATGCTTGTCCTATGTAGAGTTGCAAGCATGCTTCGTGCCCATGAAGAGACATTAAACAATATAACTATGCTATGGTTATAATGTCAAATATTTTGACATGGATAACCAAGCTGTTTTAATGGTGAAATGCTAGTCCTATGTAAAGTTTCCAACATGTTTGGCGCTCATATACAAACATTAAACAATATAACCATGCTTTGGTTATGATGTCAAATATTTTGACATGGATAACCACGCTGTTTTAATGGTCAAATGCTTGTCCTATGTAAAGTTTCCAACATGTTTGGCGCTCATATACAAACTTTAAACAATATAACCATGCTTTGGTTATGATGTCAAATATTTTGACATGGATAACCACGCTGTTTTAATGGTCAAATGCTTGTCCTATGTAAAGTTTCCAGCATGTTTGGCGCTCATATACAAACATTAAAACAGTGTGGTTATCCATGTCAAAATATTTTATATCATAACCAATGCATAGTTATATTGTCTAATGTTTGTATATGAGCGCCAAACATGCTGGAAACTTTACATAGGGCAAGCATTTGGCCACTAAAACAGCGTGGTTATCCATGTCAAAATGTTTGACATCATAAGTAAAGCATGGTTATATTGTTTAATTAATGGTCAAATGCTTGCCCTATGTGAAGTTTCCAGCATGTTTGGCGCTCAACAATATAACCATGCTTTGGTTATGATGTCAAATATTTTGACATGGATAACCACGCTGTTTTAATGGTCAAATGCTTGTCCTATGTAGAGTTGCAAGCATGCTTCGTGCCCATAAAGAGACATTAAACAATATAACTATGCTTTGGTTATAATGTCAAATATTTTGACATGGATAACCACGCTGTCTTAATGGTGAAATGCTTGTCCTATGTAAAGATTCCAGCATGTTTGGCGCTCATATACAAACATTAAACAATATAACCATGCTTTGGTTATGATGTCAAATATTTTGACATGGATAACCACGCCGTTTTAATGGTCAAATGCTTGTCCTAGGTAATGGTCAAATGCTTGTCCTAATTGACCATTAAAACGGCGTGGTTATCCATGTCAAAATATTTGACATCATAACCAAAGCATGGTTATATTGTTTAATGTTTGTATATGAGCGCCAAACATGCTGGAAACTTTACATATAGGGCAAGCATTTGGCCACTAAAACAGCGTGGTTATCCATGTCAAAATGTTTGACATCATAACTAAAGCATGGTTATATTGTTTAATTAATGGTCAAATGCTTGCCCTATGTCAAGTTTCCAGCATGTTTGGCGCTCAACAATATAACCATGCTTTGGTTATGATGTCAAATATTTTGATATGGATAACCACGCTGTTTTAATGGTCAAATGCTTGTCCTATGTAGAGTTGCAAGCATGTTTCGTGCCAATATACAAACATTAAACAATATAACCATGCTTTGGTTATGATGTCAAATATTTTGATATGGATAACCAAGCTGTTTTAATGGTCAAATGCTTGTCCTATGTAAAGTTTCCAGCATGTTTGGTGCTCATATACAAACATTAAACAATATAACCATGCTTTGGTTATGATGTCAAATATTTTGACATGGATAACCACGCTGTTTTAATGGTCAAATGTTTGTCTTATCAGTCCAGCAGTGAAGACAATGGCCTTGTAGCTTCGAATGCTGGGACGAATATATTTTCATTATGACTTTGAAAAGGGATTTAGGTAAAAATAAATAAATGTAGCCTTTAACACCAAGTACTGATGCTCTAGTTGCTAATCCTTGAAGAACTTTCTTTTTTTTACGGTAATTGCAATTTGCAGACATGCGTCGTGCATGTGCGTGTACTATCTTTAATTATCTACGTTTGCATGTGATGTGTGCACGTGGTTATTCCCCCACTATGTGCACTAGTATTATTACATTAAATCAACAAAATTTTACTGAAATGTTCTTTATTCACTTAATTTCTTAACTAAATCAATCTGTTTTAGCTTATATAGTAAATGCAATGAGTGAAAAAAGACACTATATACGGTTACTAAACATACTTAAACGCTGTGATATATACTAAACCTTCGGCTTTTGGACTCGCATCCACTGCGTGACCCGCCAATCTATCGGTTCTCGCTCTCTTGTCCTGTTTCGAGGAAAGAGGCTCCTCTTCCAAGTTTGACTATGGCGGCCTAGTTTTTGGTTTCTCGCATGTCTTAAGCGGAAGGATTAAATTATGAAAGGAATGTTTTTCACTACAAACTTGAAAAAAGGTTAAGTAAAATAAAAATAACGTCAGTTATCTCAAGAGCAAATAGTCTAGAGGTGACGAGAATGGTCTCGCTATTTCCAAATTGATGGTTCGAATCCTGCATGGTGAAAGTGTTTTATCATGACGTAAAAGAGAAGATTTAGGTAAGTTAGAAAAATATAGCTGTTGATTTCAAGATCTGTTGGCCCAGTGGTGAAGACAATCGTCGTGTAACTCGTGTTATTACGTCGCGAGCCCCCAAAAATATCGTGCTAAATTGGATGCCTAGTGATGGGGCGAAAATATAATTGTCATTGAAATTGATGAAGTACAATGCTTTTTGAAATTGGACCAATGTTTAAAATGAAACTAAACTTTTTTACCCTAATTTAGACGCAGAAATGTCATCAATTATTCACCTAGTAACCTTGAAAATTTACAATTAATATCTCGGAAGAATGAAGTCGGCATTTTGAGAGCAGACAAATAAGGCCAGGAAACTGTGCAATGATTTGCCACAATTATTGTGATTTATTT